AATTTTCAATGATCTTTTCTGCCAAATGGAACTCCTTTCTTAACCACTTGTCATAACGCTGTTTGAAGACCTTGGAAAAGCGCATGTCGGTGAGCTCGTCCAATGACAACTTTTCTCCAAGCAAACCTAACCCTTTTCCTTTTTTTCTTTACCCCCAAGATAGCCACCTGAACCCCCCAAATTTTCCTGATAGATCTATATACTTATATATACTATAAATTCATATACTTAGAAGGCAACAATACCTGGACAGCTAAATTGCAGTCAATTGAACAGGCAGATTGCAGGCGGAAGTGGATTGCTTACTTCTAACAGTGCCAAGGGGGAGGACGAGTGTCTTCTGCTTCAAGCATCACTTTGGAGTCTCTCCATGCAATGCAGTTTGGGTCTACCACACTGACCTGCAACTAACCAACATCTCAAGAATTTTTTAATGGGTCCTCTCAACTACCTTCAAAAGTACATGCTGTACCCTACAGAAGAGGTTCTAGTATGATCAGGGACATTCAATTTCTCAATGCCCTTCCTGATCTGGAGATCATCAATCATGCCCCTTGTCCTTTCCAGCAAGAAAACGAGCAAGAGTATAGGCCAGTCTTGACAAAGCCTTCAAGATCATTTGGAGCAGCGGTTACCTTTCCTCCTCCTTTGAAAGTACTACTAGCCAAGTAATACCCAGCACCCTGCTGAGCTGCATCAGTAGCAACATCATGGATCATCATACAATGTCAATATGTACAAAATAGAAGATATCTTTTGTAAAGTAGGAGTGTAGTAGTGTTTGCTTTGTTCCTTGTTGGGCTGGCTTGTAGCTATTTCTTTCTTCTTCATTAGCTATTTATTTGTTCATGCATTCAGTAGTACTAGTCAGCATCCTGAGGAGCCGTATCAGTAACAGCATAGTCCAGAATGATTATTCTCCAATAATGCAGTACCTACAGAATCTGAGAAGCCGCTTTGTAAGCCGTGTTTGATCAAACGAGTGCTGAGTCAATTCAAACATGGTGCAACACAATACATTTCAATACCAACCCACTTTTTAATCTACAGCTGTTAAAATGAATCGACTGATTTGAGTAAGACCTGTAGAATCAGTACTTAAGAACAGACATAGTCCAAATTTGTTTAATGCAATTTTGATAGTCTGATAGACCTTTTGCAGTATCAACAACATGTAAAATGTAAACCGATATCATCAAAGAGAGGTTTGGACACCATTTCATGCAAAGGAGGGAGAACAAAGTACCGTCATATTGCGGAATCCAGCCTTTATATCCTACCAAAGCGCCTTACCAAGATTGCAGGAGTTAGTTTGGATGTCTGCCCTAGCCAAAAGAGAGCAAGAAGCCAAATCAAAACTTTTCCTGGAAGCATTCAAATTGACACGGACACATGAAGCCATTGGCCTTTTGGTCCAGGACAACTGGATACCCAGCAAACTGCTTGTTACAGCAGTGAATGCAATGGCTTGTGTCATTTCACCTACTCATGATGACTTTGCTGAAGGATATATGAAGAAGCGCCTTCCAAAAATATTCTGTGATATCGAACAGTTTGGGGACTCCAACTAGTCTGGTGTTGCACTGTTCCAACATGGAAATGGCAAGCTGATATATTATTATATCCAAAATAGGGGAAAGAAGAAGGGAATAGTGAGACCCAACTTCCATGATGCAGATGTCCTTGATCTTGTTACCAAGTATTGCCGTGATGCAATGGAGTCATTGGGAAGATCATCAATAGGACGGGAGGCTCAGCCAAGGGGCCAGGAACTCCCAGAAACAACGACAATTGGTGGCACTTTATTTTATGTACAGTAACTATATTAGAGCTGGGTATGCTTGTAATTGCGTTTGTAGCTAGATTCGATCACATTCAAGGCAATTCCAGAAAGTCAAATAGAGATATTGGAATAGGAGAAAGAATCTCTCTACTCCAAGCCATCACCCAAAGTCAATACTAGGAGGTATTTTGAACCACTTTGAACTTGGTGCCACCGTGTCAGGGCACTGACTCGGCGACTGAGAAGGATTCCATCAACATTCACTGATGTAGAACTAGCATTCCAGCATCGTACCTTCACACCGGTAAAATTGCCAATAATCCTAGCAGAGCTGTCCCAAGTGGATGGCTGTGTCCGGCTGATTGTTACTGAGCTTTCTGACACATGTTCAGTATGAAGATTGTCCACTGCTTGACTTGCATACGGAATATGAAGATTGTCCACTGCTCGACTTGCATGCAGACGTTTAGGTATTTTCCACAACTAGTGTTCCGCAACTCATCTTTTCAGGTCACTGTGCATTTCAGCTGGTCAAAATCTTTCAATGAATCATATTCTTCTGTATTCATTGCAAATCATCTGAGGGAGTGGTGTATTGTTGGGTACCAATTTATTGGCATGGCGTCCAGGGGACTCCAAAAATGGGACATCAGATCTTGTCGGTGTGTTATGAGTGGTCATTTCAAAGGTCAAAGAGGCTAATTTGTCCATATCAGTTCATGTGAACAAGATGGTGGAAGCAAAAAGTAGAAGCAATCAAAGAATTTTTGTCAGCTTGTTTGGTTGGACGAATTGCAGACAGCATCAAAAAGGGGGGTGGTACAAACACAGTAGAATTGTACATGGTACATCGTTTTTGTAGAAGCTACTGAAATCAGGACAAGAATTTTAACAGCTATACGGTACGAGTATAAACCCAATTATGTCCGACCCCTTTTCTCACAGAAAAAGACCCAAGATGACGTCCGAGTAGTCTAGAAGCGATCAAGCCTTCCTGAGGTGTCTATTCTACAGGTTTTTGAATCTGTAGGAAAGCCTGTTCAAGAAGCATGAGATTGATGTATCATATGTGTCATTTCCGACTGACACAAAGTAATCTCTGACCCTAGGAATCCACGTACAATGCTACTGAAAATCATGAAAGGAAAAAAAAAACAATGTTAAAATGCTCCCACCAAAAGATTTTGCGCCTTCAATCCTGGACAAAATAGGACCCCTGTATTGGCATGCCATCCCACTGACATACATTGTATGAACAGGCCATTGGAACTGCACGGCAAAAATGCAAACATGACCCTCCTAGCATGTGGGCATCAAGGTTCGCTGAAGCTGAAGCCAAAAAAATCCAATCCAACATATTACAGTCCAATGCCTTCCCAAATAAGACACAACAATTCAAAAGAGGATGACCTACAACAACACAAGTGCTAGACAAACCACCACTATCTGTATTTGCCATTATATCTCCTGTGACTACCTCTACACAAGGCAGCTTCCATGCCATTTCTTCATTCCAACAAAACCGCCAACTACAAATGACAAAACGGAAGTCCAACAATCAACAACCATCTCCTCTCAAACAAGGATTCTGAGCTTTGTGGCCTTACTTCAATGGGTACAGCTGAAATGAAAGAAAAGCTTATGACCACAAAAGGTCTGGAAAAGCGTACATGCTAGCTGCAGGGGGTCACAAAACCCACAATGACTATTTTGTGGCTTCTACGCTACGAGTCAATGAGGGTGAAGTAAAGAAGTTGTAAGCAATCAAGAAGATGAGGCTGGAGCTGATTGAGTAGGCCAAGAGCGGAAGGGACATATGGGAGGTGGACAGGAACACCGAGATTACAAAGCTGCTGACAAAGACCAAACTTGAAAAACTCCTGCTGTGGAAAGGCATTGAAAGGAAAGACCAACCCAAACTAGCAACAGTAATACTTGGATTAGCTTGAAAGATCTAGAAAGCGTCATGATAACTAGTCTAGGAGCCCATCTCGGACAGGTTTTTTTTTCTTTCTAACAGAATTTCTGTTGCATGGTATTTACAATTGGATTTGACCAACATTAGTGATGGCCAAAAAAAAAAGTAGACAACTAAGGATATATTGGGTGATGTATGGAAAGCATTGAGAAGATAATCAAAGGAGTGTTTGCCTTCACTGTACTCCTCACAAGTTTGACCATTGAAATGGGCATTTTGTTTTCTCAATGGACCCCCGGGAGGCTACGAATTTGTAACACACCCCCGTTTTTTGGAAAAATGCCACGATTAGAAAAAATAAATAAAACTGCAAATGACCATGGCGCCACGTCCGGCATAATTCGTGCGGCTCATGCAAGATGGGGATCAACGGTCAAAATAGCATCCTTTGGAAGTCTTCCACTGTCAACTTTCATGTTATCATCTTCGTATTGGAGCAGCTGCATAGGCTCCATCGAGAAAACAACCTCTCATGAGAAAGTTTGTCAAAGAATGATTTCATTCCACATTGAACTGTGATCTTGTGGCACGCCCGATAGCTGTATCTTCAATGTCAAGAAGAACGTCTTTGGAACAAAGTTTTGTCAATCTAGCTTCATCTTCATCAGTCCACTCTCCAACAAGAGGCGGGTCCTTATCGCGCACTTCCAATCACTTCTGTCTTTTATCTCCAATGTCACCTCCAGGATCCGACCAAGAATCTCAATTGATGTATCTCTGCTCGCACATCTCTTTTTGAGCAAGGACCCAGCTAGAGCAGTCTTGTCAGTTGCGGAATGCTTTGCAGATAAAGGAATGGATGTGATCCCGGATGTTGATGGTCCAAATCGGCATGATTCGAAAAGTGCCCATCAGGACCGTGTCACACAAAAGGATCGCCTCCGAATTCAACTGATGGAACTCCGCTCTTCTCTGGCTTAATTCATCAACCATGCTAATCCAACCAAAGAAATTCTTGCCCAAAAGAAGGCATTGATGAGAACAATGAATTTGAAGAGAAGGAAGCAGCAGCGGCAGAACGGGCTTCCTCCGGATTTCACTGAAAATATTAAGAGTTCTGCTGCTTCTTACAAAAGAACAACCCATGGAACAAGAATACTGCGTTTGGTAGAAGCTGCTGGCCTAGATGTACACTGTGGAGCAGCAATGGACTTTCTGGCACCAGAGAAACAGAAGCAGGAGGACCAAGTTCCAAGCAGAAACATTGAAGAGGCCAGTCGCCCGTCTATCAAACCAAATGCTCTAACTTCCATGGATGTAAATTGCCGTATCGGATTCCAAGATTTTCCAACCCTCCTCTCCTACGCAATTGTTGTGTGCGGTGGTGATTTGGATCGTCTATTCAAAACATGTTCCAAACTCACTTGGCTTGAAGAGTGGTTGTTTTACTTTGAGTTCAAGTACGGTCGCACAACTGGTGGTAGCTGGCAAGACTATGAGAAGATGTACAAGACCTCACAGAAGCCCCTTGGAAAGATCCTGTTGAAAAAGTGGTCGCTTGAGCTTGGCACACGAGACCAGTGGCCCATGTATGCTAGCCATGAGGAAGACGTAACCTTTTGTGACAGAAAATGGAATGAGTACTTCAATCCAGCCACTGGAGAGAGAGAGAGAGAGAGAGAGAGAGTTGTGATGCATGATGCAACAGGTATTCCTTTACCTTGCCCATCAAAGTCAGAACTCCAACGAGCACTTTTCAGTGACTACTATGGTACAACGTGGGTCAAGGCAGGAGTCAGCCATCAACTTTGCGGGTGGATACGAGGAATGCCTCTAATGACTGGAAGAATCACAGATTCGCAGATGATTAAAGACTCAGAAATACTGGTGGTCCAACGGAAGTTTTCAGAGGCTGATACTTCTTCGAAGGAACCATTGAACAATATATTCGATAAAGGATTCGGAAACACGCTTGTTGCCAGCATGGAGGGTCAAACATGTACGCAACCTACGTACTCCAAAGGGGGTACCCAGTCCAGTGGAAAGGCTACTTTATATTCGGCTTGCGTGGCTGTGATACGATCTGGAAATGAGCGTGCTGTTCAACGCTGCAAGATGTCGTGGTTCCTGAAACTTGGCTATGCCTATCAACTGTTGGACATTGAATTGTTCTTGGTACATTTTCTACTTGCTAACAGACATAATTGGTTTATACCTGTACTTACTGTATTACTGTACTATCCTCTAGCAATAGCACCAACAATCGTAGAAAGGTCCCGCTTTATAAAAAAGAGAATCGTTTGAAACGAAGCAATCACCAACAATTGTTGAATAGACCCCCCTTTGTTTGATGATTCATTCAGTTTTGCACTGTTATTCATTTCGCTTCTGGTCAATGATATTTAAAGTGTGACGCGTCACTCGTGGGCGAATATCAGCTCCCATTACAGCACTTAAATAAATAAGGTGTAATCATCTGATCAAAACACGAATTCATGGGGAAAAGAAGCCATACGTATTTTCTGAAAGGGCTCTTTCCTAGGTATTCCAGTAGAGTCCAAGCAGGTCGATGTTTGCTGAAAGAGCCTTGTATGTTCCCATCGTTTCTAAGCAAATGGTCCTTGATCACTTTTGACAGTGCCTCACAAATTTCCAAACCAAAAAAAAAAGGACCCACAACATTGAAGCAACATCACATTGAAAATCATCGTCGTCGTCGTCATCGTCATCATCATGAACTCACCACCACGAACTTTCAACGACTGCAATACTACTACTTCTACAAATGCAACACGACCAATTGGGGGATTATTTACCACAATGATCATGAGGAGCCCAGCAATGAGCTCCTTTCGATTGCCAGGTCTCGATGGCCTTCCTACCAATCTGGACCACGACCACATCATTGATCATACTGCTGGTGCTGCTCGTCCTTCCACCCAGCAGGAAAACGAACGAGTATTGGCCATCCTCGACGAAGCCATCAAGATCATTCGGAGTGGCAACGACGACCTTTTCTCTTCCTCCTCCATCTCCTTTGAAAGTACTACCAATACTACCAGTAGTCAACATCCTGCTGATCCGCGTCAGTGAGGACTCGTCGTACATCAGCAAACACTAAATAGAAGATAGCCTACCTTAAAAGAAGTGCTACTACTTTTGATGGCTTTCTCATCGTCACTGTGTACTAGTACTAGTGTAGCTATTTTTTTTCATTGTTTATTCATGCATTCATACATACATACCAACATCCTGTTGAGCCATGTCAGTAACAGCATGGCCCAGACAGCAACATGCACAATCGAAGATTCTGTCAGGTTGATTATTATTCTCCAATACGACAAGTGTTATTTTATTTGATATTGTTGACTGTACCGTAATCTGTAATGTACTGCACACAAGCGGTGTTTGATCGAACGAGTCAAACATGCCGCGACCTTTTTCACTCACATCACCGAGGAACAGAACCGAGGAGCGAGGACAGAAATGCGAATCATTTACTCATTCGAAAGGTATAGAACACATATCTACAGTACCTATAACGGGACATGAAAGATGTGGCTTTTGTACCTGTTTCTGATCACCACCAACAACAACAACAGCAGCATAGTACTAGGGAAAGTACTGTATGATGCTTCTTCTTCAATCAGAAGAATGATGATGATTCGTCAAGAAGAAGAAGCGGCCGTTCTTGTTCTTGTTCAAGCGGAAGAATACTATTTAGTCTCCACCGTGCCATTCCGACAGCTACTGACATAATGGAGTTGAATCAATCACCATCTCACATGATCTCTGGAGGACGAATCGGCACTACAACAGTACTAACCACAAGAAGCAGCATGCAGCTATTGACATCATGATCATGGTCAAGCCAGCGCTTCTTCGCATTCAGCAATGATGGAAGATTGATTCTTGTTGGAAAAGGACATCAGGAGGACAGTGCTACTGATTGATCGATCGATCAATCGATCGGCTCATTCATATTTCACAATGGGGTCAAAATATATATTGGCTGCGATTGGCTACAAGTTACAACCCTGGTGGTACTACCACCAAGAGCATCAAGTATCAAGTATCAAGTGTAGGTACCACAGGCGTCAAGCGTAGCAGTCTGCCGCAATCCTGATCGAAGGAGTCAAACATTTGTTTCGCGCCAATCGCTCAAATCAGTACATCTTCTACTGCATTGTACGAGGGGCGAGGCTGGCTCGAGCTTTCGCGGTGCGTGCGCAGGCCAAAGGGAGGGTGCAAGTTGGATGCAAGTCGTTTTGCATTATTTCATGATTGTTGCGTTGTCATTGTACAACGAAGCATACTATAACCACAACGATACATCATACTCCCAATCTAGGCTCTTCTCGTTGGACTTCTCTTGTATCTAATCACCGTCTTTCAATATCTTTTGTCGTTTGAACTACACTGAAAGAAGCCAGTCAAGTCAGTCAAGTCGATCAGTCAGTCAGTCAATCAATAATCGTCCTATACTACTAAACCCAATCTTATATATTCTTATTACCAAACACACAATCAGAAATGCCAGCGCCCAAGAACAAAAAGTCCTTGAAGCAAGGGAGCTTGTTTTCCTTCTTTTCCGCAGCTCCAGGTGGTGCCAAGAAGGCTACACCGAAAAAGCAGTCCACTCAAACCAAGAGCACGTCCAGCAAGGCAAACAACAACAACGACAACAACAGCAACAAGAAGGAAACCAAGAGCAAAAACACGAAGCCAAAAACCAAACCATCAAGTACGGACTCCGCGTCTCCAGTCGCCGTCTCTCCCAGCGATGCCCAACCACAATCACAAAAGTCCAATGCGGCTCGCCAAGCAACCTCGCCGCAAAAGAAAACCCGCAACACCTTGTGGCAACAAGTCCAAGTCGGACACACCCTTCTCGTTTTCTGGCCCAATGACAAGCAATATTACAAGGCGGTCGTCAAGTCTTGCCACGGAAAGTCTAGGTTTACTTTGGAATACGAGGATGGCGAAGTTGAGCAACTCGACTTGTCCACGGAACAATTCAAATTCTTGAGCAAAACTGTTCCATCGAACAAGAATAGTAACAGCAAAAAGCGGTTGCAAATTGATGATGATGATGACGATGAAGAAGAAATGGAATGGGACGATGAACAAGAGGAAGAGGAGGACGATGATGGATCCGTATACGAAGCCAAGGACCAAGAGGAAGATGATGACGAAGAGGAAGCGGATCAGTGGATGGTAACAGACAATGAAGACAACGATTACAATGATAATGAGGGGGAGGAGGAGCCACTAGCAGATCGGCCCAAGAAGAAGCGCAAGACGACGAAGGCAGCCTTGAAGGTGACGACTCATCGTACATCTTCTTCTTCTTCTCACACACCCACAAGCAAGGCCAGCATTGCTACCAAAACTCCTCCCAAGAGTGCTTCTTCGTCCTCTTCGTCTACCTTTTTCAAGCCGGGATCCCTGCAGCAGTTTGCCAATACAGTCTCGCCTTTGACGACTCATACTACTCCCACTCGACCAGCTATCGCGCCACGCAAACTGGCGTCGACCACTCCGCCAAAGTCATCGAGCAGTACTACTTCAAAAGCAGCAGGCAATAACACCAACAAAACCAAAGCCTTGCCCTTTCAAAAGGGCGTTGTCAATCCAAGAGGCGCCCATGTTCACAATCATTTGCAATTTGTACAAAATCCAAGGGACAGCATGAATCGAGGTCAAGATGATCCGGACTATGACCCTCGAACCCTCAAAGTGGACGAGAACGAATGGAATCGGGTCTACGATGGCAAAATGACCAATGCGGTCAAGCAATGGTGGGAGCTCAAGTCGAGGTACTTTGATACAGTCTTACTCTTCAAGACGGGTAAGTTATATTATATTGTTGTTGCTGTTGCTGTTGCTATTGTTATTGTTATTGTTGTTTATTTGATAAAACCAACTTTTGCTTTCCTCTTCACACTATCGTTCGATCTTCCTCCCCCTATTCTACTGTAGGCAAATTCTACGAAATGTTCCACATGGATGCGGACATTGGCGTCGAAGTCTGTGGGTTCATTTACATGAAGGGTCATGTGGCCCATTCGGGATTTCCCGAAATTTCCTATGGTCAAATGGCCGACAAGTTGGTACGAGCGGGATACAAGGTGGCCCGAGTGGAACAAACGGAAACTCCCGAAGCCTTGAAAGTCCGCAAGGCCAATACGCCCAAGGGGCAATCCAAACCACAAGTGGTGAATCGAGAAGTTTGTTCCATTTTGACTTTAGGTACTCGAACCTTTTGTTGTCTGGACGATGTCAATGCGCTGGCCAATTCAGAAACGAATGGATCTGGAGTGGGGCCATTGCTGGCCATTCAAGAAACACTACTGGAACAACAAGATGGTGAGAGTACCATGCAAGATAGTGAAGAAGATAATGATGATGAAGTCAAGCCAGTCTGTGAATATGGAATTACCTTGGTGGATGCCGTCAATGGAGCCGTCACCATTGGTCAATTTGCGGACGATGTATTGCGATCGAGAATGAGCACCCTCTTGACTTCCTTTGCGCCCAGTGAGATCTTGCTGTCCAAGCAAGCCTCTCCCACTCTCAAGTCGCAAATCAAGGTGTACCAGACCAACTCTAGGAATGGTACCCGAGTTGAAGTGATTGCGGATACGGAAAGTTTTCCTCAGTCGACTGCCTTGGAACACAAGCATCGTGCCATGTTGCAACGCAAGACGTCTCATATACATCCTTGGGATATAGAAGAAACCATGGCGGAGCTCCATCGTCGTGGATACTATCCTCGAGGATCCAAACATGACAAGCTGAATACTAGTCGGTGGCCAAAAATGTTGCAAGCGGCCATTGATGGTAAGGCACAACTATTGCTCCAAAGTTTTGGAGCCATTCTCTTTTATTTACAGCGCAACTTGATTGATCAAGAAATCTTGAGTATGGGAATTGTCAAGGCCTACCTTCCGCCACCATCGTCTTGCATTAATCAGCAAGATCAAACGGCAGAAGCCGTATTGCAACAACATGAAGAGGATGAACCTATGGCTAATACTGCTACTGCTGCCACATCCGCAACACCAGTTTCAATGTCTCAATCTCCAGGACAAGCGGCAGTTTCGCCTTTGGGCAGCATTGAACCAGTCCAAAATGCGGAAGGCAGCATCAAGAACATGTCTTTAGATGGAACCACTTTGCACAATTTGGAAATTCTGACCAATGCGGTGGATCACAAAGCGACAGGGTCCCTTTGGAGCAAGATCAACTACACCAAGACGCCACATGGTGCACGATTGCTGCGGGCATGGTTGCTGCGACCACTCTTTCAAAAGGGGGACATTGAGCGACGTGCAGATGCCGTTCAAGAATTGGTGGCGGGTGCTGGAGCTGTGGCCTTGAATGAAGCTCGTCAGAACATTTTGAGCAAGATTGGAGATTTGGATCGTCTGTTGAGTCGATTGCACAGTATGAGTGGCCCAACGGACCACAGCAACGAAAATGCAGAAGCCTATCATCCCGGTGAACGAGCTGTCTTGTACGAAAGTGCTACGTACAACAAGCGCAAAGTCGGCGACTTTTCCAAGCTGTTGAACGGTTTGCGACGAGCTTGTCAAATTCCAGAGCTCTTTGCGGATCTGGAGCTACAAGAAGGTGGTCAATTGAAGAAGATTGTGAGACAAACTTCGGATGGAGGTTTCTTCCCTTGTATGGTAGATGAAATCGACTGGTACTTTGACAACTTTGATTGTGAAAAGGCGGCCAAAGGTGATTTCGAACCAGCTCGAGGATGTGATCAGGCCTACGATGAAGCTTGCGATACCATCGAACGCATCAAGGCCGAACTCGACGATCACAAGCGAGAAATGTGTGCCGAGCTCAGACAGAATACAAAACATTACTGGAAGTACGTCAACGTCAAGCCGGATTCGAAAGACAAGTACTTGATTGAATTGCCAGCAGATGTCAACGTCCCGGGCGATTTTCAGGTCAAGGGAAAACGAGGAAAGGGTGCCAAGCAAATCAACAAGTACCGCACTAGCTTTGTAGCTGGCCTGGTGCACGAGTTGGAACGAGCCTTTGAAGTGCAAAAGGATCGGAAAGCGAAGGGAATGCAATTGATTTTTGCTCGATTCAACAAGCAACGCAGTCTCTGGGCAGCTGCAGCTCAGACCACCGCCATGCTGGATGCACTTGGTTCTTTGGCCAAGACGGCTGGAAAGGCTGGTTTCTGTCGACCAACCATTCTCGATTGCAGTCCGAATGAAGAACCTACTATCAATATTGTCCAAGGAAGACACCCCTGTGTGGAATCAAGCATCAACTCGGATGATTTCATTCCAAATGATCTTACTCTTGGACGCAAGAGTAATTCAGAAAGGCTATTGCTCTTAAGTGGTCCAAATATGGTACGTCTTGCATATGCTGATTCAACAAAAGTTTCTTCTCCGAATAAAGCTCATCAATAGACCCATCGTTTCTGCTCTTTAGGGAGGAAAAAGTACCTTGCTTCGACAAACTTGTTTGATTGCAATCCTCGCTCAGATTGGAAGTTTTGTCCCGGCGGAATCTTGTGAGCTCACCCCAATTGACTGCATTTTCACTCGATTGGGAGCCTCCGATCGAATCCTCTTGGGCCAGTCGACCTTCTTTGTCGAACTTGCCGAAACAGCTTCAGCCCTCCGTGGAGCAACTCGACGCAGCCTTGTCATTATGGACGAGCTAGGTCGCGGAACGTCCACCTTCGACGGTACCGCTATTGCAGGAGCAACAGTCAAGCACTTGGTGGAACGCAGTCAATGCTTGAGTTTGTTTGCGACCCATTACCACTCCCTACTCAATGAGTGGGAACATGAACCAAAGGTCCGACTCGGTCACATGGAATGCATGGTGGAAGATGGAGAAGAAGATGCTCCTGATGACAGTCGGGTCACCTTCTTGTACACACTTGGACCTGGAACTTGTCCCAAGTCCTTTGGTATCAACGTTGCTCGGCTTGCAGGTCTACCCCAACAAGTTCTCGTCAATGCCAAGCGGGTCAGTGAAGAGTTCGAAGCCGAAATGAACGATCGTCATCAAAAGAAACCTCGTATTAGCTCTGAAGCCGCCGTCGATTTCAAACAGAAGATTACAGATGCCATTCAGTCTCAAGATTGGGACAGTCTCCGAGCACTACAAAACGAATTGAAAGCCTCTGCATGAAGATTTCATACTGTAAAAGAGTAACTCTACTTTTTCCCTGTAGCCTTTCAAGATATCGTCGCGTTATAGATCGACATTGCTCATGCTGCAATTGATGATATATGAGTAAGAGGGAACCTGGAGGAGTCCGTCTCGGTCTTTGGTATGGTTATGCGCCATGACGAATTGTGTGACGAACTCGAAAAAGAAGATGATACTAAATTGACTCTCTATTTTCGTTTTTTCTTAGGATTGCCTCCTTTGCTTTCCGTCTTTTCTTTTGGCTTTGATTTTGGGTCGTCAAGGAGAGTGTTGAGTTCACCGCTCGCAAACTTCATGGCAACATTGGATATCTGACAAACGATGGTGCAAGCTGTTCCATAGGCTGCAAGTCCATTCCAATCAAAAAAGTAAGAAAAGAGCTGGCCTCCTGCTATTGTCAGTGCAATCAGTAGGGCAAGATGAAATATCCGAGTGGCATCAAAAGAGACTCGCATCACCAAATGCTTGTGTTTTGCATCCGCGGCACTGTGGGCTATTTGCAAAAGACAATGGCGATGCTTGGAATTTGATGTATTGTTCGACTACTCCGAACACGATTTGTGATAGTCAATGCAGCTGATTCTCATTTTCTATTTCATTCATTTGAATGGTTGTCTCGATTCTGCGATATCACAACGAGAAAATTAAATCTAATGCATTTTATATTAATAGCTTGAGAGCTGACTCTACAGTTGCAATGTTTTTTGCATCATTGCTTTGAATTCAGCCTTCTCTTCTTCGGTCATGGTGGCCATGGCTCGTCCAATTCCTTCAACAATGCCCATCGTTCCAATCTTGGCTGTGTTGCCTCCTTGCGTCATCACTTGGACAACTTCTTGCACCACGCACTCTTTGGTGTAGCTGATAACTTTCTGTTCAAGGAGTTGGTAGTTTTCACCCATCCATGTGAGCATTGCCTTGTCATCTTCCCATTTGGCCTCGGTCATACCCGGTGTTGCCAAAAACCACCGTTTGATCAAATCAGAAGCTTCAAGAGGAGTTGGTGTCTTCACGCCTCTCCCAACTTCTGCTGCTTCGATAATTTTCTTGCGCAAATCAAATTCAGCGAGCTTTCTTCGCAGTCTCCAGTAGAAGAAACCTCGAGAAGTTTCCCAATCAACCTGTTGGCGAATGACTCCAACTGCCTCCATTCTTCCAGGAGTGTCATGGAGTTCACAGAATTGCACCGATATTTGCTCATAAACAGGCAGCAAGGCACGTTCCCTGCTTGAAATCTCTGCTTGAGTTCCTTGGTGTTCGGCATCAGTCGATCCTTGTGCCAGCTTTGCGTCCAAGGCAATCAACTCTTCGTCAAGTCGATGCATTGTCTTGATGAGATCCTTTGTGCGATACTTGACGCTCGCAGCTCCGTTTGCTTCGAGCACACCACCACGGGCACTGCCAGAAGAAGCATACATTTCCATCACGGAAGCATTGATAGACGCATCAAGAACCACCCAGGCCCCACCTCTGATCTCGGCGAACGGAGGAATGAAGACGAAGACAGGTTGCTCATAGGCAACAAATGCATCAACAATCAACGAACCATACTTCAAGACCTCATCAAACATATCTCGCTGTCCTCCACTGAATCCACGCCAGTTGGCGAATACAATCAAAGGCAAATCCTCCGTTCGGAAGTCATTGATTGCTTGGGCAGTCTTGTAGGCACTGTTGGGGAACCACACGCACCCAGCTTCTTGGATGACAGCTTCGGACGCTTTCACATCAGCAGGATCAGCTGGCTTGATGTTCTCCGCAGTGCGGTTTTCAGTGATGACAACACCCATTGGAATTCCCCCGAGCCTGGCGCGTCCAATGACCACCGTCTTCGCCCATCCAGCGAGGGCTTCGGTGAAACTTCCTCTGTCAAAAAAACCACTTTTCCATACTCCAGTGTCGTCTTCTCCACCTGCGAGAAGCATTCTGGGATCATAAGGAGTTCCTGGGACTGGCACAAAGTCAATCTGTCGTTCGATTTCATCCACTCCTCGAATGTCTGTCACGGGTAGGAGTCCTCCCCTGCGGTGAGGCACATACGACAACCAATCGATGGCGGACTTCACAGCGCGCAAGTGGTCGGGCTCTGCCAAGTGGGAGACACCGTTCGAGTACATGATACCTGGACCTCCAAGTTGATCATTAGTCGAGTACACGTCGACGCCCATCAGTTTGTTCAGAGCTTGGTACCCAGTCAAGATGATAGGCGATGCAGAGGTCTTCTGAATCGTACGTTGACCAAGTCGAACAAGGTATGCACCAATTCCAACAGTTCGGCCAAGAACGATAGTGAGCGTGAAAATGTCCTTGTATGCGGCACTTGTCTCTCCGGCGATGAGACCCGAGCCTTTCAGATTTTCTACTCCCAGATCTGGCTCGGACCCGATGATATCCGTCACGCGGAACACGTCTTCACCATTAAAGGTTGCCGGTTCCACGAGTATATTCTTCTTTTCAGAAGTGAGAGCTGCGTAATCATCTTTCGTTACATAAAGGAAATCGAATCCATTTTCTGGCTTCGCATTTTCCTTGAAAGCAACCTTGAACTTTTGGCGCACTGATTCTGCTACTCCGATCCGAGCACCTGAGTTTGCTGCCACGTACAAACGGGGAATACGTTTCTCACGAGCATATTCGGATGCAAGTTTGAACACAACATCCTCGCGAGTACCGAAACTTCCTGCCTTGTGGGTAATGTCATTCGCAATCAATACAACTTGTCGACCCTGTGGGAAAAAATTAGTGTGTATCCATTCGTGGCAATTCAACGAACGATCGACTTACATTGGGGTATTCAACTGTTTTCAACACCATCAACCAAGCAACCATTCCGACATTATTGGCACCTGCCTGTCGGCTCACTTCTACCAACTCGAGGTCACCGCTGAGGTAGTCATCCATAGTCCAAGTATCTTGATCCATTGAAGTAGTTTTCTTCACAACGAGTTCTGTAGTGTACATCACCATCAAAGGTCGAGCAGAGCTTCGGATGCTACCTTCAACACCTCCTCTCTTCGAGGCATCAACCCACTCCTGTTCAACGGCTGCTTCGAACAACGCTGGAAGATCGTAGCAGTATAAGGTGTCTGATGAACGAAGAGCAGCCTTTCTCTGGTTGTCAAAAGGACGAGTGAGTGGATAGGGAGTGTTCACATTTAACCCTTCCCACGAACTGTCACCGGCACACGCCAAGCTCGCCTTGGTGCCTCCAATGAGCTTGAAGACTCGGTCGCTGCTTGATTCGTCAGCTGCTTCGACGTAAGTGTTCATGACATGGACGTATCCAGTCGGGTTGCTGGCCACCAATCGCAAAGAAATTGGAGGAGAATCGGGACTCAATGAGCAAAGAATCTTTGTCTCCACTTCGACAATGCCAAGTGCTGACACTCTGTCACCATGACGTTTCAAAATGTCGACGACAACTTGTTCCACCACCACAGGGTCAAGTACAACCTTCTCGAAGTCGCTGACAAGATTTACGAACAAGTGATTGTCAGCCTTGAGGTTCTCGGATTTCAAGTCCAGAGCATTGAGAGCATCAACCAGAATTCGTTCAAAACTCGATGACGAGAAATCAAGATTGAAGCTCAGTGCCCGAACGAACATTCTGGACGCCTTGTTGGCTTTCTTGTCTTTCACGAGGGCAGATTGCTTTGGAGCAGCTTCATACAAGTGGATGTGAGATGTTGTAGTATGTGTCGCTCCAAGGGTCTTGACACGGAAGTTTTCTGCAAGTCGGTGCATTTCCAGGTTGATTGCATGACTTGGATTGATATCTCTGATAGTAGTTTCTTCCTTGTACTCTGGAAAACGGTATGTGAATGCCCCAGGTGATGTATCTGCTTCTCCGTCTTCGTTCAACCGCTCGAAGATGACTGTCACACGTCGAACTTGAGCATTTTGATAGAGACCCTTGTGGTGAGACAATAGTGAATGACAACGCTCTGCGAGCGCATCGTTGGACTTTTCATCTCCAGAAGAAGCTGTGTTAGGTAGAATTAGATATAGAACATTCATCGGACCAGCAGTGGGAGATATCGGCATCGTAGGGAATTCGTTCAATACTGCTGTGATGTTCGATGCATTCGACAAATCATCAATGCTGTCAAAAATCTTGATGACTCCCGTTCTCTGTACGCTCGATGGAACTTTCTCAAAGTTCTCGGCTGTGATAACCCTGTTCTCAGAGTCACTTTCAGCAGAGTCACTTAGCTTGCTGAGTGAGGACGAACTGACCATACTGCTCAATTCAGTCATACTGCTGACAGAAGTCAGCTTGTGCAAAACTTTCTCAGGAGCTTTGTTGGTGAATGCAAACTTCACGATTCGTTGGTCGAATTTCTTCTCAGTTTCCTTCAAGGTGTATGTTCGATACAAACGGCGTGCGTAGAGTTCGAGCAAGCCAATTTCTTCCTTTGAAGCTAGGACTGTCTTCAGAATGGGAAAGAAAACATCTAACATTGGTGTCTGATCAGCAAGGAGTTCCTCTGCCTTGGTCGCATCAGAGACAGTAAGTGTCTTGGCTGCCTCAAGCACCTTCTGCTTTCGTTGTTCCAAACTTGGCATACTCTCTTGCATCAAAATTTTACGAGCCCGGAGAGCAACTTCGGCGTACAACTTGTTCTGGCCCATCATTCCAACCTCAGAAATAGCAGGAAGAGCATCAGGTAGACTCTCCGCTCCAGCGACAATCGAGACACGCTTTCCAATTGGTGCTGCATTTGTAGTTGTCAAATCCACTCTTGATCCATCATTAATGATCGAGATCACTCGATTGATAATGTACGAAGTTGTTTTCAGCTGCTCGTGTGCACGACAAATACTCAGAATGGTAGAGGCATCGTCTTTGTGAATCTTTCTGATATTGGTGACGGAGTCAGCGTATGATGGGCCTTCATAGAACCAACGCTCTATCGAAATCCAGCGTCGAAGGATGTCAATAAAGAACAACAGTGCTTTCTCAGCACCTGGAACGCCAGTGGCCTTGCTCTTGGTGTAAGGAAGCACAGTATCCTTCAGGGGAGTGGTCAACGCGACAAACGTTGATTTCTCAGCTGCTTCAGACAAAGAGTTTGCTTGAGAATTGATTAACGAGATCACTTCTTCTGCTGGAAATCTATATTCAGAAGAAAACGTCAGTTGCCACACCAAGAACAAGCAGGAATAAGCAATCGACAACTTACCGAAGCTGGACTCCACTGCCCTCCTGAACCAGATTTCTGAAATCAGCAATGATCTTGGTGATACTGTCAAACAACTTGGCGGGGATTCGACCACTCAATACAGATAGTTGCTCGTCGACTTCAAACATGGGAAGTGATGAATGAGTTACAGCAGTTGCCAGGTCCTCCATCGTGAGATCAACTTCATTTTTGTCAAGGACGTATCCGGATATCGCTCCTTCAAGGACATCAACTGCGGCTCGCATGACAAGATGCGGTCTAATTGCATTCGCTGGACGACTCGAGTTACCCCATCCTTCAACTCGCAACAAGCCATCAAATACTGTAACAGAAGCCACGTTTTCTGGATTGTCAAGTTCCAGTGTCGCGAGCAGATCACCTGCTGCCAACGATGCACCCTCGTTGCCCTGCCAGTGAACAATTCCAGCCTCTTCCACCTTCAAAGGCATGAACATTTTCATCACTTCGATTTCGGCATATGCTTCGCCCTTCTTAACGTGGGTACCATCTGCAACAAGCTTCTTAACCAATTTTCCTGCGACGTCTGTTCTCAGTGAAGTTGGATCGTAATCAGGAGAAAATGCAACGTTGGAACCGCCAACGTTGAGTCTCATTCCGGTGGCAACATCTCCTTTGTTTGTCAAGTAAGCGACATGACTGGTTCCTCCAATCTCGATCAAGTAACCGCCATCGCTCAATTTGCGTACATTGGTCATCACAAAGGCATCTACATTTCCATCCAACCCGATGCGGAAACTGCATTGTCCCTTTCGGGTGCAGAACAGCTTGTACTTGACGCCATTGAGAATCAGTTCCACGTGATGCTCCATCTTCAACAGATTTCGTGGAGGAAGTTGGCCTTTCTGTAGTAGCTCCGTGAATTGGTGCTCTCCCTCCATACAGCTGTCGTATGCTACAATGGTTGCTCCCATGGCAACATGAAGATGGCTTAAGGAGTCGTCCAAATTGACCATGGAACTTGCACGCTTCATCCCACCTTCGACAGCTCCAATTCCTTCGACGTTTTCCTTGATGATACCGTCAAGCCAAGCTGTATCGATTTGATTGTTAATGAAATCATCTAGTTCGATCAACCTCGAGATGTATCCAACAGTAGTGCTGATGTCACCACGAATGGAAAGTTCCTTCAACGCCAAAACCATGTTTCGACGGGCTTGTTCTCTGTCAGTGCCACTCGCAAAAAGATGGCCAAACTGTGAGTCTGCAAATTCGTGGATGGATCCGGAACTGTCCATACTGAAGTAACCCCAAACGTTTGGTGTAGATCTGAAGTTCAATTCTTGGATACCACCACTGGTTGGCTTGAATCCTGCTTCAGCATTTTCAGCAGTAATACGAACCGCAATACAATGGGCATGTGGCTGGACACGCTGGGCACTATCAAAATCAATTCTTGAGCTCTCGGCGTTTGGGTCATCTTCAAAGCGGGTTCGGCCATAGACTTCTCTGATTTCAGGGATATTGTCCAATGGAATACCCATGGCAACTTGGAGTTGGGCTGCCGGCAAGTTCACACGAGTGATCATTTCCGTGACAGGGTGCTCCACCTGAAGACGAGGGTTCAATTCCAAGAAGTAGAATTTGGAATCTGGTTCGGAGTAAAGGTATTCAACTGTTCCAGCGTTGGCATACCCGACAGCCTTTGCTAGAGCGACAGCAGCCTTTTCCATTTCAGCCCAGACTTCTGGGTTGGCGGCGACAGGAGGCCCCTCCTCAATAATTTTTTGGTGGCGACGTTGGACGGAACAATCTCGGCCGTTCAAGGCAACAGCATTTCCATATTCATCAGCCAGCAATTGGACTTCCAAGTGCCGCGATTTGGTGGAGAGCCTCATGATGAATATTGGACTTCCTGGGACTTCACCACATACTTGTCTGTAAGCATTTGGGACGTCTTCGATCTTTTCCACAAGTCGAATACCTTTTCCACCTCCTCCTTCCGACGCCTTGATCATTACTGGAAGTCCAATTTTCTGAGCGGCTTCAGTAGCAGCAGAAGCTGAAGCAATAGAAGCATCTTCGTAAGCCTTCTCAGGAAGAGTTCCGGTTTCTTTGTCATAACTTGCATTAACGTCTGATCCATTCCAATCGATGCATGACACTCCAGCTGATTGCGCAATGATCGTACTCCCAATCTTATCTCCCAGAGCGCGCATTGGAGGTCCAGCAGGACCAATAAACTTGATGGGAGGGTTACTCTTGGCCAGTGTGTCTGGTAGGATTGGATTCTCACTAGCATGTCCCCATCCAGCCCAAACAGCATTCACGCCATGAAGGCGTGCCAATTCCACAATCAGCGTGACATTTGCATAGTTGTGATTATTCGAACCCCCCGGAACATCGATAATCACATCTCCCATTCGAATATATTCGGCATTCGCTCTGCAAAGTGACAAAATTTATTGAAGCGATATCCATGAGATAACAAAAGCTCCCAAAATTGCTGACGTGAACGCCCACAAAATCTAATCTAATCTAATCAAATCTAATCTAATCAAATCTAATCAACGTACCGCAAATCTTCTGGAGTTGCCATGACAATAAACTTGATAGCTCTTTCATCTCCAAACACCTCGTATGCCCATTTTCTGATAGAACGAATAGCTTTGACAGCAGCTACACCGTTGTTGGCAATCAAGACTCGTTCAATTACAATGCCTTTGTTTCCTCCGAGTTGTTCCACAAACGATTGGACAGTTGGAAACCGACGATGGGAATTATCATTAATGCTTAACCGAGACAATCGCTTCTTCAGCGGTTGTGCTGGACTGAGTGGAGTTCCCACTTCTGCCATGATGAGATTTATCTGCAAATGATATGGACGGTGGGAGGGATGATGAGACTATCGTGATGATTTCATACCGTGATTTCAACTACGTCATAAGAAGATATCTACGTAAAATCCACGCGGAACGAATTGACCAATGACAATCGTCCAACCACAGCTCATTTTTTGAAAAACAAAAAGGCGATGATACAGTAGATAGATGCATGATGGATCCTTCAACTCACCGTCCGAGAAACACAAAACTACAGTAGTGCGCAAGAACAGCTCTATCCAATAGAATATTAATGGAAGAGACTTTCGATAGATTATAAAGAGCCGATTGAAAGTTGTTTGGATCTGTTTTGAAAGGGTGAGAGGTTCCCTTTTGGTATCCTTCAGGAAATTCCCGTCGACAATTTGGCGGCGGTGTCACAAAGACGTGTGTGAGGTGCGCATTTTTGCGATGCGTGACGTCTTCACTCCTTCGCACTGAAATAACGCAATGTGCATGGCAAAGTGGTCAAAATGACACCATAAAACACTGAGGGCTGCAAAAATTTACGTCTGGCCGTATGTCGAGCATACGTGGCGGAATGAAATCAATCCATCAGTGGTACGTCGGAAATTTCTTTCTCCCATTTCTTCGTTTTCTCACTCATCAGAGTTTACAAGAGGGAAGATAGAACAAAAATACAGTACAAGATGGACCATCAACAGAGCAAGGGTCCCAGCACCCAAAGACGTAAATATGGCATGACTTTGCTCCTCCTTTCTTCGTTGGCATCAGGATGTGACAGCTTTGTCCAACAACAACAACAACCGCAGCAACCACAACAACTTGCATCATCGCCCTCGTTGACTCAGCTCAATACAGCACCAGCATTACCGGATCTCAGCGAAGTATTGGATGTTGAATCATCGTGCGTCGAAGAAGCTACCAAGGAGTTCCTTGATTCATCTACCGAAATGCCACTGACTGTGAATGGAGGCAGCGAAGTATCCTCCTTTGCCCCACCATTGAGTTACGACAAATACTTGACCATGCAGGTGAGTGGTGTAAGTCGACGATTCATGTTTTCTGCGCGATTGGCGTCGCATCTGCAAAGATTTCTATTGCTGGCTACTGAGTACCGTACCATGTTCTCACTCTGTCTCTTGCCAATTGTTTTCCTTACTACTGCTGCTGTAACTTCGTCTTCAGAGCAAGCGCGTTGCCGTCTCGGTTCGATATTCCGAAAAATCAGGCCTTCGCCCCTATTATTTGACAGTCGCAAAGAGAATCAAAGAGGCATTCCCAGATGTAGTTTTGGACAAGGTCCTCCTTCCAAGAGTGGAAGTCAATGAACATTCCAATAGCCACGAAGGATGCACCTTTCAAGTTCTGGTCGATGGAAAGATTGTCGTTCGATCGCCCAGTCGCAAGGGATTGGTTGGAGAATACATTCAAGTCTTTGTCAATATGCAAGAGATCGAAATTGCCATAAGCCGGGCCCGCAAGAGACGGCGGCCGCAGACTGTCTATGGGGAAGACGATAGCAATGCCCGATTGGAAGTGTTGAGGAACAAGGCTAGGGGCGGAAAGGAGCAATCCGAGTAAATGACGATTGCAAGGCATACAAAATGAACCTTGCTACTGTATGGCAATATTTCTAGGCGGTAGTAGAAGCGAATAATAGAATGTGAAAAGTGAAAAGTGAAATGTTAACTTTTTCAACGATGTGTCGCTGAGATGTGTTGTGGTAGTATGCTGCTTGTTGGTCAAAGTTCGCCGATCCATCAGCATGCACCACAGATGCTCTGATGGCAATAATGCTTCTCCATATTGCAAACATTAGAGCGAATGCAAATGTTGTAAAAGCAATTGGCTTAGGTAGATACTCTGGCATTGATGCGTTCATCAAAACTTCGTCCTGGAAGATGCACAGTGAACTCGGACTGGTATTTTTTGAACATGGCAATATCATGCTCGGTCAAGTTGGGAATCTTGTAGATATCCTTGACCTTCTCGTAAGGGCCATGGCTAGCAATCTTTCCAGCTAACCACCAAAGCGAGAGCAGAAAAGTAATACAATGATACAGCACAGCGTTAGAGAAATTGAGTACATCGGTGGCTTTGTTTTGGTGCAACGCACCCAAACATCGTACTTCATGACTTGACATCATTGCTACCAACGCATTCGTACACGTACTAGGAGCTACTTACCAGCAGATGGGAACATTCCCCGAAGTTCTTTGTAATCTCCCACAAAGGCCGAGTTCAGATCGAATTTTCCATCTGTGGCCTGTTGTTGTGGTTCGTAGGCAAAGTCATCCAGCTGTTGGCTAAAGGCGTTGGACAGCTCGGGAAAGGCTAGAAGCCCAGCAGCACCTGCAATTCCAGCAGTCAAGAGTTCCAACGTATGGCGACGACTGACTTCGAGTTGGGATGCAGGGCGGATCTTTTGCTCCATCATTCTGTTGGTGGAGAAGGAAGATACCAAAGAAGGCAAAAGACTTACTAGGAAAAGAGGAAGCTTCATGATGACGATAATGATGGATGATGGCTGATGGCCCTGATTGTGATGGGCACCGGCTAGCTAGTACAATATCAATTGGCAATAAACTTTGTGTGTCGTGTCAAGAGGATGGGTTCTCTTGGTGCTGTCACGATCGACTTTTGTGGGATCGATTTGCAGCATGTTGAGGTTTGGTTGATGGCAAATCCAACGAACCGACCCTTCTCACACATCAAGAGAACGCGATGACGAAAATGTGCGTTTGGTTTTGCGAGATTTTTAGAGGGAAAATCCAATGCGCGACTTACAATGCGCGTTGACATTTCCGTGACTGGATCGACTTCAAAGTCAGCTTGATCAGATCAAGAATTCGACCGATTTTGATAACAACCACGGCTGAATCTTAATCTTGTTCCAACCAATACGATACTGTACGTTTACAATTTACAGCATTTGCTAACAGGTACAAATAAACCAAAGAATCAAACACGACATGAATAATTCCACTGAAGGTCCTTCATTAATGTTATCGCTATCAGAAGCAGCACCCAACAGCAACGCCCATGAATCCGGACCAGAAGAATGGCAATGTCCCAGATGCACACTCTTAAATCCTCAAGCATCGGATACTTGCGAAGTTTGCGAATTTGATCGGGCTGCCCAAGCTCGTTTCGATGCCGCTGAAACCAGCGACGCAGACATTCGTCAGCTCGTGGTCAATGCTCGAGAAGAACGAAAATTCCTGATTCGATTTGAACCCCTGCACCCACTAGTCGCCAACAATGTATTTGGAACCACCACGAGCATTGCTTCGTCTGGTCTCATTGGCGGATTAGTAGGAGGTCCCGTGGGTGCTCTAGTGGGAGCTGCTGGGGCGGTTGTCTTGGATGGTGCCAACCGTTTGAATCATCACCTGCGCCGGAACCAACCGGATCGCCGACCAGGACGTCAAATTGTCATTACCAAAATACGGATGGATGGGTCGGCAATGAGTATCACAATGAAGACCATGACACGCTGTAGGATCATGGCTATTCAACCCATGATTATTCGCACTAGTCATGATGGGACTGCAATGGAAAGTAGAGTGGACAATAACTATTGGACACAACTAACGCCTCGAGATCAACGAATGGCCCAAATATTGTTTTTGCATTTGTTATCAGACACCTCCATCCCAGAAGGCCAAGTCATGAACATTTCGTACGAAGAGTTATTGGAACGAGTTGTGGGTACCGCCTATGGTGATGATTCGAAAAAAGGAGCCACACAAGAGGAGATTGAAACTCATTCAGAAATCATTGCACTTAAGACGGAAGAAGATTTGGCACGATTGAAGGATCATCAAAAGGGCTGCAACATTACCTTGGAAGACTTCAAGGTGGGAGATAAGATCCGCGTCTTAAAGTCCTGTGGACATGCCTACTTTCCTGACTCCATAGACGAGTGGCTGCACAAGGTGAATTCTTGTCCAGTCTGCAAAACCGAGCTACATGCCCATGGTGGCGTGGAAAAGGCATCTGAGAAGCCTGCCACCACTACTGCGAACGAGCGGCTTAATGATGACGAGAGTCTTCATTCATTGTAATGATTACTTTTATACTTTGTAGATTAATACCCAATTACAGTACCATCCGAACATCTCGCTCCCATATTCATTTATTCAATTCATTTATTCATCAAGATACCTTCCCCAGTAGGAAGTTGGCGATCTTGCTTGAAGATGACAAAACTGGTAATGATTCATTCGAGTTGATCCAGTTCTTGAGTCTTCGAATCGAAGAAATCTGAGTCACATCAAGTGAGTCTGGCCTTCCACCCGGTTGGTGTCAATTGGCGCGTCGTAAAATACCTACCAGTTTCATGTGGATGCGCCGGCGCCGTCAAGTCATTTTCTTTTTTTGGTTCCATGGTTTCTACGAGGGTTTGAACTGACATGATCTACCAAGAAAAAGGAGCTTCGATTTGCCACACAATGTTGCTCAATCGAATGAAACAAAACCTTGCCACAACCCCATTCGGATCGATCGAGATACTACCAATCTATCGAATCAACGAGTTGACTCTTTGGATCAGTAAACATCACACCAAACCAAACCTATTCATCCTATTCCACCTCTAGATACTGCAAGATACCGTAAGTACAATGGAAGCCAGTGACGCAGCAGTGGCCGAGAAGCCCAAGGAGGACCCAAAACCAGCCGAATCAGAAGACAAGAAGACTGATGAGAAGCAAGAGCTTCCACCCGCCGTGGCAGTTGCCATTCCTGCAGAGGAAGCCACAGAAGCCAAAAAGGATGCTGTCGCTACTGAAGCTGCTGAAGCAAGCGCGGCTCCCGTTGAAGTCGCTGCTCCGGAAGACGAAGCGAATGCCATCTGGGAGCCTGCTCCTCCAGATATTCTCTCCGGACGTGGAGCTTCGGTCAATGCTCACCCAGGCAATAAAAAGTTTCGTGCTCTTTGCTTTGCTCGCAAGCCTGAATTCGAAGCTGGCAATCACGCTGCCAAGCGCCGTGTGGCTACCGAGATTGTCACTTCCTCCTTCGATGGTGGCAAAGCACGATTCCTCAAGAAGAAGGGTGAGAAGGGTCCTTGGTACGAAATGACCAAGGAACAAGCCATCCTCAAGGCCTGCCAAGTCATGCGTGACTACAAGCGCCCTGATCGCATGGCTATGCGTGAAATGATGCAACAGAATGGACATGCTCGCAAGCGCAGTCGTTCTGCTGAGCCATCGACTCCTCTTTTGGACACTGTAAGTATTGCACTGCAATGCCTTGATATGCGTTGGGCACCCTATGGATACAAATGAATTCTAACCATCACCCTTTCTCTTCCCTTTCTTTTATCACCACACAGCCTGTTCCCAGTGGACCTTTGGAACCCATTATTGAGAACCCCTTTGGTGTTCACAGCCACGATGTCCTTTCTGGACGAGGTGCCTTTGTAAATGGCCACGTGGGTAACAACCGTCTTCGTACTCTTGCCCTCGAACGCAAGAACCAGTTCGATGCTGGCAACTACACCGAGAAGCGTGCTCTGGCCACCGAGATTGTCCATATCATTCGATCCCTCAAGCCACCAGGCCGGTTCTTGAAGAAGGTGACTGCCAAGAAGGGAGAAAAGGTACCTGAAGAAAAGGATGCTGCCAAGGCGTTCGAGAACGAATGGGAGGAACTTCCCGACGAAAAGGCAATCCACAAGGCTTGTCAAGTCATGAGAGACATTGACCGTCCCGACCGCAAGGATCGTGAACTTCGTCGCGCAAGCAAGAAGAAGAAGCTCAGTACGGACAAGGGTGATGACGTCAAGGAAGGGGAAAAGAAGGAGGACAGTGCCATGGACGTCTTGGCTGCTGGTGTCGAGAAGACTGTTCAAGACACTGTTGCCGAAACCGAAGTTGCCTTGGATAAGGCTTTGGAGGCAACCTCTGATCTCAAGAAGGACGAAACTCCAACTGTGGAAGTCTAATGGACTTGGAATTCGGGAATCCATCCCATGAAGCACAAACACAATTATATTACAAACACAAACATAAAAAAGACTTAGGAAATTAAAAAATAACTGTAACGATACACATATTATTTATCTTGTGCAGTTTGTGAGTCTGCCTAGTGGCTTTAAATAAAGTAGAAAGGATCCAATATGGCATATAAGAAATGGAAGACCCCGATTTCATGAAACTGGAGGATGTCCTTCCATCTTCTCTTCTTGTCATGACGAGGCCAACGATTACAGGCAAGCTGTAAATGATTCAACCGGAAGAATCGACTTGTAAAATCGAATGATCTATTGAAGCATCAGTCGTGTAATATAACTCCTCCTATGTATTTTAAAATATGAATCTAGCGGTTCCTTTTTTCTTCTCTAAAAATAACTCGACTTGGGTTGTCCCACAACCAACAAGCCGAGACTGCATGGCAGTATGACAATAACTTCCTTATCCCATAGCATCCCTTTAAATTCCAATATCCCATGGCGTCCCGGTCCCTTGTCCCTTTTCCCAACGATAGTAGTAATACCATGTGGTTGTCCCATTATATCCCTTTCCCTTTGTCCAATAATATATCCATCCCATTGTTCCTTCCTAATAGCGATTCCTCTTCAAAAGCAAAAGAATGGTCTAAGCTTCGTTTGTGCATCCTTCAAAGTCAATTCATTCAAATCTCCGAGATCCAAACCACACATGAACCGACTGTAAGAAGGCTCGTCTCTGGCACCAGTTTTGGTTTCGTTCATTTCATCCTCTGGAAAAGCTTCTCCGTACTCTGTGTCAACAACAACAACATCATCCTCTTGCGAGGCCATCGCTACGTCTGCTTCGTCTTTCGTTTCAGGAACTCCAGTGTCCTTCTTGCGACGACCGCTCTTTTGAAGGACCTCTGATTTGCGGTTCGGAAGATGAAGAGGAGTGTCAATCTTCTTTGGGCTCTCCTGATCCAGCACTTGATTCACAGCGGTGATCGACGCAGCAGGAGTAGCAGCACTATTTTTGGGAGCACTAGGTCCAAGTGCATCAGCACTACAAACATCTGCCGTACTACTGTTGGAGGCATTGCTGCTGTCGAAGCTCTTATTTGGCGTCTCGCCGATGGTGGAGTTCAAGTTATCCATGGTGGGCGTTGTGGGCCTGGAACTGGTGGAAGGAATGGGTTCATCGGTGGTAGAAGGACTAGGATCGACTTCAATATCGTATTGCGAATCATCCCTTTCGATGAATCCATCTTGCGACGAGGTCTCGCCGAGTATGCTTGCCAAAAACTGCTTGTTAGCTCCATCCGAACGAGAACCTGAACGAGATCCTGTCGTCCAACTTTCCCCAGAGCTAGTTGATTGCTCGCCAGCTATGCTGCCCGTCATATTGGTCGCTTCCAAACGAGTTTGACTCCCGTCCGTTGAATAGTTCAAGCTCGACAAGTCTCTCGATCGGTCAATTTTGCGTCCTTGCTTTTGTCGCCGTGCTTCTTCTTTTTCTTTCTTGTCCAAATCCTTCAAAAAGCGGACAATTTCAGTTATTTCTTCCACTGACGAATCATCTGACGACTCTCCTGTGGGTGGATTAGTGGATTGATCATCCAATGATTCACTCCCTGAGGATTTCTTGGGCTTTGACAAGGTAAGCAAAGGAGGCGATTTCTTCTTTTTCTTTCCAGATTCCGAACCTGAGTCGTCAAACGAGTACTGCGGGGATGATGTCGGTGCCTCGGTCTTGGGTATCATCGTCGTGGATAATGGACTGCACCTATGTTTTGGTGTTTCTCAAGAGATATTTTTTAAATGTTGAGATTCGAAGGCGGGAAAAATGAGATCCCACCAATGCTTGTGAAAAATGCGTGACATTTGAGTTTATTTTAGTTAACGACTGAGGATGGACAGGCTCAACTTAGTTACAGATGGTGGATGGACCGGCTCAGTATGTTTACGATGGTAGACGGGCCGGCTCATGTCTTCACCGAAGTACGACATGTGACAGATGGAGAGTACAAGTACCGGTGTACCAGGTATCTGGTGGTTCCGGTAGTGGTTGGAGTCTCGAAAAAGAGTTTACTACTGTATACGGTAGAAATATTGAAGTATAAAAGTATAAAAGTATAAAATCTTTTAGAACGACAGTATTCTATAATAATTTACAATAGTATCCAACCACCAGACAATCTGTTTAAGGTCAAAGCCATGTCTGACAGTTTCAATCCCCCAATTCAGTAACCCACACGACTTGGGTATCTTGTTGTTCAAAAGCAAAAGAATCTTCGAAGCGACTTGCTGGCATCTCCCAAATCCAGACCGCATAACAGGTGGCTCAAGGATGGCCGCTCTGCGGAAGAATAATCCGTAGTATTGGAAAAATAACTTTCCTCCTCGTCTTCGATTTCTCGTTTCCGGGCACTCCTCTTCTTTCTGCGACGCGGGCTCTCCCCCCCTGCTCTTTCTTGAGCGCTGCCAGTGCGGCTACTGGTACGCTGGAGCCGATGCGCCGTATTGGGACTTGATAACGATGATGATGACCGGACAGGAGTGAAAGCGTTATTGGAAGCAATGATGCTCTGACTGTTGTAACTCCTACTCCTCGTGGGTCGATGATTCACGTCGATTGGACTTGATTTCCTTGGAGCAATAGCATTTAAGGGCTCTTGTGATGATGGGAGAGGAGTAGAAGCACTATTGGAAGAAATGCTACTCTGACTGTTGTAACTCCTGCTCCTTGTGGGTCCATTCGCATCGATGGGACTTGGTTTCCTTGGAGCCACATTAGCCAAGGACTGTTGACTCCTGGACTTGTTGGCGACGGTGCGTGTCGTGGGTTTGGTCGAAGGACTAGGAGCCGCTGCCATCTGGAAAAAGTAATCATCCCGGTTGTACCTTTCTTCTGCGGAAGGCTCTCCTTCCAGACTGCCAAACGACCTGTCATCATCTATTCTTGCTCGATGCTCTGCACCGACTAGTGAAGGCTCCTCCATCAAGCTGCCAAACAATTTGGTCCCTGCCAAAAGTGACCCTGTGTCCGCTGTCGCTCCACTCTCAATTGTTGCTCCACTATCCGAATTGGCAGCAAACTGCGTTGATCCTTCCGAATAAGCAAGAGAGGACCCCATTGAAAACGCGGAACGATCACTTGACACTTTGCGTTCTCGTCTTTCTTTTTTATCTTCTTCCTCCAGGAATCGGATGATTTCGGTCAAGGCTTCGCTCGAAGAATTGGTCGACTCTCCTGTAGATTGAGATTGGCCCGACAATGGATCAATCGTCCTGGAAGGTGTTTCAATTTTGATAATTTTCGCACCGGAATGAACCATCAAGTGGTTCAGAAAACGTTCAAATTCAGTTTGCGCATCCTCTGAGACAAAAGTGATTAAGGAAAAATCAACAATCAAAAGAGGCTTCATAAACTCCATTTCAATATCGATTCGAACCTGATATTCCATAAGCATCTCGTCCTTGTCCCATCTCTCTTCAGGGGAGTCCTGAAGAGTAGCCAAAGTGGAATCCTGCAAAATATCCAAGCATACGCACAGATCTTCATACAAGGAATCTTCCACAGGGACAACTCCTTGCACTGGAGGCAGCCAGAATATGTCACCCCTCATAAAGTTTTTCGTTCGCTGCACGGAGTAATCATATAGCGCCGCAACAATAGTATCTTTCATATGACTCACTGGCCCAGAGATGCGTATGACATCCTCCACGCGAAGAGCTTGCAAAATGTCATAAAGCTCAACATCTCCTGAATTCGTTGCTTTCTTGGTCTTCTCATCTCCCAAGTACAACTTGACTTTCCTTTTCTTTTTCTTCTTGTCTTTCTTTGAAGCAGATTCGTCAAACCTGACAATAGGTGACGCTAATGAGGCCTCATTGTTGGAATTCATCATTTTTGTGTTTGTGTTTTGGAGGTATTTTCGCAACGGATAGGAGATGCACTAGGTTTGTACGTAGCGGAACGGAAAGCAAGCCAGTACTTAAATCCAATTCCCGCGCTCTAAATTGATGCGGAGTAGAGTACAAGAAAATACGAAGTACCCATGGCCCTCTAGAGAAACAGATGGTAGCAATCATACCGGTACGTAACTTTTTTAAGAAAGGTGTTGAAACAAACGTCACGCCAAACCTTATAGTTTTAACCACACTAGCTAAAGCGATGGAAAGCCAGAGAGTAAAATAATAATATAGCAATGATCTATTAAAATATAATATTGTTACAATTGAAAACAAACCCTCAGATGACTTTCTGTCACACATCAGATTGCGATACCGACGGTTCCGTTTTTTCCCGTTTCAAACCCACACGATTTGGGTTGACTGATTTCTTTATACATAAAATAGAAACGCGCGATTATCTCGATACAATAGCTCATACACAACCAGAGCAAATCGATCATCTTCTTCGCACCCCATTTTGTCACTTGTCCCTTCTTACCCCATGACACCCCCTATCCCCTTATACCGAGTCTTCTCAAAAGCCGAAAAATTCCCGCAGCGACTTACTGCCATTCGCCAGATCTAGACCACATAACAGTTGGCTATAGGATGCTTGTGAAGTATCTTGCCCCGAAGTCCGCGAAAAATACGATTCCTCGTCGCGGTCTACCGCTTGCGCGGCAGATTTTCGGGAACTCTTCTTCTTACGGCGACTTTTACTCTCTTCAGTAGCAGCTTTGTGACTTTCCGTGCTACCTTCTGTGTAGCTACTCGCAAGGCCAAGCTTTGGCGGTTCTTGAATCGCAGCAACAGAAGCAAGAGGCGTAGGACTTGGATCTGACGGGACGGGAGTAGAGGCACTGTTGGACGTATTGCTCGTTGTATTGCTCGTAAAGCTACTGGTCCTGTTGGGTCGACTCACATAAGAAGTGCTCGCATTCCACGGGACAGCAGCTGAACCACTACTTCTGTTGGAGGTTTGGCTGTTGTGGCTCCTACTCCTCGTGTAGGAGGTGGCAGAATTCAATGGAACGACAGTATCATTGCCCTTTTGATTGGAAGAGACGAGCTGACTATTGTACTTTTTGTCTAGCGACGGTATTGTGGACTTGTCATTCGTGGAAAGAGGGATGGGAGCGACTACGGTATTGTAATAGTACTCATCCCGATTGCTCTTGTATCCAACAACTTTCGAGGATGCCTTGGCCTCCTCTCCTTGCACGCTGCTGTCCAACAACTTGCCACCTACCAATGTAGAAGCATCCATTGATTCGCCACTCGTCGATTTGGGAGAGAAGGGCTCACCCAATAGGCTGTCCAATACCTTGGACCCACTCGTAGATTGCGGGGGGGAGGGCGGCTCACCTAATAAACTTCCCAGTAGCTTGGCCCCTGCCAGATGAGATCCATCCAATGTTCCTCCACCATCCGAAGTGTTCAAGGTGGCAGAACCTTCCGAATAGCATAACGTTGATAAGCCTTCCGAATACGCCAGAGAGGAAGCCGCCGAAAGAGTGGATCGATCACCGGACATCTTGCGTTCTAATTTTTTCTGTTTCTTGTCTTGATTTTCCTGTTCTTCAAGATCATTTAGAAACTGCATAATATCGGTCAAGCCTCCACCCGAAGACGAATCTGTCGATCCTGCTGCGGACTGGCCCGCATCAACACCACTTGCAGACAAAGCGGAAGATGGGCTTGGTTGTGATTTCTTATTCGCCAATGATCGAATGGATTTCTTTTTCTTCTGGTGGTCCCGTGGTGCAGGAGCAGGCTCGTCGTCAAACGCATACTGAGGAGAGGATGTGTAGCGAGGTGACGCTGCATCAGATGTCTCCTTGGCGCCTGATGACCTGTGATATCTGGTAATCATCGTTGTTGTTGTTGTTGTTGTTGTTGACAAACCACCACGTCGGTGTTGTGAGTTGAGGTTGATTTTCGTCTCAGAAAATTTCATAGTCGTTGACTTGGCTGACGGTTATCTCAACGCTCATAAATATGTACAGTACGGTAGAACGGTCGAAGGAAGAACCAAACGTGAAATTACAGTAACTTCTTCTTCAGTGTAATCGTAGGTGCCTCTTTGGTAAGATGTCTTGTCAATACGTTATGATGAAGAACAATGCATATATGGATCTTATTAGTACGGTAAACATTACATCTAAAATCTGTTGAGAGGCGCTGTCTTCTGGAATGGACTAAGGTCAACTCACCAACGACCGAGGAGCGAGTTGCGTCTTCTTGCAATACTTTAAGACCAGCGAAACTGGGACAAAGAAGAGAGCTCCGAGAAAACCCTTTTATCATGGAAGATACAACTATTTGACACATCATATGAATATACCTTTTTGGCATATTTTGAATGCGAGAAGATGTTTCAAAATGAATCGGAACACAAACTTTAAAATCACGAATGCTGTTGTTCGCCGTTATTGCTCGTCCTGTTGCTTAGGTAAAACAAGGAACTGGGATGAGAGTTTGGTAGAAATATTTTCAAGTCTATTTTGTTTCTTTCTAGCTATTGGTACAGTATTGGTATCATGATTGCTTGTTTGTTGCACAGCATCCTTTGGCACGGTTTAAAGGACATCTGTGGTTTCTCGTCGGCCATGCCTCCGTCTGGTTTGTTTGTCGACCATGACGGAGAGGACGCTTGTTTCATCAACAGCTTCCCGACGAGCATCATTGATTGTTTCTTCCCATTCCTCCGAAGGCAATGAATATTCATCGTCTTCGTAGTCATTGAAGTATTCATCACTGTCAACAGGAAGTGTGGCATTGTATTGTTGAAATGGATGAAGGACTTCGCGTTTGGAATAACTTGGAAAGTCAATGTCGAAATCGCATTCATCCAAATCGTCTCCATAGACAGAGTCAATATCATCTAGGAGTGAGGAGTTGTCATCGTAGTCCAGGCAAGACGAGGATTCGGAGTACACGCCATCGTCGTGATCATCTTCCTCGTCGTCGTCATCGCCATAATAATAGTTGTAAAGGTCGGCATCCATGGTTGGTTGAGGGGCACTTTCAGCGACTTCCTCGTCGTCATCGACGCAAATAACAAAGTAGAAAGGAGTTCGGACGCCCATGTTGTATGTATTGTATATATGTGTGTTTGGGTAAGTATAAGATTGCTGGTCTGGAAAGATTATGCTTTTGTTTTTTGTGAGGCCTTTGACTTTCAGACGTCAAAAAAATACGGGAGCACGATTAACTGCAACTGAACACTTTGTGGCTGTTTGTGAGCACAAAGTGCCAGCGAAGAGTGTTGACAGCAGCTTTTCAGTACCATTTCGGCACCGAAAAGTCACATGGGACGGAAAAGGGATTAATTGTTCACGTCGCATAAGACAGGATGGAACAATAAAAAGACAATAGACCCCAATGTTGAATGTAGAACGCTAGTCAGAGGTGAAAAGTGCACGCAGGGATGAGAACGGAGGGTTTTTGTTTATATATGTGGTTTTCGCAGAACGAATTTAGAGACTTTATCGGAAGGGTCAAGATGAACTTATAGACTTATCTTGATGGGCCCGGATGACCTTAGGAACGCTGCAAACTCTGATTATAGTCTTTTTCGGAGGGGCTAGAATACCTTCTTTGTGCCAATAAGTCTCGAGGAGTATTTATTAGAGGCTCTCACGCCCCTATGACTTTGGGTATGTACGTGTTGCACTTTCTTGGTGGGGCTTCTAGCTGATTGGCGAATCAAAGACATGATATTTGTACATCTTGCACTTCCGTAGTGCAGTCGATGATTATATACCGATAAAAACTTTGGATGCTCTTCGAAGCAAGTCCAGTGAGTCGAAGAATATCGTCGAAAGGGCCTTGCTTTTGATCTAAAAAAAGCCTTTTTCCGAGAAAAGGAAATGATGTATGTGAGTATCCCAACATCACCAGTAATAATCGTACCTATTCCAAGAAAGTTCCAAGAACATCATCGTCGTCACCCATCATCGGATGCTTCGGTTACCACAACAATCAGTTTTCCTTAAACTTCTTTCGTTATTTTTAACTTTACAACAAATACAGATAACACAATCATTAGCAGCCAGCATGGGTTGGTCCGATACTTGGAAGGATATTCTGGATGGTGGTAACCAACGATGGAAGGTGGACAACCTGGACGCCAAGAAGATTGCCTTGAAGCATATTACCGACAACACTATTACATCCTCTGCCAGGAAACTCAAGATTTTGTGTCCATTGGCGGGAGATGATAAATTTGTATTTCATGCTTGGAGTGAAGGGCACGACGTGACGGCCATTGATCTCGTACCGGAAGCAGTGGCGGCCATGCGACAGCAATTTGGCAGTAGTACTGATGGCTGGACTTCCACCCCGAAGGAAGACGAGGGACTGGTATGGAAGCATGACAGTGGAAGAGTCACCTTGTACGAGGGTGATATGCTGAAGAAGCGATCGGAACTGGAAAACTCCTTTGATGCAATTTACGACAAGGACTCCTATGGAGCACTGACAAAGGATATAAGACCGGCATTCTGCCAACGACTATCCGATTATGCAAAGGATGGTGCAACCTTGTACATTGAAGTCAAAAACAAGGCTTCTGGACGAGAACATGGCCCCCCATTTCACGTTGAAAAGAGTGATTTGATGGAAAGCACCAGCTTTGGGCCTTACTTCAACCACGTCACAGCCTTGGGTGAACTGTATCCACTACCAATGCCTGGTATGCAACAAACTGGGCACATCCTCAAGCGAATGCTGAGAAAGTGAACAATAGATGATATACAATTATGCTAAAAACGAAATGAACGATATAAAATATTTCTGCCTTTGTCGTTTATTTTTAAAAAAGAAAGCCAAAGTCAGAAGTGTCTGAGAACGCAACATGCTGCGCTTTCTCTCTCTCTCTCCTCAATCTACTGGCAATCTACTACTCGAATCATAGCTTGCAACTACTATGCATGGTGATATATGAAACTGCATAAGACTCGTTCGCCGAATTTTCTTGTGATCAATACATGTGAATGAATCGTGCTTTCTAAACAACACATTTTAGATTTTCTGATGATCCAAGTTGCTTCTGCAGCTGACCGCTGGCCCATGCACTCATGCTGATTTTTTATTGATGAATGTAATTATAAATGTAAATAGTTTCTAGCTATGATATATGTACTAACTAATCCACAAACGAAATGAAGCAGGCTTCGGTACCATGTGCTAGTTCCATGGCATTTTCGTTTTTCCTTTCCTTTTGCTTTTTTCATCATACCTCGCATGCAAAATATAATGATTCATTGATGCATTCATTCATTAGTTCAGTTGTCCCGAATTCAATTCAATTTTATTTTCCCATTGGCAAATACTACTAGCTACAATAGTACCATGTAGTATTCCCGATCATCATCATCATCATCTTGAATTAGATGATGTGTTTGTGGTGATCCGACTCATCATCACTATATCCTCCTCCCAGGATGATGTCATCAAATTTCTCCTCGTCCTTGGAATCTGTGGAAGCATCCCGAATACTAATCACCCCTATCCTCGTAATGGACTTTTCGTGTCTCTTTTCCGAAACATTCTTCAGACGGGCATAGACACAACAAGCAAAGATCCCGAGTGCTGCTAGAATGGATACACTTGCCGCAACGATCCAGATCAATATCTTGGTGGGTTCTTCCGCAATTTCGTCCATGGGGTCCTCCCCTTCTTCGTCCGGGTCCGCATTCCACACCAACATGAGTTCCGCTGGAGGTGCGGTTCCCGCGGCGTATTGACAGTGGCGTCCCTCGAATTCTTCCGGGCAGTCGCAACCGGGGTGCGCCTCGCCACTGTCAATCAGTTTCAAACAGGTTCCCGAATTGGTGCAAAAGGCATATTCACTCAGCTGGACCCCCATTTCGCAGACATCGTCCAGCGGATTCTCGCATTGTTGAATGACAAAGTCACTGACGCCCACCATTGCTTCGCAGTCGCAGGTATACGTCTGATCGCCCCGGCCATCTTCATCTCCGGCATCTTTGTCGGACAATCCACGGCTGCATTTGGCACCATCGTAACAGGTCGTAAAGCCATCGGGGCACTGCTCATAGGGGAAACTGCAATCCGCTCCAGCGAAACCAATATTGCATTCGCACCGAACCGGGCTTCCATCAGAATCGTTTAGAATGCATTTGCCATTGGGCTCGCAATTGCCGGGGCACCGGAGCTCCTTTCGGTCTGTTTGGTTCTCATTGGTTTGCTGGGCTTGTGTTATGGGCAGTGACCAAAGGAATAGTATATTGGTGACGACCACAAATACAGAAACTAGGGAGTGCGGTGATCGCTGCAGCATTGTTGCGTTTGTTTGTAATAAAATATTCGAATGCTAATTTTGTGATTGTGTGGAACCTGGGTTGTTTCAATGACCGCTTCAATGAATAAAGAGGAGGATAGGTTATGTTGTTCAGGGTATTTGTGGATGCTAATGGCGGAGACGCACTGTATATTGGATCGTATTGATGTTCCTCACTCACTTCTGCTGGTTCTGAAAGACATACGGAAGACCAAGGCTTGAAGCATTTTCACTCGTACCAACTTTACCGCGAAAGCCTGCTACTGACTATGGAAATTTTCTGCGATTCATCCATGTGGAAACGTTAACACACGGTTAACCCCCGAACTCTAGTTTCTTTTTTATACCACCTTTACCAGAGTAGTCCTACGGTATTCATCACCACTAGTTCCATACGGTAGATCTGATGTATATAATACTTATATATATATATATATATTCTTAAAATGCACTACATAATTACCACAAGGTGGTAACAACTAACGAATAGACCAATTCGCACTAACACCACACGGTCGCTTCCGGCACAGAGAGTAATGGCTTCTTCTTGAGAATATTGGCCACGTCCTCTTCGTAATTGTAGGATACTCCGGGCAAGATTTGTTGGATGGATTCATGGAAAAAGACATCCCGTCGAATGTTTTCTTCCTTTGCTTTTCCCAGTCGCTCGCTATCGGCCCGGAGTTGTTGGACTCCTCCCCAACGATGAGAATTATTCAAGATTTCCGTTGTCCGTGGCACCCGAATGCTACTGTAGGTTTTCAATGCTTCGTCCACATGGATCATATTCAAAACTCCATATCTATCCATGCACATGTCCTTCAAAATCAAACTAAGAGTTCCGGCGTCCTCTAAGCCTTGCTGGGCACCTTGTCCCAAATAAGGCACGGGTGGATGCGCCGAATCGCCCACCAAGGCAATGCGGCCATAGCTAAAGCTTTTCAAAGGAGGATTCAATACGAAAAAGGGCACCTTGATGGCCTGTTCGACTTGGAACAAGGGTTCCAAATACTTGTGATCCCATCCATCCAGTTCCAAATCTTGTGCCAATTCATGACACTCGGCCTTGTCCAATCCGTGTTGCAAGGCCCTCCAACCAGCAGCCATGCTGTATTTTTGAGGGTCCGTGGGTATGTGAAACTGAAAACATTGCTCGTCGGGCCCGGTGGGATAAAAGCAACCGTGACACTTGGTCGTGAGCGAGCTGGGAAAGCAAATCCCTCGCTCGGCGCGAGGAATCTTGGCAGTCCCATACAGGCAAGTGGTGCCGGTATAAACCAATTCCGAAATGGGTTCGGCATCGGGGTCGTTGGGATCTTGCTCTTTTCGTAGTTTGTCGAGCATTTGATTACGAATGGGTGAGTTGGCACCATCTGCTGCCAAGACCAACGACGCTTGACATTTGCTATTGTCGTCAAAGGAAATTGTATTCTGATTGCCGGTTGTTGTTTCAATGCCGACCACCTTTTTTCGGAAATAAATGGGGATTCCTTGCTTTACTGCTTCGTCAAAAAGAATCTTTTGTAGTTTCCATCTTCGAATCCCAAGCGGCTGCAACTCTTCGTCATCTGTCAGAGCTGATTCCGATGCCGTTGCGATTTCTGTTCCATCGTGTTTCTGTACATGTCATGGAAAGAGCGAGGTTATAGAAACGAACATTTTTAAGTTTTCAGAAGGAAAAAAAAGCTCCAGATCATCAAAGCGATATTCGAAACTTCAATCGCGATGATAATTGATTGATTCGTACCTCCCATCTTCGGATCAAGTATGGGTATCCCGCTTGTTGTATTTTCTTTAGCAGATCTGGGGAGATGGACCGAATGACACGAAGTCCATTGGGATACATGCCAATTCCGTTGCCAACTCCATCGTCAAAGGCACCCGATTGCTCATAGATTTCAGGGGTGACACCCACGTTTTTCTTTATCGCCAAGGCCAGCACCAAACCCACAATCCCTGCCCCGGTTATCACAATGTTTGGCCTTGTTGTTGTTTCTTCGGAAGAAAGGTTGTTGTCAGACGACGTCGCTGTGTCATCGAAGGAACTCTCCTCTTTGGTCATAGTGATATTTTGCTGTTGTTGCTCTTCTTTTTGTTGTTGTGTCAATTGATTCTTTCGCCACTTCATGTTTTTATAGTACTCTAATGTTTTGGCTGTCAGAAGGAACGAATGAATCATCAGTCAATCATCCTGTAGGTTTCCAGATGCTGTATACCGGTACGACAAGTGATGGAGGGAGCGATGAGTGAGTCAAATGAGAAGTCGAAATTGCCAATCCCGAACTCGCTCAGTGACACGGCAGCATTTGAATAGTTCGACCAGACAGAGCGCACGCGAGTATCACAAAGACAAAATTCAAAGATTGGGGAAAGAGTTCATTTACCATGTTCAATGTATGATAGTGTAATTATACAGCGTTAGAAGTCTACCTGTCCAATATACTATACTTCTCTAATAGGTAGCTCATTCACTCCAGTTTCAAACCGGGAACACCCTTTAACCCCATCTTGCCCACAGTCTTTTTGAGCAATGCTGGCTGTGACTTTAGGCCAACATCAGAAGCCCATTGATTGGCCTCCTTCACCAACGCAATCTTGTTCCATCCAACCTTCTTCAATTGTCCATTGTAGTATCCCAACCACGCTCTGTATGCTTGCTCGGCCGATTCCTTCAAGCTCTTGTTATCATTCACGCCATTCAAGGCCTGGGTCATTGCGTCGTCCAATCTGTTGTTCAATTCAGGAACGTCCACTGATTCCAAGGGCATGTCCGCTAGATTCTTGTTCACCATGAACTTTTCTTCATAGGGAGCCAAAAGAAGCGCTCCACAGCCTCCCTTTCCGGCACGAGCAGTACGACCCAAACGGTGAATGTACTGTGCTCGTTCCGTTAGGCCAATTTGTAGGACAAAGGTGACACCCGGATAATCCATGCCTCTTGCCGAAACATCACTGCTGAATAGAATGGTGTTTTCCTTGGAAGCACGGAACTTCTCAGATGTACGTTGTCGAACGGACTGGGACATTCGCGAGTGGATCTCCAAGATTTTGGGAAAGCCAGTCTTTCCCATGACACTGTTGAAAATCTCTGCCATGAAACCTGTCATTCGGGCAGTGGTAAAAAAGGCAATCACCTTGCAGGGAGCACCTTTGGTGCCAGTCTTGAGTTCACGATCCAAGATGGCGGCAATGGCTCGAATCTGGGCTTCTCCCATTCCACCGGACTGGTTGCTGGAATGCGCTACCATGACTTCTTGCTTGACATGGGAATGCGTTTGTTCCTCTTCTTCACCGACAGTGTCAATGAATTCATACTTGGGTTGCAACGCAATGTGCGCAATCTCTGCAACAGACTTTGGAACAGTGGCAGAAAACAACAAAGTTTGACGGCTGCCTTCACTGGGTTTTAAAAGTCTGAGAATTCTCTCAATGTCGGGACGAAAGCCCATGTCAAGTAGCTGATCGGCTTCGTCCAAGACTAGACAATCCATCTTGGCCAAACGATTTTGCAAGTTGAGCTCGGAGTTTTGTAAGTGATCCAAGAGTCGACCAGGAGTTGCCACCAAGATACTCAAAAAGCCCCTCTTGATGGTACTGCGATCCTTGTTGACGTTGGTGCCACCCACACACGTAGCCACGCTGAGTTTGGGTCGGGTGTGAAAGGTCACCAGCTTTTCAGCTTCGGTTCCAATTTGGTAGGCAAGTTCACGTGTGGGGGAGATGACGAGGCAGCCAATATCATTCTTGTCAGACCGGCTTGTCTTGATGGATTGGACAATCTTCTCGATGGCTGGAATCAAAAAGCCAAGCGTCTTTCCCGTACCAGTCTTGGCCTTGGCCAAAACATCAATTTTGCGGGTCGAGTCCAGAATGACTGGGAGTGTCTTGGCTTGAACTTCGGTCATGAGCTCGTACTTGAATACTTCGGCCATGGCTCTTCGACTTTCGTCGCAGACCTGTTCGAGATCAGCAAACCGCTTGTCAGTGATATGAAGACCGCTGTTACCAGTAGGAGCAGCTGCAGATGCTACATTTGGTTCATTCGATTCATCCATGGCTTCAGCTTTTGGTTCGACTTCCTTCTTGATGTTGTTGTTATTGTTGTTGCGATTGTTGTTGTTGCGATTTCTATTGTTGTTTCGTCCTCGGTTGTTGCGATTTCTGTTGTTCTGGCCGCCTCTGCCCCCGTTTCCATTATTGCCATTGGAATTGCCGTTGTTTCTAGAGTTGGATAGAGGTTTGTCAACCTCCATGGAACCATTGTTTCCACTGTTACCATTGTTATTATTGGTGTTGTCTCGTTCTTGACGTTTGGCAGGGCCATTGCCGCGTCCACGTCCACGTCGATTGTTGGGATTTGGCTTGCGCTTTCGATCTCCAGAGCCGCCACCACCACCATTAGCGGTATTAGGTCCCCCTTGTGCTTTGTTATCGTCTCCCATGATTATACTGTATGTGAATGTGTGTATGTCCTTCTTATCTTTTGTCAATATCTCCTGAAGCTGTTCAGAAGTGGTTTTTTCTGTGAGAAGAGTGAAAAATGACGATTTTTTCCTTCTCCAAAACTGGACAATGATTCGTGCCACCTGCTCTCACGTGCAAATAAAGGGCGACGTTTCCGATTTTTCATTTTGCACGGTGTACAACCACCGTACCTCCCTTCCGTCAACGGTCGTGATAATGTAAAAAACAGGTTGGCAATATGGGCCATATTTAGTTTGTACGAGTGCTTTCTTTTCGTTACATAGTACTGGTAGGTTTTAATGCCGGTGGATCCAATCTATCAATTAGATTACTTGTTGTAGCTTGTTTGGATTGCAGTACAGTACTGTCTGTAACTTCTTGTCAAGCTTTTTTTTACAGTGATGACTGGAGGACAATCAATCGAATCATCTAATCAATCAATCAATCAATCTACTGGTGAATCCAGTCCACCTTGATCTTATTTCGGGCATTCAGATACTTGTCAATGGACATGGCGGCAATGCACCCATCGGAAGCTGCCACAACGACTTGCTTGAAAGAGGTATTTCGGATATCTCCAATGGCGAATACTCCCTTGACGCTGGTTTCCATATTCTCATCGACCTTGACGCCTCCACCTTCTTCGAATTCCACCTTGTTCTGAATAAAGTCAGTAATGGGTTTGGAACCTCCCCCTACAGCATAGATGAAAGCACCTTCCACGGGAAGGATTTCAGGTTCCTCGCTGTCTTTTCGTTGGATCGAAAGTCCAGTGACACCTGATGCGTCTCCTTCGACACTCAGCAATTTTGTAAATTGCCATTGCTTGACATTTTTACGCGACATGAGCTCCTCCTCAACTTCTGCCAGCTCTGGGCGTATTTTTCCAGCCGTAATCCAATGAACGGTACCCGCAAATTTTGTGAGAAACATTGCTTCTTCAATGGCTTCCAAGTTCATACCAACAACTGCCACTTCCGATCCTTGATAGAAAGCTCCGTCACAGGTGGCGCAATAACTAACTCCCTGTCCAAGATATTGCTCTTCTCCTGGGTATGGCGGTGCAGTACGCCCCATGGCTCCAGTGGCAAGTACCAATGACCTCGCCTTTATAATAGCTTCAGGTGTGTAAACGGTTTTGCCATAGTCTTGTCCATCGCCGTCTTCGCAATCAATCATAAACACTTGAGATCTGCGATATTCAGTTCCATAGTCTTCTGCTTGTTTACGCATTTGGTCTAGCAGTTCTTGTCCAGTCATGGATCCATCAACACCTGGGTAATTGGCAATGTGCGAGGTGATTGCAAGAGCTCCGACTGCTGGATTCTTGTCTAGAATCACAGTTTTCAAGGAAGCTCGGGACGTATAGAGAGCACAGGTGCAACCAGCTGGGCCACCACCGACAATGGCGACATCACATTCAATGGTTTCCATTTCTCCCATCATATACCTGGCTGTATCTGCTGTTGGATATGATTGCTGTTGTTGCTGATCTTGTGCTGGATTGACGAGGATAGTGTTCAATCCCGTTCGAGATGAAATGGGAGAGACAAAGGCTGATGCCGCCGCCAGCAGCATGTAGATTGGAATTATTCTCGTGAAACTCATATTTGCATCGTATGGTTATTGAATAGGAGGCTGGTTTAATATATATGTGTTGTAAACAAGGTTAACAAATTGAGGTGAAATCTTGCATTCCGATGTTTTCTTGTCTGATGCTGACATCCTGACGTAAGCATAGAAGCTAATACGGTCGAAGAAGGACGTTCATTCACGTTGTTTTTGGAAATTCGACTGACTCGAATTGAAAGCAATAACTGGTTACTTACACGTTATGATGACTACGACATGTCACCATCTGTGACTGCTTTGTTGGCCATCTCTCGAAGATATAGAGAGCTTTCAGTTCCAGTTGCATCCAATAGCTCGGAAAAGATACCATCGGCATTGTCAAGCAGTTCTTTGGGACTTCCAAACTCGACAGCACGTCCCGCATCCATTACCAATACGAGATCATAGTCCATGATTGTGTTCAATCGGTGTGCAATCGTGATCAGTGTTGTGTTTGGGAATCTTGACCGAAGCATGTTCTGGATAAATGCATCAGTTTCACCATCAATACTAGCAGTCGCTTCGTCCAAAACAAGCAACTTTGGTTGAGAAAGGAATGCCCGAGCCAGGTTCAAAAGTTGTCGTTCGCCAACAGAGTAGTTGGCGCCTCCCTCTTCCAAATGTGAAGTCAGAATCTTGGCATTTTCTTCTGGAGTGTCACCGCCCATTCGGACCGCTTTCAAGGCCTCGATGATATCTTCGTCTGAGTGTGTGTTGAAAGGATCTAGACAGTCCCGAAGCACATCTCCCGTTAGGAATGGATCTTGTGGAATGATAGACATTCCTCGACCTCGAACGTCAGACAGCCCAAGGTTACCTAGATCGACTCCATCAAACATGATTCTCCCCGATTCGATTTCCACAAGACGGAACAAGGCAACGGTGAGACTGCTTTTTCCGGCTCCAGTTCTGCCCACCACCCCACAAGTCTTTCCAGCTGGAATTTGAAATGATAGATCATTGAGTGCACAAGGCAGACCCTTTCGGTATCGCATGGAAACGCCTTCAAAACTAACACTGCCAGTACGCGGCCATTCTTGGTCCACTTCAAATTCCTTTGCGGTTTTCATTGGTTTCTCACGGGGCAAGTCTGCCATTGCGTCCACTCGTTCGATTGCAGTAATCGCGGCCTCCGCTTCAGCAAAAGTATCCACCAAAAAGTTGAGTGTAATTGTGAAATGAGAAGCCCACATAATGAGAAGTCCAATCATTCCGGCTTCGAGCTGCCAAACGTCATTCAGGGATACGACAAGAGACGATGACACCAACACAACAAGTGATCCGAGCAATTCTATCCGAATTCCCAACCATCTCTGTGCCGAAACAAAGTTCAGAAGAGCTGAACTGTTGGAGTCGACAATGCTTTGGAATCGGTCCACAAAGTTCTTGTCCTGATGATAGACTCGAATGCTTGTTGATCCTTCAAGACATTCTGATACCATCGACTGCAATGGAGACCGACTTAGAGCATCTAGACGTTGCAAATCGGGTCCGGAAAGACGGTAGTGTAGCGCAAGCACCCAATACATGACGGACACCGGAACAATTGCCGCAGCAGTCCATGGAAGTATCGTGAACTGGATGGCGATTCCTGCAAAGTACCAGCTCCAGCTGATCATTAATGTCACCATCGCCTATTTCCAACATCGCGAAAATGAGTCATGAGTTATGATAAAACAAAACCATTCGACTGCGAAAAGGGAGCCATAGATCGAAACTTACCTGCGTCAGCACAACATCATTAACCTCAGTATCATAGGTGAAACGATTCAGCAAACGTCCAGTGGGCTGGGATTCATAGTATGACATTGGAGCCATCAACACCGACGAGAGCATGCTTTCAAAGACATGCTTTCCCGCTCGGGCTCCACCAGTAACGGCCCATTCGGACCGCACAGTCACTGCGACAACCATTGTTACGAGCAAGATTGCGTACACCTTCACATACTCCGTTTGAGCAGAAAAGCCATCACTCTGGGGAGGGAATTCCCAACCCAACATTACAACAGGATTCACAGTAGCTGATGTCCACCGAGCAAGAACCCACTCCGTTGCAACGTATACTGTTCGATCAATGGCCATGAAAATCACTTGAAGCACCAAAAATTTTGCCCCACCAGCTCTCTTGAACCAAAGCAACCAGGTCTTTGTGCTGGATAAGCCATGTTCTCGCTCTTCGACTTGCATAAGACGTCCCGTCGCCTTGCTGTTACTTGTCTCTTTCGATAATTCGTCTCCCTTTACTTCCTCATCTCCTCCTTCAGCTTCGGTATTGTCTTCTCGAACCGTTGATCTAATGTGGTCCACAGCCCGTTTCGTAGTGTCATCACTTGGCTCGAAAGTCACAAGCTCTTCCCAAATTCCAAGAAAACGATTTGCTCCGTCCACCACCACTAGAATCTTGTCGACGCCCTTGTTACTGATAAAGTGAGAACCATGCGTCACCAGAATGATTGCTGATTCCCGAAACAGCGAATCCTTCGAAAGAAGCAATCTCTCAAATACGATTCGTCCTGTCCCCGAATCCAAGGCACTGAATGGATCATCCAATATGAGAATATCAGATTTAGCATAGGCAGCCCTTGCCAATGAAACACGTTGCTTTTGACCACCACTCAGAGTCACGCCTCTTTCACCAATCTCGGTCAAATCGCCAGCTTCGCCCAGTTGTTCCAGATCTGTTCTCAAACAGCAGGCATCCAAAACACGTTCGTATCGCTCCTTATCCAATGGCAAACCAAACAGAATATTGTCTCGCAACGTTAGGTTTAGAATGAAGGGCGTCTGCGGCACATAGGACACTTTTCCTTCCTTCACGACAGCAGATTTCCCAATTGCCTCAGCTTCATCTAGAATCCCATTCAAGAGCGTTGACTTTCCACTGCCAACTGGACCACAAACACACAGAACTTCACCTTTGTCCACCGAGAAGTCAAAATCTGTGACGGTGAATCCAGTATCCTCCTTTTGAGTATCGTCCACAACTCCCTCCTCTGTGCCATCAATATCACTCAGGGTACTTCCCACACGGAAACTTGCCTGAGAAACAATCAATGGAGCGGATGCTCGGGTGCTGTCCTCTGGCACATGTCCGCCGTTTGTGATTTGCTTTTGGTTGCTTCTCTTTTGTCTTGCTAGAAACTGCGATATCCTCTGGACTGCTGACAGCGCTTGTGCCAACTTGCCAATCAAACGTCCCGCATAGTTGATTGGAAAGCGGAGGGCTGAAAACAAGAGGAGCACCCCAAAGGTATCGGAAGCCGTCAAAATGTGACTTTCGTCAATGTACACATAGGCAATGAAGGTTGCAGCAGTGGCAAGAACGGGACTCACAACTGTCATGGCGAGTGTGGTGGCCCAAATGGCCATTTCCGTCCGAAGATACTTCAGTTCTCTGTTTCTGGCTGTCGTGACGCGCTGTAGATAATTTTCTTCGTAGTTGTTCAATTTGGCAACCTTGATCCCCTGCAACATGTTGCTAACGAGATTAATTCGTTCATCCGTAAACTTGATTCGCTTTCCGCGAGCCTTGAGCATCTGTTCCGTTATTTTTTGGATCAACGGAACAAAGCAAATTAGGACTGCAATTCCAATGAAAATGGATGGGCCAAGCGTTCGGTACAAGAAAATAGACACCAACACAATGCTTAGAGGCAGTGCCCAAATAAGATGACCATCTTGCGCAACTTCGTATAGTTTTTGGGTATCCACGGCAACCAGGTTGGTGACTTCTCCTGAAGTCAGACTCTGTTTTCCTTCTGGTGACAATTGCAGCACATGATCGTATATAAGACTGACCAAGGTAGCTCTCAAGGCAACCCCCGTCTTGAGCGCCAAATGCCTATGTCGATTGTTTCCCAGACCATTAATGACACTGACCAAGAATATGGAAATGGCAAATGGCATACCTTCGTCAACGATTTTCGTCCTTGGATTTGCTTCTATAACACGAATCAGCTCTCTGACAAGTAGCGGTAGGCCTGTTCCACAGAGAACAACAATCAATTCACAGAATCCAGCTGGTATGTAGGTAGGTATTGCAATGTTCCAGAGTATCTTTATGAGACGCTTGTCGTCTTTGTCAATCGATTGGAATTTCTGATAGTTCTCCTCAAACAATTGGACCAGGACGGAGGATCTCATCGCCTTTGGCACCACGTACAAATCACTTTGAGATAAGTTGGACCCGCCCGTTTTGTTCTGTCGTGCTCCCTTTTGAAGCACCGCACCCATGTACGCAAAGGTCCAATTTTGGTACTGCCGAAGAAGAAATCGGCATGGTGAAGCGACACATCCTGATGTTTTGTCTGGGTCCTCAGGCCAACGACTCAGATCGGCCTTGCTTGTCGTCTTGGCTTCTTCTACCTGGTTGGAGGATCTTCCATTTTCACACATCTTGCCCTTAGATTATGCGCTCCAGACTGATCTTTTGTTGTTATTCTTCCTGTGAGGCGCAAGTTTCGTCGTGGGTCAGGTTTGACCGGAAACTTTGTCAAAATTCTGACGCATTACGTGCGAAGCGCGGACTTCGAAACTGTTCTCATCCCCCAAGTATTACCCTCACTATTTTCCCAAATTTGGGGCGGAAGGAACAAGCGCTAATTCAAATCTCAAACATCAAACCGAACTCCGATAGAGATATATATGACTAACCAGAGAATACAATGTCGGCATCAAGGAGAAACTTGACACTTTGTGATTCGATCGACGATTACCAACTCCCTAACGCAATCACAAATTAGTACAACGGACGTATACACAGCACGCACACGCCCCACACAAACTATACAAGTAATATACACAGCACACAATGAAGAAACACTTGAAGAAACTGCAAAAGAAGTTGTCCTTCTCCAGTCGCAACCAAAAAGAACGCACCCCGTCCCCAAAGTCGGTGACCGTCCTAGAAGATGTGGAAGAACCTTCCGAAATCATCATTGTCGGAGCTGGAATTGTGGGTCTGGTCATGGCACTCGCCCTGCACAAACATCTTGGTGTCAAGATCGACCTGTACGAACAAGCACAAGCCTTTCACGATGATGTGGGAGCCGGGATGGGTATGTATCCCAATGGCCTGAGGGTCATTCGTGATATTGACCCAGAGCTACTAAAAGCGGTGAAGGCTGCCGGACATCCATATGTGTATAGAAGATGGGAGGTAAGGGAACACAACACTTACTTGGAAATTGATCTGCTGCAATGCCAACACCTCACAAATATTGGTTTTTGCTTTTGTTTTTGTTTTTGCACAAATAGAGACACGATGGAACAGAAGTGGCAGTGGCCGAAGAACGGGTATTGGCGGGGGATGACGATGATCTCGCGTCCATTGGAATACGGCGATGGAGACTACAGAAAGTTCTCTTTGAAGCAGTTGAAAAGGCTGGGATCAAAGTCCATTTCCGCAAACGTTTGGAGTCCATGAAACAGATTGATGACCACGTCAACTTGAAATTTGAAGATGGGACCGATACTAGTTGCAAGCTGTTGTTGGCGTCAGATGGTTCCAACTCGAGGGTGCGAAAAATATTGACCAACGACACTTGCAATTTGAAATATACTGGAACCCAATGTCTCATGGGGACATCAACACTGGCACGAGAAGAACGAGGCCTCTGTCTTCCATCTTCTCCAACCAGCAAGTGCCACGGAGCTTTCTATCCAGTCAGCGAAACAGAACAATGCTTTCAATTTCACTTCCCAGTTCCAGAAGAAGAAGCCAAGTCCAGCCAAGGGAGCTGGGGAGCCTTGACGGAACATGTTGGACACGCAGAATGTAAGCTGTTGGCCGAACGACTGGTCAAAGATGGTTGGGACAAGAAATACCTCGAACCACTCTACCATATGGACAGAGCCATTAAGATTGGGTTCTCCACTCTGGATCCTCCACTCGAGACCTTTGTGCAGGGACAAGTGGCATTAGTGGGTGATGCTGCACACCCCCCAGTGCCCTATCTAGGACAAGGTGCTCAACAGGGACTAGAAGATGCAGGCACATTGGCCTTGCTACTGAAACACCTTTGTGTTTCCAAGAATGCTGATGGAAGTCATTCGTTAATCATGTCACAGTTGCACTCTGCTCTCAAGCTCTACGACGAAATTCGAGTTCCAAGGACACAAGATATTCTAGACAAGGGCACACGATGGGGCAAGCATCAGCAAAAGCGAGCGGAATGTGAAAAGTTCAATAAGACCAAGGAAAATATGATTCAGCGAGATGTCTTTTTCCATGAGACCATGCCTGTATTGAAAGCGGGTGTTGAACATGACTACAAGGAAGCAGTCATGAAGTCATTACCAGCGCTGTCACCAGTCACAGAAGAAGCATGATCAGCTGATCACTACATTTGTATCGAAAACAATTTTTGATTCATCCCAATGCACTAGACTGAGTGCGTCGCTATCATGTTTAGATTTAGGTAATACATATAAAATGTTTATTCCATGTACAGCTAGGATTTTAAGACGGGTCGAAAACGTATGGCTGTAATTTTCAAGCCACCTCAGTTTGTGGTCAAGGATTATCTCATCGGGGCTGGTTTTCTGTATTCAAATGTTGCTGTGGCATCTTTCTTCTATTTGTTGTTTGCAATACTTGTATTGATTCATTCGTTTCATGCATCTCTTGGGATTAATTCATTTTACTTTGAGCGCATCTGTTTCAGCTTTTCTTCCGCCTTTTCGAGTTGATATTTGCGAAGTTCGTACTGGTCTTCCATTTTTCGTTTTTCTTCCTTGACAGCTCGGAATAATCTCTTGGTTTCATTCAGTTCTGAGTTCGTCGACTTGATTCTTCCAACAAGTAACGACAAAGCACGAAGAAACAAGTCATCATCTGCCTCTTTGTAGGCCTTTAAAATTGCACCTACTTCCAGTGGAATGTCGCGATCCATCTGCTGTGAACTATTTGATGTGCTCTTGGAAGCGCTCACGGCAATAGGAGCCTTCTGATTTGTCACCGAGTCTTTACTCGCCATTTCAATTTTTGAGATATTCTCAAACTTATTTGCTGGTGCGGCGGTGACGGCCTTTTCGTCCTCTAAAAGTCCAGCCTTTGTCTCTTCTTGTTCGGCCCCAAGTGATATGGAAATGAGAAATGTCACAAACATAACGCCGAGCGCCAAGGATATGGCTGGGTCGGAATCCAAAGCTGCATACTCGGGAGTCATCATCTCGGTACCATCCATCGCAGCTGCCGTAGCATCAAGCATCTCACTTCCAGCCATGAGAAAGGACCCTGTCACGGCACCAAAACATTCGTCCAACATGCATAGCTGGGACCTTCGTTTTGGGGATGTAATTGCACGCACTTCTTTCTGTGGTCCGATCGTGCCAATCACAACTCTTGGTGCTGTCGAAAAGCTTAAAGCTGGACTGACAAGCTGCAAGGCAAGTAAAGTAAAATTGATGACAGTCGATGCGGTTGTTTGTCTCATGGCGAAGTTGTCAAGTTGCAATTGGCTTCCACGTTTACTTTGTGTCGGAAGGAGAAGAAGGATTGATTGATGTGAGGTCGCATAATATGTACAGTGTATTCAGTATGTGTTCGGATCTCCAGTCTACTCGGGACTGACTCCCCGATCACAGTCACGGTCAATCGTCATTCATCTGAATTCGACAGTAACTGACGATGAGAAATCAGCAAATAGCATCGTTTCAGTCTACATCTGATGACCACGGCCATCTAGAGGAATAGAACAAGTTGACATTGGACGCATAGGCAATCCCAGGAGCTCAGGGATCGAACAAGCTGGGCACTCTGAAGGAACATGAAAGTTTCAATATTGGTTCAGTTGGTGGCGGTCTCAACGGCGTTGCAACAATCCAGGAATGTGAATCAGCCCAAGCACATATTTTCTTCAACTATGATTGAGCCTTATCCAAACCTACCTCTCGAAGAAATTGATAATGTTGCGAAAAATACATGGAAGGCGGTCGGCGCTATGATTCTATCATCAATGATTGCATTTGCTCCAGTTACCATGGAACCACCAGCACCCATGGGTTTCAATGATGCCACCCACCAACATCATTGGACAATGCCAAGAATACGAAAATCTATTGCATCAGCGCTCACAGAAGAACAACTTTTGGTAGACAATGTTTGGCGAGAAGTCAGTCGTCAATATGTGGACCAAACCTTCAACAACAAGGGTGAAGAAGGATGGAGGAAGGAACGCCTCAAGGCTGTGACTAAAGTTACTGGCGTAGGACCCGATGAAAAGGAATTTGTCTATTCTACTATTCGGGACATGCTTTCCGTCTTGGGAGATCCCTACACTCGATTTTTGACGCCCGAACAATACGAATCGCTCACAGCCTACGCCAGGGGTGGCGCAGTGCCCAAGGCAGGGTGTGGAGTTCAACTCATCGGCGACCGGGCAACCGGAAAGATTGTGGTTCTTAACGTCATTCCTGATGGACCTGCCGACAAAAATGGAATACTCCCTGGTGATACAATATTGAAGGTGGATGGGGAGGACATTGCCGGTGCCACGGCCGAGTTTGTTGCCGCCAAATGCCGGGGTGATCCAGATACAGGGCTTACGTTGACGATTCAGCATGGTAGCGAAGACGGCAAACCAGCCAACGCGGTTGAAAACATTTCTCTTGTGAGATCGCAAATCAAAACCCAGTCCGTCAAAACATCCACCTTTACTTCCTCAAATGGCAAGAATGTTGGCCTTATCAAGGTGAATAGTTTCAGCTTGGAAACCGAAAGGCTAGTTCGGGAAGCCCTCGATGAAATCCGAAAGGCGTCTGTTAGTGCCTTGGTCATTGATCTTCGAGGCAATGCAGGAGGCTACATGCCTGCAGGCGTCGACGTTGCCAAGTTGTTTCTTCCAGTTCAATCACGGATTATTTCTGAAGTTGACAAGTCGGGCCGTTCCACCATTTACATCAATGATGGAGTAGGTAGCGACACAAGTCAGCCACTCTACTTGTTGGTGGACCAACGAACGGCAAGTGCTTCTGAGATTTTGACAGCGGCCTTGAAAGACAACCACCGGGCCACAGTGGTTGGTACCAAGACATTTGGAAAAGGGTAAGAACAGTGATTGGGATGGCTTTGTTTTGCTTCCATGCGCCCGGTCGACTGATTTCTCACAGGCATTTTATCTTTTGTGTTACTTCTCTTTCTTTTGCTTGCATGACAAAAGACGGATACAAAACTTGCAAGAGCTCCAAGATGGAGCTGGCATCTCCGTCACCAAGGCCAAGTACATTACTCCATCGGGAAATGATATTCACGGTATTGGTATCTCGCCTGACGTGGAACTGAAAAGTTGTGGAACCAACGACTCAGCCTTGGACTGCATGAAGGACATTGCCTTTTGAGTTCTGGGCTTGCTATTCCGATTTGCGGTTGCTCATGCTGCACCCGCAAGGTACAGATTTCAACATTCGAAGCAAAGGGAACGCCTTCCAGGTTACCGAAACTTCATGTCGCCAGGCTCCAATTGTAATAGCTCAACTCTCCACCACAATCGAACATCTCCTGGAATATCGTAATACTCTGATCCAAAGCGTCCATACCCCAAACCACTGGGAATGTCCAAATCTCGTACCTCGCCTGTACACATTCCCCCCATACCAATTTCCACTCCATTCAGAGCCTTGCCATTCCCTAAAGTAAATGTAACTGGTCCTCCTCTATCTTGCGTAGAGTCGTAAATGGGTCCACCAGGAGAAGCCACTCGGGCTTCGTATCGGATCTTGACGGTATCCCCTCGTCGGACCTTCAATTCGCAATCAGTTCCTTTGCGAATGGTTTTGGTACCCAAACCTGCTCCAGAGAAGGAAACGGAAGCTTCTTTCCGATCATTTACTGGAACACTTGCTTCCTTTTGCTTTTCTTGAAAGCGCTTTAGTCCTTCTGCTGCACTGGGAGCCTCCATTTCTCTCGCCAGGTTATAAAACTGCAATACGACCGGATAGGGTCCATACTTGATTTGCTGGACAATATCTTTCGAGGTCTCCTTACTTCCAATCGCAATCATGCCTTCTTGCAAACCATTGGTAGCTCCCATTCCTTCGGGCTCGGTCGACTTGACAGCTGCCACCACCTTGTTGCCAATGTCAACGTCCATCAGTTGAACGCCAAGGCGAGAGGACGGTGATACCAAGACGACCGTGGCAATGGATTCGGGAAGTGGATCTTTCACAGTGGCAGCAGCATTGACTACATTGGGGAATACTATCAGGGGTACAATACAAGAAGTACCAAGGAAGGACAGTCCATTGGAAAGCCACCGACGCCGTGTTTCTTGGGCTGTTGATGGGTCCTTGCGAATCATCATCGTTGTCATCTTCTCGACAGGTCCATGAATTGGACTGCCAGAAGGGATAAGAGCAAGTGACGCTACTATAGAGACATGAGCGCACAGCAATAGCATGCAACTCAATCCCGTTTGACGGCAGGATAAGGGTGCCATGGTGGTTATTGTCACAACGATACAGATGATTCAATGATGATGTGTGTACTATAGTATAGAAAGGGGTTCTCATCTTCCACCACACATCAATGTCCGTCCGCCTGACATCCAACTACTCCTAGGTACCAAGGATCCAGCTCATACTGCATTTTTTGTAATAGCTACAAAGAATCTAATTTATAGTCCTCCTAGGATTATTCATTCATTCATTCATACACAACGGATTTACAAGGCGAGCGAGTCCGTTTCTTCTTCTTTTTGGACTCCGCATCAAAAACTGGCGTCATGGCACTTCGACCTATTATAGGTCATCCATGAATTTATCCAGTGCCGCCTCAGCATCCTTTGTGTCTCGTAATGTTTTAGTACCGCTAATGGTCCGACTGACTTTGCGAAAGAAGCCTCCCGGGGGAGACGCGAGGATTTCATCATTATCATCACCTCCTGTTAATGGCGCTTCGGGTGCCACTGGACTTTGAGATGCCATGGTCGTGTCCGTTTCCGTGCCGGTAGTAGTGGTGATGGTGTCATTATCATCTTGAATGATGGACATGATGTCATCGTGTTCAATTTTTCGAATCTCCTCTTCCAACTTTTCCATTGGACTCTTACCATCTGTTCCATTTTGGTTGTTTCCTCCTGCAAACCAACTGGAGCGACTGAGTCGATGAAAGATGTTTCCTTCTTCATTTTCTGCCTTATCTCCTTGCTCCTCAATGTTCTTTTCGATAGATTCCCGTTGTGCCTTGCTCCAACGACTGACGGTCGAAGACATGTCATTGTCTTCTACAATTTGGTTGACAAGGTCATCAATATTGAATTCATCCTCCTCATCCGTACTTTTATTGTCACCATCCTCAATCAAATTTCGTTCGCTTCTATCAACACCACCACCGCCGCCATGTTCACTCAGATCCACATCCGAGATGGATCCAATCGAGGCTGGACCGAAACCAAGTTTGGTAAAGATATCTTCGGGTTGTTGCGGAATGGCCTTTCCAGGCAACTCACCAATGTTGCCCGAGGAAAGAGCACTAGTAGTTGGCATTGGTGGCGGGGATGGTGTCCCATCGTCGTTCATGGACATGGTTCTAATTCTTTGAAAGAGTCCCTTCCTTTGTTGTGAATCACGAGGGGCACTGCCAAAGCCTTCCAGCTTCAAAGAGTGACGCTTGATTGGCTTTTTCTTGGGGAGTTCTGGCAATTCCGTAGGTTCCGGTTCTCCATTGATTCTCGCAAGCAGCACCTTTTGAAACCCGTAGGCGGCTCGAGAATCATACTTTTCTTTCAGGGAAGAATCGGATGCAATCCCATGTTTTTTCAAAAAGGCAGCACATTCATCATTTCCTCCATTGTACATTTTCTTTAGTTGTATGTCCGACCAAGAATCCATTTGAACGGATCTGACAAAGGATACGTGTGTTCCCAATGCTCTGTTGTTGTTGTTGTTGTTGTTGTTAATGTCATTAATAAATAGATAGATAGTGTTGACGACAAGGAATAACAATAAATAGTAGACAGGCACACAGTGAGAACGCTGCGGAACGAAAGCCAAGGACTCGTATTCATACAATCAGAATCAGACATGGAATCGATGACACTACACTCACCGGTGCGACCCCGAACACGACAGGCAGACAAAAATGCCCAAATTGACCGATGCCCAAATGGGATCCTTCTCTCCACAATCAATGCAAGCGTCATTCCCTGGAAGTTTTCGTAATCTGTTCAAATCCTCATCCTTCATTCGGTGACTATCATCCTCCGAGTTTTTGGTCAAGAGATTTTCGACGGACTCTCGGTGTGCGTAATCAATTGCATTAGCGACATCTTTGGGTGACATTTTGTTGCGATTGAGATCGTTTAGTCCGATTTGTTGGTCGTTCTGGGAATTGTTGTTATTATGATTGGAAGTGGAAGTGGAAGAAGTGGAGGAGGTGGTTCTGGAAGCTGATGATGCAATCGCCACGCTCATGGATAGTGCGTCCTTGATAGTGGTTGGTGGTTATACCCACCTGTACCTCTGTATATTCACAATTGCAATCGTACAAGAGGTACGAGTACAAATTCAAAGTGGACCAAAGCGGCAAGGCATCCCCACTCCCTTTCGTCATCCAAGTTGGGTTAGAGAAACAACGGAAAGAATGCAATCCTCTCAAAAACCGTTATGCGCCCGTACATTTCTACACGTACTGAAGGGGTAATTCTTATTTTGACGATTAAATGTGAAGCAAAATTATGCCAATGGAAAGACTAACATTTATGGTTGGGCGTGATCGAGCCACCACAAATTATTAGGAAACGCCAAAACTGGGCGAAAAGATTTTCGTTCCACGCACGCACGATGCACATCGAAGGTACACGTACCAGGTACCTGGTCCTGTACCGGTACGATGGTCGGTATCCAACCGAATTACCAACGTGCGGCGAACATACCAAAAAGAATTTTCAAGTTTCGGCTTTTTCAGTACCTTTGGCGTCAGAATTACTGCATCTCGTTTGTGTGCACTTTTTGACAACTTCCCTGTCATTGAACGGAGGACTCTTTTATCATCAACATCCATCAACCGCATCTCAAAACGACCAGAAAATACTGCAGAGAGTACCGAACCGCGGCACATCAGTAAAGAAAGAACTAGAACAACGATAGCCCTCAGATTGTGAAACCAAAGCTCTTGCTGAAACAAATTTTGGATTCACGAGTCATTGTTGACAGATATCAATCATCTTCAGACCTTCATCGGCACAGCCTTTCTTTTATTGGCTTCACGACTAATTTAATCACTGCCATCACACCAAACTATGTCATCTTGGAGAGGACAAACTGCTCAAGGTCCTTTGGCAGCTGCTACCAATGTTCCATCGTCATCTTCAGCCCAACAAGAACAAAACAACAACGGACCTCGGGCGAAATGCGATCAAGTGGTCTTTGAAGCCATTGCCAAGGCGGCGGAAATCGTGGTGGGAAGTCGATGCTGGATTGAAAATGTACCGGGGAGCAATAGTAGTAGTCGATTCAATTTGCTGGTGCCTGAAGTTCAAGGTGTGCGGTAAGTTGTAGATCGTGATTGGTTGTGATTGGAATGATTGATTGATTGATTGGAATGATTGATTGATTGGAATATAATAATGTGATTGGTCCACGTCCTGCACTTGTTGTTGTTGCTACTTTTGTTTCTAATCAATCCTTTCCATCCCTTTTTCTCTTCCTATTATTTCTGCTAGTTCCATTTTGCATCGATGGAAACGATCCTTGCACGTTCCTCTTCGATTAGATGTCTTTTATCAACACGATGACGGACGCCGCGAATTGTTGGAACGTTGGTGTTTGGAATATGCTCCCAAAACGACCTATTCCTTTCAACATAATGTAGCAGCCGCCGATCCTATTGTTCAATTACGACAAGTCTGCAAATCCATTGTCGTTTGGTTGAGGACCTTGTATGGTTGGTCCAGAATGCTTCCAGCCCAAGCCTTACGACAACGACAGACGTTGGGGACCGACAATCATGTGGGCTTTAGTATTTATGTCGTCAGCGAAGGCAATGACGATGTGACGGGTCTTATTAGCAATCAAGGATTCTTGTCACAAGGCCAACCGCATTCCGTACTGACACCCTACGGTGAGTTGGGTTGGAAGGTATTCTATGCACCCGACAGTATGGTTCAACAGTTGGTTCCAGAAGTTCCCAAATACTCGATTGCCATTCCGACAGCGATACGAACGGCATCGCAACCAATCCCCATGAAACAACAAATGAATGCGGCCCAAACCTATGCGAACCCCAATCATCACATTCGAATGTCACCTCAGCAGCAGCAACAGGAACTGAGTGCGGCACGATCAGCGCCCAACAAACAACGATCCCCTGGCTATTATCGATCCAACTCGGATGTGGATGGCTATCATCAACCCAGAAAGGTACCTCCCATCATGTCCAATGCAATGCGGCGGAATAGTGACCTGCCAATTTTGCATCAAAACGGCACCCACATGTCGCAGCAGCAACAGCAACAGCAGCAAGAACAACTACAGCATCAAGAACAATCATTTCCACAACAGTCACCAACGTCCCAATCGAATCCTCCGACCAAGAACTTGAGTGCATTATCTTTGGCCATGCTCATGAACAACAATACTGAGAATGCCAATGCGGATGGAGAGACGAGGGAGGCGGCCGAAAAGCGACGAGCGGCACTTCATCATGCGCCACCCCAATTCTCCAACAATAATCAAAACAACGTTAGCACACCACCGCCACCACCAGGATCTTCTCCGGCGTTGAAACCTTCCAATTTGGCAACGGCTGGTGAATATGGTTATGGCTACAACAACCAGTTGCCCAATATGGCGGGACCACCCAGCTCACCGGCCACCACCACCAGAGGAGTACTCGATGGTCGGGGATCTCCTGGACCGCTGTCGGGGACATCCCTTTCTTCTACTCCAACGACTGGATTTTTACTGGGGACGGCTCCCACACCACCCGGTGCAGTACCTGGGGTATCCACATTGATTCCACCGCGGTCCACCAGCGTGACGCCACCCTTTGTCCGACCGGCTGGATTTGTCGGAGAACCACCCAGTCAACCCTTCTTGCCACCATCCGCTGCGGCAGCTATGGTTGGAACCCCACCCACGGGAGAATTCAAAAATCAGCAACATTCCAGGAATCACCAGACGTCTTTGGATCTCTTGCATTCGAGTCCCTTTCAACGACCCACGGCTTCGCCAAATTTGGACGATGAATTGCGACAAGCCTTTAACTTGAACGATTTGATGCCACCAGACATTGGTACAGGATTCATGAATCCTAGGACTCGTCCAGATGAGTTTTACTATGACAATCATCATGGTGCCTTTGGACAAAGTCTTGGTGATGATGATGACATGCCATTTGCCGTGGACTCATATACAACAAGCAGTCATGGCGAAAAGCGATCGAGTGGAAATGGAATAGGATCGTCTTTGGAAGCAACATCGAACCTACTCTTGTCATCTGCCAATGGAATGGCTTCCATTTGTTCGACAGCTCCCAGGCGATTAGCCTTGTTTGATAGTGTCGCTACAAATACTACTACAAGTAATACGGCTCCTGGTCCTAACCAGAGTGACGGTGCCGCTGGTGCCATAGTAAAGGCAGCAGAGGGCGGAATGACAATGTCCTTGGCCGATGAATTGGCCGAATTCAAGACCTTTGGTGCCTCGCTCATGATGGATGGCAAGGCAAGTCAATCATCGAGCAATTCGACGCCCATTGCGCTGCGACCATAAGTGTGCAAAACTTCGATTCTAGTGTACTTTAAAGATAACAATATTAGAACTACATTGTTACTGGTTACAATGGAATGAATACACGTCGTCGCCTTTTTCGCTATGGAGAATCACTGCTGTTGTCAGACAACTTTTGTTGTTGTTGTTGTTGTTGTTGTCACTGTTGTTGCTGTTTTATTAGATTCGGCAAGTATTGCTTCCAAAATTTGGGTGGATAAACCACAGAGCCCCCATTCGTCATTCTCGTGGCAATCGCACGCTTGCGCAATTCCTTGTCGGCCGACACCAAGTGGACGACATGGCTGCCGCTGCTCTTCTCTTGCTGCTTTTCAAAGAATCGTTCGTTCAATTGCGGCAAGGCATGATGGACGATATAATCATCGGCCCGATCTTTTCGTTTTCCCTTTCCATCGGTAATAATTACTTGAAACCATGGATGATTCGTGATTAATTCTTGAAATTCCTCGTTTTCGTTTCCATCAAAGACCAATACGACATTGGCAATGGAATTCTGTCGTTGCTGGAGCTTTCGTTGCTTTTTGGTAAGCACAATGTCTGGTGGATTCGCATCATTACCATCATCATCATCATCATGACGTAATGAAAAAATCGCACTAGAAGAAGAAGAAGAAGAAGAAGAGGGAGAAGCAATTTGTTGAATTTCTTGTATTACTTCATTTCGCTCCATTCGACCCATTCCACCACTTGCACTGCAACATTGCAGATTGTTCCCATCAATCAACCAGGTCACAATGGAAGGTTTCGTTGAACTGATAGTGCCTAATTTGTTATTATTGTTGTTGTTGTTGTTGTTGCTGCCAGAAAGGGTCAAACAGAGAGTGAGAATGTTCGAGGCACAAGCTTTCATGATTCTATCAGTAGTCCACTTGTTTTTGCTACTGTTTTTTTCATGGAGTAGGGATTGTAATGGTTGATGGAGAATAGAAGTCAAATGTGATGGACAGTTTCAAGTTGACAGGTGATCGCTTCCTGAGACGACCCATTCGACCGTTTGGAAACATCTTGCTCTCGCTGGCGAAACACCACTTGCATCATCATCATCATCATCATCATCACATCCACTGTATATTGCCTTTAGCTATCTTTCAAACAAAGGAACAAAGATCAACCATGGCAACAACGACTACTGCAGTAACCCCCGGAAAGTATTTGGATTTGGACCAAACTCCTATTCAAGGCCAAACTGGTTGGGCCTTGTTGGATCTGAACGGCAATGTCTTGGTCTTGTCGGGGAGTCTTCCCGAAGCCAATTTGACGGTGTTGTATCAAATGTTGTTGGAAACCACAAGTCTTGTCAATGATAAAGACTTTCGCAAGTTGACCGTCTCCTTTCAGTCGCAACAATATTTGGTATCCCGCGATGAGAATCATATCTACGTGGTGGAAACCACGAGCATTGCGACGTAGGTATGAAAGAGAGAGAGGGGGAGAGAAGCGCCTGTCTGCTTGCCATGTTCGAAGAAGAATCCTTAGGGTTCACCAAGTAGCACCAGGTAGTACCGTCGTCTATTGTGATGCTTTATCCATAAATTGATACATTTTCAAGATACATTAGTAAGCAATGATGATTGCAACGATGAAGCATAAAAGGCTTTTTGCTTCGTCTTGGAACGGAGGTAGTGATTGATAATTTGTAATACGGTAATAATATTATATAATGTATTTTATAAAACAGCATTCAACTAGCTAGAGTACAAACACCACGAACCATTTACGCTGTTATAAAAGATTTACTGAGCTGCACCGCGAAGACCTCAACTTCATTCCAAAAGCAGAAAATGAATCGTTGTATTAATACAAGCAAAACTTTAAACAAACATAATCTAGCTAGGAATGAATAAAAACAATATAATAATAGATAGTCCTACAGTAGATAGATACTATTCCCAAAAAAGTGGTGACAGTTATGTTTTATAATGGTACATTACAGAAAGTCTCAAGCCCCAATCGACCTTCACAACCAAACACACGGGGTAAATATCATGGTTGCAGTACACACCAGGCATTTTTAAGAAGAAGAAAACTTGGTCACAGCCTTGGTTCCTTCCGAAACGGCGTGCTTGGCAAGTTCTCCTGGAAGCATCAAACGAACAGCCGTTTGGATTTCACGCGACGAAAGAGTGGCCTTCTTGTTGTAAGTGGCAAGCTTTCCAGCTTCCGTGGCAATGCGCTCAAAGATATCATTGATGAAGGAGTTCATGATGGACATGCCCTTTTTGGAAATTCCGGTATCAGGGTGGACTTGCTTCAAAACCTTGTAAATGTAAGAAGAATAGGTTTCGACACGCTTCTTCTTGGAACCACCGGACTTCTTGGCGGGTGCTGCCTTCTTGACAGATTTCTTGCTTGGAGTTTTGGCCATTTTGAAAGTATTGGTTTTTGAGTTGACTACAAGTTTGGTGGGATTTGTATTTGTGAGACGAACGAGGGTGGAAGATGGCGTTGGATTGCTCAGAATATGGTGCTCGTGTTTCTGGTAGGTATTCTGTGTATGTACTTTTGCTGTACAAGATGTACCAATTCTTCCGGGTTTTCTCGCGCCAGAGAAAACGAAAAAGAATGAGATCGAAGGACAGACTGCATTTTGATCCCCACGACTGCCCAATATTTGGAAACTGGCGCGGGAAACCCGGATGTGATCTGCGAAAACCTTCCAGGAAAATGTTCTCACAAAACAAGCTTCGAACACTTTCGTTCTTATCAAATCACCCAACCGAAAAAAGAAATCAACATGTCTGGTAAGTCCATGGTTGTTGCAGAATTTACAACGCTATCAATTGCCTTTGCCTTTGCCTTTGCCTTTGGAAACAGTATTTCTCACGTCCAATGATCCTTGTCTTTCAATCCAAACAGGAAAAGGAAAAGGAGGCCGTGGCGAGAAAAAGTCCACCACTTCGTCTGCCAAGGCAGGTTTGCAATTCCCCGTCGGTCGTATCGGACGTTATTTGAGACAGGGCAAGTACGCCACTCGTATGGGAGCTGGTGCACCCGTTTATCTTGCTGCCGTCTTGGAATATCTGTGCGCCGAGATTTTGGAACTTGCCGGAAACGCTGCTCGTGACAACAAGAAGAGCCGTATTGTGCCCCGTCACATTACTCTAGCCGTCAAGAATGACGAAGAATTGAACAAGCTTTTGGGAGGAGTCACTATTGCTTCTGGAGGTGTTCTTCCCAACATTCACGCTGTCCTTCTTCCCAAGAAGGCTTCCAAGTAAACACACACACACACAAAAAACACAAAAACACATATTTGGAGTTGTTTGGCACAATATACAATCTCATTTGTAAATGATCATTCATGATGATTCCAGTCTGCGAACATGTCTCCAACGTAGGGGGTTGAAACATTGTTCCTTTGAAAGCTCGAATGATGGTCATTAGTGAGAATGAATAATACTGAATACTGCGTCTCTTGTAACATTAGCAAAATTGTTTACCAATTCTTATTATTATTTTTAAAGATAAATAAATATTATTACATACCACAAGCACAAAAACACACACCACTGTTCCACAGGGTAGAATGCTTGTACCATAATGACGATGCGTATTCACATCGAGATCAGGTATTCATAATGTCTTACTCCTGTAGGAATGGATTCTGCTGTATTTCATTGGCTGAGATGATGATGATGATGATGATGATGATTCCTTGTGTTCACCATGGAGTTGCTCTGGAGCTTGTGGATGAGACTAATAATTTGAAAATAAACTAACATGACATGATAATATACTGTACGAGTATATTATAATTAATAATGCCTACATAGTATTATACTAGTCCTAGGTACACATCGACCAACCGCCAAGACCGACGGCTTGAGTGAGAACTTAAGTGTTTGATAGTCCTTCTTCTCATACTCTTTACTCCTAACTAGTGTTGGCCTTGGAGTTTCAAACCCTTTGCCATGTTCTTTCGTACACCTGCAACATGGCTATGGCCCTCGCCGTGAACCTCCAAGTAAATATCAAGAGCCCGTTGGTACATGACGCGGGCTTTGCCATGTTGGTTTTGTTTGGTCAAGACGATTCCCATGCGTTTATACGTGTCGGCAACTTTGTCATGATGATTGCCAAGGACTTCCAACTGAATATCGAGAGCTTGGCGGTATGAATTCAGGGCTTCCTTATGTTTCACTTTGCACTCATAGACAATTCCGATATTGAAGTATGAGTTGGCAGTTCCAACATGTCTCTTTCCCAGTACTGCTAAACGAATTTCAAGTGCCTTTTGGTGGTTCGTCAATGATTCGTCATATTTCTTTCGCTTTGTAAAGGCAATCCCGATACTGTTGTATGAGCCGGCAGTATCAACATGACTCTTTCCCAGTACTGCTAAACGAATTTCAAATGCCTTTTGGTGGTTCGTCAATGCTTCGTCATATTTCTTTTGATTGTGCAAGGAAATCCCGATATTGTAGTATGAGTCGGCAGTGTCAACATGACTATTTCCCAGTACTGCTAAACGAATTTCAAGTGCCTTTTGGTGGTTCGTCAATGCTTCGTCATATTTCTTTTGATTGTTCAAGGAAATCCCGATATTGTAGTATGAGTCGGCAGTGTCAACAAGACTATTTCCCAGTACTGCTAAACGAATTTCAAGTCCCTTTTGGTAGTTCGTCAATGCTTCCGCATTTTTGCATTGGTGGTACAAATCATTCCCATCGTTAATAAATTTGCTCGCTTTGCTCAATTGGTTCTCCTTTTCGCCCTCATCAAGCTGTTGTTCATTCGCATCACTGTTGTTGATCTCTTCTGGTTCACTGTCCCTGCTGATGACAATTGTTTCACCTTCATTCGCTGCCTTCTGTTTCTCCTTTCTGTTTGTTTTGTTGTTGGTCAATTTCTCGGCACGCCTTTTCTTGTTGCCTTCATCATCATCAGTATCATTATCGCTCCTGGCATCGCTCGGCAACGTCGGCTGATGTGCTGCAGCTACATTTGAAATATCTTGATGATGCGCCGTGGCATTGGTGGATACTTCATTTGTAACATGACTGGCCCCAGCCGTATAGGTTCTTCCGTCCATAAGAGATGCATATCCGAGCACTCGCAGATGGTCGTCCACCTTCTCCAAATACTTTGTGTTCAAGGAATCCAACAAACGGTCGAATTCCTTTTCATTGCTGACAACATAGGTACCACCACCATCATTGGCAATGGTGATGGTCTTGAGCGTAATCATGGTTGGAAGACAAAGGCAGGATCAGCAAAGTAACGAAAAGACTTTGATGAAAGGAATGCATTCAACCGAGCTGCTTGCTTGCTTGCGTGCATGAATCATCGTGGCCTGCTTCCGTGATTGATTACGTTCCTTCAGTTACTAAGGTCGGTACTGACATTGATATATGCGTTGAATCAATATCTGCGTCATTGCGGTTGCCTCCAGACACGTTTATTGATAGTCAACGGAGTGGGGGTGTGAGCGTGTTTTTTCCTGCGTGAAACTGTGATGTGTCCGACTTGGATATAGAACTATCGAAGTACTTTCGATTTTCGATACAAAAGTACAGTACTGTATTTGAATCATCGACTAACTCCTCACACATACAAACCTTACTGCTATCACCACAACAAACTTTACTAAATTGAATTTTGTATCGTCATTCAATTAGTTTCAATAAAAACAGAGCTTCTATCACAGTTCCACTATTATTCCATTCTTCCACGAATTATAAAAGTACTTTCAAAGGCACTGGGTGTGGACGATCTCAGATCAGAACAATGATGATGATGAGAAGCACGACAGCCTACCGGTATTATTTCTCTACACACATTGTTCATCCAATGATCATGTGTACATTTAATAACTATTCAATAGGAGTACCTTTACTGTCTGCTTATACCTTAGATCTACAGTACGAGTAGTGCTATGTCTTCGCTAGTTTTACAGTAGGCTTCAAACACTCGGGTTCTTACTGTATTCAGTATCTTCTCTTTCTTCTCGTAGGATTCTACGTGTGAAACGCGTACATCGAGTGATGGATTTTTTCTTCGTCTTTGGTCTGCAACCTGCAACCATTGACATAGACTGGTAATATTCATTGTTGTTCCTTGTCAAACAGAACCCACACGTTCGAGAAGAGACATACAAAGCTCCACAACACATCTGTGTTTCTCTGTTGACTGTCTTTTTCCAACCATCCACACCAACTAGAAGATTGTTTGAGAACCATCATGAATCATCGTCGAGTAGGATTGTTCCTGGCTATTGCGGCGGCAGTTCCATTCGAAAGCGCTGCCTTTACCACCAATGTGCGGTATTTGGAATCATCTACTGCAGCATTGCATGTAGCATCCACCACTAGCAGCAGCACTCGCCTACAGTACAAACAACCAGAGGCTACTTCTCAAGACGACAAGCTCAGCACGGCCTATGACGATTGGTGTCAGCTTCACGGACACGCAGTGGAAGCTCCTCGCAAGGAAATCTTTTGTTATCATTATTTGCTGGCGGAACGGTTCTTTCAAAACACTGGAGTCCGGTTGGAATTGAACGAACATGCCGATTTGACCGATCAAGAATACGCCAGGTTGCTAAAGGAAAAGTATGGCAAGGACGACTTTCAATTGCAACGTCCTCCGGCCATGGAGGCCGAACATCAACGCTTTCAAACGGCCTATGCCGACTGGTGTCGACTACACCAGAAAGAGATGGATGAATCCCGTCTGGAAATCTTTTCCTATCACTATTTAATGGCCGAACAATATCTGGAAGAAACTGGGACGGTACTCCAATTGAACGAATATGCGGATCGTACACGAGAAGAGTACGAACATGTACTTTCGTTGGCCGACCAACAAAAACAAGAATCGTCCGCGACCGCTGCTGCTGCTGTTGTTGCGGAAACTGCTACTGCCTCTACCGAAGAGCCACAACCAGTCGTTCCTCCTGTTAGGATTGCTAGAGAAGAACCTCCACAGGCTGCTGTTGTTCCTCCAACTCCAGTCGCTCCAACCCCCCCACAGCAGCAGCAGCAGCAGCAGCAACAGCAACAGCAACAGCAACAGCAACAGCAACAGCAACAACAAGATTATCGTACCAAGGAATGGTGGGATGGAAGTGGAACTGCCTCCAATTTTGCCGATTGGTGGGAAGGTGGATCTTCCTTGACTTCGGCGCGGTACGAACGAAAACCAGCAGCACGGAGTGCCCATGCACGATGGCAACAAACAACAACAACCATTCAACCGTCTAGCCCAACTCCACCGAAGGAGCCACCCAGCAAGGACTTTTGGGGTTTCTTGGGCAATGGCAATGCTAATGATCAGCATGGCGATGAAGAACAAGGCTCTGTGGCACCATCCAAGCCGGTGGACCACATCTCTTCGACGACCTCTTCTTCGTCTGCCCAAGGGGCCGTGTCACCATTTTCCAAGCCTTTTTCGTCCACCTCGATTCCTGCCGATGCATCGCCGTCTTCCATGACGTCGTATCACCAAGACGATACTACCCCACCAATTTACTCCACTGAGCCACCACCGCTATCTTCCAACCCAACCGTTACCGCAAGTGCTGTCTCGCCATCCTCCATGACGTCCTATGTACAGGATCCAGCTCCCGTGTCGAAATCACCCGCCAAGACTCCTTTTGGTGGTAATGGACCTGGAACAGCACCAAAGACTACTGCTACTACTAGCAGTAGCAGTGCGGATTGGTGGGGAAGTGGATCCATTGCCCAAATGAAACCTATTGGGGATGACACGGACCTGAATCAGAATCATAGGTCACTAGGTAGTCCTCCTGGAGGAGAACCCCGAGCTCCACGACAAGGAGTTGCACCCTCTTTGGCAACGACCGACGAGTCTTTGTCGAGTGCCACTACGACCGACGAATCATCATCATCATCTGCATCCGCAGCTCCCAAGGAAACTGTGGTGGATTCGTCTCTCAATCCAGTGAACAGTGACGATCCAGAATCGTCTAGTACTACCGAAGCACCCAAAACTTATTTGGATACTCTCCACCCAGTGAGCAGTCATCACGAATCGTCGTCAAGTAATGCGGCGGAAGAATCCAAGACTTATTTGGATACTCTCCACCCAGTAAGCAGCTATCAAGAAGGACTGGAGAGTGCTAGTCGACCCCACCAGCCCGCAAGGACAGAGTCCAGCGACGATTGTTGCACCAAGGCTGGTATTTCACCAGAAGATTCCTCACCAACAAGCGATTCTGCCGATCAAGCCAACGTCGTTGCCCAATCCAGCAGTGATTCAATGGATTCATCATTGGACACTGCTTCAGCAGCAGACGCACAAGAATACGTAGCGTGGTGCCAAGAAAATGGCAAGGAACACAATGAAGCTCGCATGAAGATTTTTGTGCGAAACTTGAAATGGGCCCGGGAGTACTCGGAAGGAAGTGGTGTCGAGTTGGAGATGAACGAGTATGCGGATTTGACCCAAGAAGAATATCAAGAGGTCCTCTCTGCTGCTGCTGAAGACGAAGAAGTGGAGGATCCACTAGTGCTTTCTACTGATAGAGAAATTGGGCAACTGCAAGTGGTATCGGCCGACGATAGTGCTGGACCGTCCGACAAGTCGTCTGTCCTCACCAGCCGCAAGCAGCGAAGGAAGAATATGTATGAATTTCAAGAGCGACTGTTGGCAGCCAGGATTCACAATGATATCCAACTTCGAAAGCGGACCAAGGCTCTTGCAGTTCAACTACAGAAATATTTCTTCCAGCGAAGACTTTTGGCTGCTCGGATTGAATACGATGCCAAGGCCAAGGCGACAGCTGATGCTATGCGAACAGAGACAAGGGAAAGCAAACAATTCCAACCGGCATTTGTGGAAACTAGAACTCCAAGTGATGTCAAGGCCAAGGAACCACCTCGAGATTTGGAAGCCGAAGCCAAACAATTTGCATTCCAACGAAGTCTCTTGGCAGCCCGGATCAAATACGATGCTGCCGCTAGTCAAATGGAGAAAGCGAAGAAGGAGTCTGCCTTCCAACAAAAACTTCTCAGTGCAAGGATCAAGAATGACTACGTTGCACGTCAGCAACGAACGGAAAAGAAACCAATTGTGGGAGATTCGAAAGCAGAAAAATCTAGTGAGAGTTCCACCAAGAATGTTTCAGCGGCAACTAGTGATTCGAAGGTTTCCCTGCAAGAGAAATTGTATGAAGCCAAGGTCGACAAACACTTCTCGAAAGATGCGAAAGTGGAAGAATTCCCAGCAACGGAATCCGTTGATGAAACAGACAAGGTTATTGAAGCTAGTGCCACTCCAGCCAAGTCCGTTGCCGAAACTGCCCGCGCAGTCGATGAGACTAAGGTGGAAGCAACCACAGCCAAATCCACGGGCGAAGAAGTCGATGTTACTGCCACATCAGTCAACACCATCGATGAATCTGATCAAACAGAAGAATACATCGCTGCGCCAGCCGCAAGTGTTTCAGAAACACCTTTGGAATCGATTGCAGAGCCGCAAAATGATAGTGGTTACGCAGTATCGATTTCTTCCTCCGATGAACTAATGTTCGAATACACAAGCCCGTATCAAGGTCTGACTGGTCCATCCAAGGCTGGTCTGGTCCTTGCTTCACTTCTGGTTGTTGGAATGGTCGTTACAAGTCCCGAATTGGACCTCGCCTCACAACCTGGCTTGGCGGACTTTGCAACGTTGTCTGGCACTGCCCAACATGCAATGAATGACTTTGTTCACAACGTTCAGGAAGGTTTTGCATCAGCCACTCAAAAGTTCTTGGGTGGACTGGAGGCGATGAAGGATTCGACCGCTCGCAACATGGAGAGTATGAGCAAGGATGTGTCTGCACCGAAAACAGACCATACCAAATCGTTGAAGACAGCTAGCGACAACATGCCAAAATGGCAAGTGCATCGAGCCAAGGACATTGAAGGAATTGGAAAGGCAGCCGAAAAGTCTACACGTATTTTGAAGGAATCGACTGAATCTAGCGTCAAGGCAGCGACCAATACCATCAAAGAAGTGAAACAAAACGCACCCTCTGCAATCAAGACAGCGACCAATACCATCAAAGAAGTGAAACAAAATGCACCCTCTGTAGTCAAGGAAATCAAGCCAAATGCAGTGACCAATGTCGTCAGAGAATTGAACCAGAGCCCAGCAGCCAGTATCATCAAAGAAGTGAAACCAAGCACTGCAGCGAAGGTTATCAAAGACGTCGCACCAAGCTCTTCGACTGACCTTAGCAGCATGCTGAGTGAATGGAGTGCGCAACAAAAATAAAGAGCAATGCTATTGAATTAAAGAACCACGCTATTAGATAACACAAGATTCTACATCGTTACGAAAATGGTGCTGTTTCCATCTCCATTTCCTTCTTCTTTTTCAGGTTTGCCAAAGGACCAATCTTGAGATAATGTCCAACTGTACTAATCTGTGCTATAATTGAGGCGAAAAAGATGGTCCACATGATACCGTCCAGACGCTGGCCGAATGGCGACATGATACCCCCCACCATGAATAAGGCCCAAATTCCGGTGATGATGGCCAAATCACGGTAAGACCCCAAACCCATCATGACTCCCTCGCCGGCAAAGATGGGACCATCCAGAATGTGTGTCAAGGAAGCAATAAAGGCTGGTAACTTGACGGCCTCTCGGACTTCCGGGAGTGTCGAAAATATGGGCACAATAAATGGAAGAGACGCGTATTGTACGACTGCCAAAACAATTCCCATCAAAGTGGACCAGATCATCAGACGATCTGCGCATTTGCGTGCACTGGCGGGTCCTTCCTTGGCCATGCTAGCAGGTACCAAGGCGGCAGTGGTACTTTGCATGGCAACCATCAAAATGATTCCAACGTTACTGATTTGTGTGGCAATTCCATAGGCAGCACCCGAAATACCAGTGGGATCCATGACCTGAGCCCGTCGAGTGGCAATCAAGAAGGCTCCATTCAAGGTCAATTGCCGAAACAACATGGCTGCACCTCCTTGCAGTAGGGGTAACAGGGATTTCCAGGAGGGAGGTTTCAGGAGTATGGACCATCGAGCGAGCCCTTTTCGTAACAATAATCGCAGGTATGTCAATCCGCCCAAAGTTTCAGAGGCAGCAGTGGCCACGGCAGCTCCCAAAAATCCCAATCCACCACCGAACATGCAAAGCGGATCCAACACTAAGTTCATAGCATTTGTAAAGAGACTGACCTTCAACGGTGTCACGGTATTTAGCATTCCCCGATATGCGGCAAAACCAGTGGCAGAAATGAGAGATGGGACCATACCAATGGCCCTCCATCTCAAGTACGGAGCGGCATAAGCCATGGCAGGGGCATCCCCAGGTAAGACCAAGGCCGACAAAACTTGCTTGGGAAAGGCCACCAATAAGCCAGTGCCCAAAAGTCCTAGAGTGGTACATAAGAAGATGGATTCACAAACTCGTCGTTGGGCTTCTTCCTCGTTACCGGAAGCGACTGCCGATGCCACAAGCGGAGTCATAATGTTGGGCAAAAAGGAAATGAGGAAAAATATTGTAAAGCTGGCTTGATTGGCCGCTGACTGTCCCGCCAAGGCCAGTGCCAGTCCCAATCGACCCACCCAAAAAGTATCCACGGCATTGACAAGAGGCACCACGCCCAGATTGATCATGTTGGGAATGGCAGTCTTTAGGATATTGTCGTCGAGTTCGTCTTTTCGCCGTCCAATGCGTGGCAAACTGTCCAAGAATCTCCTTTTTCCAGAGGTCAATTCAATATCACTGGCACTTGATTGCAGTGTCGTCGACGTATCATCTTCGACTTCACCATTGATACGGTCGTATCTAATAGACTGTCGAAGATTGGCAAAACCTGGCGTCCGTGACGTGATGGAGGAAGCTACTATTCGTGGAGGTGCAAATGCTTGGGCTTCTCGAACTAGCGAGGTAGCAACCAATATCATTGCGAGAGAAGGAATTGCGACAGAATAAAACTTCATCTTTGTATCATGCTCTATTGACAAAAGAAGTGAACAGACCAAATCTTGTTGATGATATATAAGAATTCAGATCTTGAAACGAAACGTGGTCCTTGAAACCCAAACCTCGTGGTGCTGAAAATGATTCCAACGTCACTCGCGAGGAAGCCACTCTTTTCAGACATATTTTGGACGCGCATTTAGCTTCAGATTTATTGTCATGAACCCTGAAAACTGACACATATTGAACATCGAAATCAAAGGGTTTCGGAACTTTCCTCTGCTGCACGTACCATCAAAACCAAGGCCAAATCAAAACTGTTGATGTCAACATGAACAAGGAAACCCAAAGGTCTGCATGGCACTGGAAACGAATCGTTTCTGGCATCACGGAAGGCGACAGTCCTAAAAAGATGGTGAATGACTTGCGCAAAATGACGGACCGTATCTCACTCAATCTGACAGAGAAAATCCAGCTGAATACTACAAACATTGAGAAGAAAGAAGATCGACTGGAAATGTTCAAATCTGACCTCGCTGCAGCCTTTCAGCTCATGCTAGAGGATACTGGACTAGATAAGGTAGTCAATGTGCCGCCTCCAAAAGTTGAATACTCGGCAGTTTGTATAGACGATGAAGAAATACTGAAGTTCGAGGATGAAGTACTACGCACTCCAATGACGCCAAAATCCATTGGTGGAAGACCGTCCTTGGCTTCAAGCGACGTATCCTCTTCCTTTCATAGCCAGACGGATGATGATAATTGGCTTTCTCCCGCCAAATCCGACTGTCGAAAGGTCCACAATGACAGTCTCCATGATGACCGACGGTTCTATTTTGATCTGAATCATTTGGATGATGAGTGAAGAAAACAAATTCCGTATCGCACATATTGCACAAATTGCAAACCAGCAGAGGACTACACTCACAACCCTTAGTTTCAGGCCATTCAAATCCAAACGACTATTGTTCTACTGTACCTCATGGGAAAACACATACCACCAACTGAACCTGCCGAGTTCCCACCAGAAGGCAACCTCACAATTCAAAAAGTTGCATTGTATTCATAACATGTATAATAACCACAGTATATCTCTGACTTTTTGTTTTTGTTTATAATGTAATAGCTAGCACATCTACACATTCGTACACACTGGCAAACGTTCTATGGATCCTATTTGTGATTGGAAAATTGGATCGCTTCTTCTTCTTCTTTCATTGTCGACTTGGTTTGGCGAAAGGTGGAAACCACATATTCCATGGCATCCACTGCATTGGTGACTGTTGCAGCAATCCCACGGAGCACAGCGTCTTCAAAAATCCAATCTGACATGTCTTCATTGAGACGGCGTTCTTCTTGTTTTCTCTGCTCCGCTTGAGCAAACAAGAGGGAGGCTTCTTGTTTGTAGCGCTCTTGCTTTTCTTTGATGGAAGCAAGGTTATTTCGAGTTCTCGTTTGACTCTTGTGGACCCAATCTTTCGGTAGGATTCCTCGTTTTGGAATGATTGGTGGTTCGGAATGAGTATGTTTCTTCTTGTTTGGCCGGAGCTTGCTGTCCATTGACAACAACTTTTCTTTTTGCTTTTCAAAGGTTGGAAGAGACTTTTTGAAGTTCTGGATGGCGTTTGAAGCTTTTTTCTTCATGGTTATTGTTTTCGTCTCTTGTATCGTCGTCAGCTTGGTTGCTTCAGCAGCCGTGACACTCGACAGTGGTATGCTATCGTTAGCATTGTCTCCATCGGCGTGCAAAGGCTGTCTGGCTTGACTCGTTTCGCTATCTTCAATTTTCAAATCTTCGTCGCAGGACAAAGTGTCCTTCGACCCTTTCTCTTCATCAATTCTCTCCAACTTCTTTTGTATTGTATAGAACTTTGGATTGGCAGAGAAAGTCGCAGCCGTTGTTGCTCCTTGCGAATACAAAGGGAAATGTGAAAGTGGCATTATATCATCCCTTTGCAGATCTTCGTGACTGTCCTCGTTCACCCGAGACCAGTAACGCCATCCTCCTTGCTCTATTGGGTCCATGGTAGTATTTCGACTGTTCATGATAGCAGGAAATTCGACATCTCTTCCTTCGGAGACAACCGTTTTGCGATATGCAGAAGCCTGGTTGGAACTCCCAAGAGCCCAAAATTGCCACCCTTGTTTCTTGCCAACATTTGCGGATGTCAATGCTGCGTCTTCCGTAAGGAGTTTAGACCAGTACTGCCAATCACTTTCACCTCTTGCTTCCTTTTCATTTCGTTCCTTGGTTTTGATGACCCAAGAGTCCTTTTGCAAACCGGAGGAAAGCTGGTGCTTCTTTCGAGCCGACGAAGACTGATGATTCGTGGAACCAATTGCCCAAAATTGCCACCCTTGTTTTTTGGAAACGGCATTGGTTGCCGTTGCCTTGGTCACATCTTCCGTTTGCTGTACACGAGACCAATAACGCCAACCGCTCTCATCTTGTGATAAACTCATTTTTGGTGCCACTGGTTTCATAATAGGAGGTTCGACTGCAAAATGTTCCGAAGCAATCAGCTGTTTCTGATCCATCATGGCCGCCCGATTTGCTTCTCCGATCGCCCAGAACCGCCAGCCTTGTTTTGTATTAATTTCTTTAGATTTCAATATTGCCGCATCTTTCTTCATACTAGACCAATACCGCCAGCCGCTTTCATTTCGCGGCTCGATTGGTTGCAGTGTCCTGATCTTGACAACTTTCACCATGGGAGGGTCCATTTCAAAGGCTTCTGTCAGCAGGGACACTTGTGATGAAGCATCAGATACACCAATCGCCCAGAACTGCCAAGCTTCCTGACAATCAAAATCTGACGGTGATGCTATCAGCTCCTCTTGGTGGTGCATTTGGGACCAATACCGCCAAGCGCATTCAGCTCTTGAGTCTACAGGATCCTTTGCGTTTAGTGCTACAGAAGCTTGGTCCGTATTGTTGAAATTGTCTGAAGGAATAAGATCATTTGGATTCATACTATTGGGGCTGTCGGTAACCCCAATGGCCCAAAATTTCCAACCCTTCTTTGGGCCACTCGTAACGATTACTTGTGATGATGAAGCCTTGTGAATGGGGGCTGAAACTGAAATTGATGTCTGTTCATCATTTGTCGGCTGCTCCCCAAGGGCCCAAAATTGCCATCCGTCTCTCTTCATGATAATAGTACTATTAGTATCATTAGTAGAAGATTTCAGAAGCTTTGTCGGTGCATCATGTCGTGCCGGTTTTACTGGTTTCTTGTCGTTGACAACTTGATACGTCGGTGCTTTTTTCACTTCATGACTTGCCGGTTGTTCCGAATCATCACCTCCAATCGACCAAAATTGCCATCCTTGGCTTGCTTGTCCGTGTTGTGTTGGATCTTTTCCCATATTGAATATCGTCCTTCGGTATCCAAACGATTAATTAGTGGTGCCTTCCCGACTGTGACAATAAAATCTTGAAAACTAAATGCAAGTCAAATTTGTAATAGCGCTTTTACACTTTGTGTTGTGTGATTTGATATCCTTCCAGTTAGCTATTGGGATGACAGGTTTTGGACCGTGTTGTTCTGACTTCTTCTTCTCCTTCCCACCTGCCTACTGTATGATATGTATGTGACAAAGTGTACGTTTGAGCGATTTGTTGTTCAACGGAAAAAATTACGGCGAGAGCTTGGAGTTCTCAAAGACAACACTGCCTGAGATCGATAATGACGACTGCATTTGTCCGACCATCTTGACTAAGTTTATGAACATACGGACGGACGCGCCCATTGCACGGCACTGGCACGACCACAAACAGACGCACTGACAGGCCCATCACGTAAAAATGTCAGTACGCGCCAGCCGAATACTTCTTCGATCGCCAGCCAGTATGTGTCACGGAGGCAACCAGATCATGAAACCGAACCGCCCGCGCGAAGCGGGCGTTACGGATGAAGAAATTCTTTCAACTATAATTCGCGGTTAATTAACCGCGAGTTGAAAAATTCGCGGTAAATTTAACAGCGAATTCAAAAATCGCGGTAAATTTAACAGCGAATTTTTCAATTCGCGGTTATTTAGTAGCGAATTTTTCAATTCGCGGTTAATTCAACCGCGAATTGCGTGATGTAGAATCACTCTCATTTCTTCCTCCATACAACGATACCATGCAATAGAATGGTTTGTTCCTCAATCACAGGGTTTCTTCCTATGTTTGGATTGGGAAAGTTGTCCTCTTGAGAGCCTCTAGAGAGAGGAAAATCAGCTGTTCCAATAGTGAAAATGCAAGTGTAGTAAATAGTCTTCTATAGCATCATTACTACGTTATAGATCTATGATTCTTCCCCTTGACTTTGAGAGCGTGCAAGTACTTCCCTGTTCTAATCTCCTGGTAGTTGCATTCCCTGAAAACATTCAAAGAAAACTCCTTGCAATACTGTTTTCGTTAAGAACGGCATAGATCTTGATATCTTACAGGAGCTTATCTTTTCCATTCTCGTCCATGGCTTGACGCAGAAGCTTCTGGGCATCCGATCATTGTCAATGGATATTTTGTAGTAGCTTTGAAAGGATGTTACTGGATGGTTGTCGACGAACTGTTTGACATGAGCCTAGTGGTCCTCGACGACTCTGCTGATCTTCTGGTTTTCTTGCTTCTGCAGCGCTGTCAGTCTATCAGCAAAATATTCAGAACCACATTGTTCGACTTCCTATTTTTCTCGCCGCTCATGTCACACACCTTTTGTAGTCAACTTTTCCCCATCGAGTGGGATGGGGGACAACAGGAGCGGTTGCAAGAGATCCCATAGAATGTCTTTTGCCCTGCTGATTTTTCGTCCCATCTTATGCTCCAAGATATTGTTCGCCTTTTGTAACTTCTGAGCCTGGTAGCAAGCTTCTTGGGATCCCACTTTTCCGATCTCCCTTCGTACCTGGTAGACTCCTCGCCCATTTCGCAAATCACTTTCAAGATGACTTTTAGAATCATGTTGTTCCCTTCATCATCTACTTGTTTCCTTCATCACCTAAGGCTTCTCTATCGCGCGACAGATCCCCAGTAGTTCCTGGATGATTTGTTTCGCCCTGCTGGTCTTCCAGGGCGTCTCAGGCTCCACAAACACCATTGATGGATTTGTTTGGTTTTGTTGCTGAATTTTTAGAATATATCAATTCGCGGTTAACGCAACGGCGCTTTTTCAATTCGCGGTTATCACAACGGCGAATGGAGGCAATTCGCGGTTAAATAGCCGCGAATTTCTCAATTCGCGGTTAAATAGCAGCGAATTTTTCAATTCGCGGTTAAATGTTGGAGTGTTCGCGGATAGACCGATCATTGCGGGTGGCACCACCATGTGTCCAACACGACCCGTTCGATTTGAAGGAGGCTTGACCAGCTCGCAAAGGAATGTCCTGGCAGGCGCGCCACTACGTTTTTTACGTGACGGGCCAGGAGAATGAATGCTTTGATTTTTTTCATTTCCCCCGTAATTGGATCAGGCGCATTTCCTGAGAGGTGCACGAGAGGTCATCCTGTAGCAACTTGTTGGTTCAGGCCGGGTTCATTCGACTGAGAATGTTGTGCTGATAGAGGAATCCTGTCCATGCATATCATTTGGTTCCTTACACATAAAATACTCTTGACTACGCTGGTAAAATAGATGAGCCAAAGTGAAGGGCTGGCAGGAGGAGAGAAAAACCCAATCCCGTGAAAGGTCATATCATATATTGCAAAATTCGAATCCAGTACCTCATACGCCCACCTCGAAATATATATATATATGGAAAAACTAAGGTCTTTATTTGGTTTTTTGAAAGAGTGGTGCTATAGTTCGCCATTTTATTTAAACTACACCACATAGAGCGACTCAAACAATTAGTACATAAATCTAAGTTGAATTGATTTCTTTTTTGTATGACTAGAAAAACAAAGCTCAGACACATTTACGTCAACCTGCCTGGAAAAGAAAGCCTTAGAAAAACGAAGACAAGGGTCGACTTCACACAAATATTTAACAACTGCATTATTTATTATATACCAACTGACGAGAAGACAGAAGAACTTCCCATTTGGAGCAACCGTTCCAGCGGCCAGCTCGCGCAACCTCGTTGAGCAAGGCAAAGCTTACAGCCCACACAAGACAACAATGGACACCAGGGATCCCTGCAAGCAAGTGGTCAAATTTGACATGGAAAGCGACAGCCAAGATCAGCGTACACAGCCTACAGAAGTCAATATTGTTGAATTTGATGTTGAAAACGGACACAAGGATTTGGATTTGAATAAAAAGTATGACGATGATGAATCTTCTTCCATGTCTTCCAATGCCCTGAACACGAACATTTGGAATCGTGCCGCAATCATCAGTGCTGGAATTGCTATCTTTGGGATTCTAGCGGGGACTCTCTTTCTCAGCTATGGGATTGCCGCCTCCAATACATCCCAAGAGCGAAGTTTCCGACTGGTCGCTGATGAAACAGCGAACGAGTTTGAGCTTGCCGCGGAGGACTATGTGACGGCTGCCAAGTGGCTTCACCAGGCATGTGCCTATCACCCTATTAATCGGACTGATTTCCGAGACATCTATGAGCACGCTTCATTTGATTTGACGTTTCAGGTGAGTAATTACCTTTGTATCATTGATTATGGACCGATTCATTTATTCAATCGTATGAAATGAATTCCACCTTCTCACAATTTATGTTTCTAGACTGCCGCGTGGGTCCCAAGAGTTTACAACGATGAGCGAGCCGCCCTCGAGGATTCATCTCTCGAATACTACGGAGAGAACTACCCAGATGTAAACTATCGAGGGATTGTTGGCTATGAGCCTGATGAAAATTCAATCTCTGGCACTTCGGTTCAAAATAGAACCGAACAACCATTTTACTACCCAGTTCACTTCATTGAACCCGTGGAAACAAATACAGAAGTCATAGACCTAGATCTATACTCTATCGTTCGGGTGGCTGTAGACCAGGCACTGGAGACCTTTTTGCCTTCCGCTACTGCCCCATTCGTATCAAGCCGAGATCCAATTACAGAGATTACAGAGAATAGCATTCTTCTGCTCCATCCTGGAATACCCCTCTCAAGTCACCCAGACAGAAAACCAGAAGATTTGGCAGCGTTGCGAATTCAGGTCAAAGACTGGCTACAACACGCCTCGCGGAACATTCCAGAGTCCATTGCGGTGTATATTTACGATATAACCTCTTCGGAAACGGAACCAATTTTTGTCATTGCTGCAGAGGTACACAAGAACGGAACTGGAGATTTGGACACTAATATTATTCTCTTGAAAGAATTGACCTTGGAAGAACTAGATGCTGATAATCTTCTATATCAGGATTCCATCATTCGAACTGGGTCTAGAGAATGGAAAGTGCGCGCAGTAGCCTTGGATGGGACTTTTGAACCAGTTATCCTTACCGTACTTGTTGCATCAATTTTCATCTTGGTGGCTTCCGTTTTCATGGCGTTATGGGTGTTTGCTGGTATGCGACGAAATTTAAACATGAACAGATTAAAGCGCGACAATGACGCAGAAAAGGCTGCACTTGTCCTCAAAAGCGCGAGAGAGGCTACCAAAATGGAGCAGGAATTAAACGACTACATTGCACATGAAGTCCGAAATCCTCTTTCGGCGGCGCTGTCAGCGCTCACCTTTGTCAAGAGCGAAATTGGGGAAAAAACAAGTGTGAAAACAAAAGAAATCACTGATGATATCCAAATCGTCGATTCCAGTTTGCGGTTCATCAATGATTTGTTGAGAAGCATGCTTGACTTCCACAGAGCAAAGTCAAAGAACATGAAACTCCAAATCGAGCCTTTTGATCTGGAACAAGACCTGCTGCTTCCAGTCAGGGCCATGATCTATACTCGTGACTCGGATGTCAAAATAGAAACCAACTGTCCTCCAGGCGTGGTGCTAAAGACTGATCCGATACGAATGAAGCAAGTGGTGTTGAATTTATGTCGGAATGCAGTCAAGTTCGTTCATAAGGGATACGTTCGAATAGGCGCCACTGTGGAAAACGGGTTAGTTGTAATCACGGTAGAAGACTCTGGACCAGGAATTCCAGTTGACAAGCGCCAGCATTTATTTTCCAAATTTCAAGAAAGTCTCGATGCTCTGAACCAGGGCACCGGAATTGGACTATGCTTGTGCAGGAACATGGTGGATCTCTTGGGGGGTGATATCTACCTCGATGAGAGCTTTGAAAGCGGAATCGAGGGTTGTCCTGGAGCTCGTTTTGTGATCAACACAAAACTAGCCCCCATGACACGTGAAGAAATCGAGCAATACGTCAACAGTAAGGATGATCAGGTCAGCACAAGCCTGAAGTTCATCCTCGACGACGAATTGATGGCTAGCCAAGACATTGACAAGGACCAAGAGCTCCCAGAAGAGCTGTCAGTTCTGTTTGTGGATGACGATCTTGTCTTGCGAAAGTTGTTCTCAAGATCTGTACGCAAGGTGTCAAAAACTTGGAATATCAAAGATGCATCGAGTGGGGAAGCAGCGCTAGAATTGGTAGCTGAACAGAATTTTGATCTCATCTTTGTTGACCAGTACATGGCGAGCGTCGAAAAGCAGTTGTTGGGAACGGAAACGGCACGAGCGCTTCGAGCAAAAGGAATAAAGTCCATCATCTGTGGGTTGTCAGCAAACGACGTAGAAGCGGGCTTTTTCAGTGCTGGTGCTGATTTCTTCATGTTCAAGCCTTTTCCATGCCGACCAGAGGAGCTGAAGCAAGAGCTATTACGCATATTGTATACCCGGCGCAAAGAATCGCTAGCCGAAATGAGTACGACTTCACAGCTGGAGTGCTGATTGGAATGCCACGATTTGAAATTCGATGACAACAAGTAACAGTAACTTTTGTAGATATAGACAACTTTTGTATAGCCATGACAATGTCAATGAATTAGTTCTGCGGAAAAAGGCAGAAGAAGAGTACTATAGCTTTTAAAAAAGTTAGCATTTTTAAGCTCCTACTGCTTTTGAAATGCCATTTGCAGGACTGTTGGTGCTATCTATGGCTCCTTGTTGTCCAGGTCTTCCGCGAGTAGGAGGTGCACCTGGAACTGCATCAGCTTCAGCAACACGCTTGTAGAGTTCCCAGTTCATCTTCAGGATCTCGAATTCACCAGTCTCACGGTATCCGCCTGGGATTTGGTTGTCCTCGGCGAACTTGATCAGCCTCTCGCGCAGGGAAGGGTACTTGGAGCGTGGCATGGATGGGAACAAGTGGTGTTCCAATTGATATTGCATGCCTCCCCAAATCCATTCGGAGAAGGGGTTGGTAGTGACTGCGTTACGAGTCGATTGAAATTGAGCAGTCACCCAATCTGGTTGGTATTCCTCAAACATTTCCTCCGATTGATGTGTGGGAGTCACAATCAAGGCAGAGACCAATCCACTCATGAAAACGGCTGGGACCCAAATAGTGTAAGGGAAAACAGTCAAGACAAACAAGTAGTGCGCTAGAAGGGAATAGAGTTCATTCTTGGCCCCAGGGCGCTTGTTTTCAACAGCGTCGACAGCAACCTTCATGGAGTCCACTCTCCACAAGGCGAAAAGGAAAGAAAAGGGAATGTAGAAGATCAAGTGTTGAATCTTTCGAAGAGGTGAATCCTGCTTTGGGTCAGGTGCCCATTGGAACAAGAATGGATCGGTGGCAACATCTTCATCGCATCCCATTTCATTTGCTGTTGTATGTTTGGAGGAGCATTGAAATGTGAGACACAATGCTTTTGGTATCATCGTTATCGCTTCCTGCACTGTCGGACATTGTACTGGTACTGGTACTAGTACTAGAGTGCTAGTGCTACTTACTCAATGCGTGGTGCTTGTTGTGTTTGTCGGACCACCAAGTGGGGTGCAAACCAGCGGCAAATCCAGCAAAGTTTCGCAACTTGAAGGCATATTCGTCAATTCCGTGAATGTAATCGTGACCCAACCATCCAGCAGCCGTCATGGACAATCCCAAAAGGAAGGTGGAAAGAAGAGGAACGGCTCCAGAAGTGAAAGCAGCACCGGCAACCAAGGCTCCCCAGATACCTAGAATCTTGTATTCGTGGACCATGTCACGTTCCCAGTATCCTTCAGCCTCTAATTCTTCTCGAAGCTTACGAAAGGCAATCTGTGTGTTGGAATCAGGAACGGCGTTCTGTTCCAAAGCTTTGGTAGCTTCGGGCTTGCTTCTGGGCAAACGATCCAACATCTTCATTGCTTTCTTGCTGTGGAAACCGTCCATAACTTCGGTGGCATCGCGTCCATCATAGTAATCAATCCAGTGTTCTCCAGCTGGGTGTCCCTTTCGCCAACCTGCATCAAGGAGGTCATTAGGATTGATCACACACAAAAAATGAACAAGGAAGAAAAGTATCACAATAAAGATTTCGATGCACAAAGAAGAAAGAGAAAAAATGTTAGCATGATGGATATCGAAGAGTGAGTCATTCGTTCGATTTGAAATTTTATCGCTCCGTTATTCGTTACAGAATGAATGAATCATCCACATGCCAATGAAGATACTACTAACCTGTCAAATCATACCACTCTCCATGAATACGAACATCCAAGGAAGTGCGACATTGCTCTTCATCGCATGCTGGAACTTCTCTGCATTCCGTAAGATCATCATCGCATTCCCAAGTGGTTGGCTCCTTGCTTGTGGTGGTTGGCTCCATGGTGGAAGCTCCAAGAACGGTACTGCTGGGTTTGGTCAAAGATGCCGATTTTTGCACCATGGAAGTGGTAAATCGAGTTGGAACAAAGGCATTTGTACTGGCAACTCCGGACAATAGGACAAATACAAAAAGGTTGTTGCAGATCATCTTTGCCAGGAACGATTGAACGATGAATAGATATATAGTTGATGATTTTTGCAAAACATGGGCAACGAAACCAAAAAAAGAAGGGTGCACGCACCGATGATGACACAGAAAACGGACCATTGTTGAACCAAAGAAGGTTGGCCACGCACCCGCAGATATGCCAACGTCTTGCAACCATCGGGTTCAAGTCGGCATTTTGACTTCCGAGAACCACCCGCACTCACACGGGAATCGAAAGCGGGTACAGGTAAACTACTGTGCTGTGTCATACTGTACCAGTCGCAGTGATCGATTTCCGAGATGACCGGAAACAGAAATCATCGGCGTAAAAAAGAATCCGGCGGCGTGTGTGAGGGCCATTTGCATGAATCATTATTTCGTCACTGGTTGACGAGCATATATTTCACAATCTATCAGATTATTGCAGTAAATAGTACCAGTACGCTAAAAGATGCCTGCTGCTGAGTACAAGGTTACAGCAATGCAGGACGAAGACCGCAAGGTCATCTTCCAGATGCCAGAAAATGAGAAATGTGTGGATTGTGGAACTTCCAATCCAGAATGGGCATCCGTAAGTTACGGGACCACCCTATGTCTAGAATGTGCTGGACCTCATCGGTAAGTATACATGTGCTTGGAGTATAAGGTTTGAAGATCTGGAACCATCTAAACTCAAACACTTTGCCATATGCATGGTCGCATTCTGTTTTGTATCATCACTTCAGAGCTCTTGGAGTCCACCTTTCCTTTGTCCGTTCCATCAAAATGGATGCCTGGACTGAAAAGCACTTGCAAGCCATGAAAAGTGGCGGAAATGCCCAATGCCGTGCCTTTCTGCAAAAATGGGGAGTCAATGTCGACTTGGACCGGAGCAAGATTAAGGAACGATACGAATCTCCGGCTGCAGAACTGTATCGAGAGTGTTTAAAGGCTCGAATCGAAGGTCGTCCCGAACCAACAGAGTTGCCAGAGAAAAGGGAGGCAACAATACCTGCAACAGAACGAAAAATGGAAGGGTTTGGAAGTTCCCCGCATCCGAGCACACTTCCTCCCAAGAAGAAAAAGTTTAGCCGAAAAGCCATACTTGCGGGGGTTGCGTCGGCAGCCATTGGCGTTGGTGCCGTGGCCATCCAGCTGAGTCAGAACAATCGGTAAATGAACATATGCTTTAGACAGGTGATATATATTTGTTTTGTTTGTTTTGTTTGCTCTGTTTTGCTTTGTTTCCAAACTGTCCTTCTTACTTTGAAATTGTTGTACCTATATATGTTCCCACCTAAATCGTGCCATGCATCAATCAATCAATCATCAACGTTTTGTATTGCGAAAGGAACAAGTTGAATCGTCGTCCCCGTCGTCACAAAACATGAGCTGGCAGGATTTTTTTTGGCACTATTCACAGCCTCCAGCATACTAGTGGGCTGCAGATGCATTGATCGATAGCTACTATGCGCTAGTCCTGGTGTATGTCGGATGCTTCTTGATTTGTGCAATCATCATGAAGCGGATGCTGGATGGGGTTTTGATTCAAACACATTTTTCGCTTTCTTTCTAGCTTCAAATTTGTTTTGTTAAACTACTATTATATAAAATATTTGTTGTATAAAATAAAATACAGAGTATGGTAGTTGAAATCTGTCAGCCTCTGCAGTACAGCACTTCTACCCAAAAGTTCCGAACATAAAACCTACGAATGAAGTCGAATGAATCAAAAATGCTCCCTCCAAATCTTATATCAAAGTACCAATCGTACGTATACGTGTACCTATTCGTTACAAGCAGGATTGATTCAAAATCGATAGCCGGACTGTCCAACGCCCTTGTTCCCTGTAGGATATTTTTTCTGATGTGTGTATTGTGAATGAATGCTGGTAATGCACAATAGAGAACCATCAGCAACAGCAGCAGCAGCAGCAACAACACCAACGGTATAAGCCGTATAGAACGGAATAGAGAGCACTACGCAGAGTATACAAAGTACAAATACAAAACAAGCACCATTCACAACAACAACAACAACAACAACACAAAATGTCCACTTCGAATACTTCCAATGCCGCCATGGATGACTTTCAAGAAGTCTCCATGTCGCAACATTTGTTCGAACAAGTCTCTTGTTGGACCAACCCAGACATTACCGCGGACAAGAAAGTAGAAAAGGCAAATCATTTGAAGCAATACGTCCAAGAAGTCGATGGTTATTTGAATATTTCCTCGGACCATCCCTGCGAAGGACAATGGCCAGTCTTGGAATGGAACGAGCATTTTCGAAAGGCTTATACCATATTATTGTGGGTTCGACCAGTAGTAGGACCTGTACTCTCCAAGGGAGATCAAGATGGAGAAACAATCATCGATCGGACGGATGACTCGCACATTCATCCACGAGTCTTGTATCGGTTTGCCACTCATCCGGGGGATTCCGCAGCGCAGGGAGTTTGTGTGACGCTGGGCGAATGGAGGTGCATCAATGTGGATACGACTACCGCCAATTGTGCCGAACCATCTTCGAAACGAAGAGTCATGACGCATTTGACTGCTTATTCTTTACCAAGTGTGGTTCCTGGCTCGGTGGATGAAACCGATGCGGATATGATGGGATCCTCCATTGTCATGGCACCCTTGGAGTTGTGGGACAATGAGTGGTCCTTGATTGGAATTACTCATGTCTTTCCTTACCTAAAAAGACCGCATTGGACACTTTGTGTCAATGGAAGAGTTTGTGGATCCGGAGAACTCACATATCCCATTTTGGAACGAACGCCCGTCATGAATTTCAATACGTTACTAAAAGATATCTGTCATGGGGGAGTCGAATATATTGAAGACAAAAAGTCAGACGCCCAAAAAACGGCGAGTGAATTGCAAAACCAAGTCTTTCCCAAGCACAAGTTGGAATTTCATTTGGCATCCTATTGCTTGGCCTGTGATAGTTTTGGTCCCACCATTCAAGCCATCTTGGCGCAAGGAGGACCTACCATGTCCATTATGAATGGAGGACATATTCCACAGCTACCACCTCTGGCCAATTGGACCAAGGGGTCTAGTTTGGATGGTCCAAATGTTGGTATTCCGCTGGTCGTTCATGGGCAAGCCATTACGGTCCAGCAATTGTCGGCTTCTTGCATGTTGTGGGGATCCGCCATTGATGCCCGTATTTTGGGTCGCCAATCGAAAAATAGGGGTCAGAGGACGGCTTGTCGGATGACATTTCGTCGGGGAACCACGCACAGTGCACCACGAGTAGGATTGATTCAACCCACGCCGCCCAATCCCAATGGACCACGGAGTGTGACCGAAGTTGGGGCGGACGAAGATCCCATCTCGTTGACCCTGCTGGGCATTTGTACGATTCATCATAATCTCAGCGACTATTTGCTCAAGAGTCCCGATGCCACCAATGTCGATACACAAATGTTCAATTGCACCAAACACTTTTCTCTGTTATTGGAAGGACAAGCTTTGGACTGTCAATTGATTTTGCCATTCTTTTTAGCACTGCCACCACCAGGAACGGCCATGGAACTGCAATTTGAATTACTGACAAATTCGCTTCGGCATCTGTTTGATCTATATACCAATGAAGCGGAACTGGCATGCCGATTGATTGACTTGTTGGCTGCATCCGTGAAATCCGGAGGAGGTCGATGGGAAGAACAATTGCTGCAAAATGGTTCCCTCCATGTCATGGCTTGCGCTCTTCGACAATCTTTGGTCCGAGCGGAATACTTGCAAGTGGATCAGTTTGATACCTACAGTGACTTTGTGAAGGCTCATGCTCAAAATACCAAAATGAAAACCATCATGAGCAGCATGCCCGTGTCACCCAGCATAATTCCGATTGGTGTTGCCAAATCTATGGCCAATTTGATTGCCTCGTGCTGTGGGCCACAGGCCAACTTTTTGGAAGACTTGGATCCTTCGGATCAAATTCGAAGAACATCGGATTTGGCTCTGACGGCACTCTTTGGCATTGGTTTGGATTGGGAACTATGGGGTCGTGATTTGGAGGCTGCTACCGTTATCTTGGAAGCAGTAGCCTCTCGATATGGGGGATCCTGCGTGACTGCTGGTTATATTATGCGAAGTCAAGTGTCGGTTCAATTCTTTTTGGATACACTCAAGTACCCATTGCAATCTAAAAGAGCAAATTTGAGTACCGAGAAAGCCGACAAGAATGCCCTGGAACGCATCGGTAATGCCTGTGGCAAACTATTGAAAGCAATGCTCCTGTCAAGTTTGAGTAATCAAAGAATCATTTCGCAGGGCGAACATGACATTAGTGCGTGTATGGGTGCCCTTTCGGATTGTCCTTTGGGAAGCGTTGGTGCACATGTCATTTTTACAGCCTTGATGGGTGTGCTTCAATGGTGCGAAATTGTACCAGAGGATGAGAATATGCCACGATCACGAACGGTTGACGACGATCACAAGTGTGAAGTTGCCAGCAGATTGGGTCGCAATTTGATCATGAGTGAATTTCACGATGTTGTGGCTCCAATGCTGCTGAGTCGAACGGTCTTTTGTGGCGAGCGCACTATGAGTTTGGAACAAAGCAACCTACCTTTGTCGTGGGATCTTCACTGGCGATATGGGCTCGTCATATTTGCCTGGGTATCCACCATTGCTGGTCCCGAAGGTGTCATTGCCTCCAAGTCCTTGGGTTCCCTTCTTTTGGCATCGTCACTAGCAGGATCTTTGAAGGGGGCATTGGCGAATGCGGACAAGGATCTTGTGACAAATCTTCTCATGCCACCTCCAGCAATGGCACTGACTGTTGCTGCAATGACACGGAGAAATGAATGGTCCTATACCGATCTTCTTGCTGACAGACTTCAAATCATGATGCCCATGCTGCCTGGTCTTGTTGTTTCCATTGTTTCTCATCCATCCGATGTTGTCAAGGACGAGGCACTGCTGGATATTGAGCCCAACGCATTGGATGTGCTGGCAGAAATTATCACTGCAGTTGGCGGATCCTTTTATCGTGTCTTTGGTGGAATGACGCATCAGGCAGTTGGTGGATCACGAAACAAGAAGCAATCTCGCCTGGTGGACTCCACTGCGGTGCAAGCCGCCAAGCATTACATTCCTCACCTTATCACAGTTGCAGTCATTCTGGAAAATCATATCCTACTCCGTGATGACTCAGAAGATGAACATGTGATCATTCTCAAGGTTCCTGCCATGGTCCAACGGCAAGCCGATGATGGATCGTGGGTCGAGGTGTCTTCCACTATGATGGATGGTATTCTGAGCGAAGGCGGTGTTCAAGTTCCAGAAGGTGGAAGTACTTTGGAATACTTGAAGGCTTGTCAAAAGAGCGCATTGACCGCTGTCTCTGAGTTAATGAGCAATGCAATGCGGTCGGGTGGAGGAGAAGCTTCAACGATGCTCTGGAGGAGTGCTCTCATGACACTCGAAGACTCGCGAAGTTATGCAGCAGACTCCGTCGATTTCAAGGACAGGAGGGCACTAGACAAGACGGCTCATAATATCCTCTGCCGACTGTGCGCTATGGTCCTTGTCAAATGTCTGAAGCGAGACTATCAATGGGAAGTATGGTCATCAAGCTTGAGTTCTGCGGTTTCAAGGCTTTGTATGCTGATCGAAGAGCGGGAACTGCTGCTGACTCCAATGGGCAACGAAAAGATATATACCAAGGACCAGGTCCTTTTGCTATGCGCGCTTTTGAATATTCTGACTTACGGCCGCGACACAACTGGATGGTGTCAGCTTATCCTTCCAACACCGCCTCTCGAAGCTGGCACACAAGGGAAGAATCCGGAAATAGAGTTGCGCGACCGTGGTGATTCGGCACCTGCTGCTTCCAAGCTCCTGCTTCCGGTATTGCAACCAGCATTACGCTCTATTCTTGGAAGTATTGGTGTCCAAAAATCAGAAGTGCAAATCAATATTCCAAAAGCGTCGAAACCAAAGACACAATCCAGTGGTAAACATGTTTCCGTCTATGAAGTTGAAAACGTAGTCAAGCTGTTGGATCATATTGTATCAGAGCTGAAAGAAACGCTGACCGCAGCAATTGTGGGGATGTCGTTTGCAAACTCTCGCGACGTTGGTCTATACGCACTGGCAACGCTACGGCGTGCGATGGGCAACTACAAGAATGCAAATGATGACTATGGTTTGGAGGTGTGCAACACTCTGTTTGGAACTATTGCGGAGGAGATGCGAGTGCGATACGAAGGGGAGCGCCGTCGTCGTGAGACAGCATTGTTTGATGCTTATGACGACGACGACGAGGCTCGGGTTGATGCCGCAGCTGGTTCACAAACCGTGGAACGAATGATGCTCGGTGGAGCCATCGCGAAAATCAAAGGAACTGTCGAAGAAGTCGATTTCCTCTCTTCAGAAGAGAAGAGACGAACTGAAGACGATTTTGTCCTTTTTGATGACAGTTTTGGAGCTGCGAAAGAAACTCATTACCTCCCTCGGATGAAGTGGAAGCACTACGAAGGTCTTGGTGACGCGCTAGAGGAATCTTTGCCTGAACCATCCAAGAAGAAGGAAGATGTGGGAAAAGATGTGCCTATTGGTCCCGTTTTGACTGCAATGACCCCGTTTTTAGATTCGTGGGATGAATTTGCTGCTGTGGAAGCAGCAGAGTCAGAGTTGGTCAAACTTTTTGATTTCAGTCTCGATTCTGCTGGTGGAATGAACCGTGAAGACGAAAGGGAGATGCAATATAGACTTCAAGCTACTGAAACTGCAGCTGATTCCATGTCGACTTTTATCGAGCTTGCGGCAGCAGAGAAATCGAGATTGGCAGAAGTCACCACTTCGTTCCTTCCAAATCATCGTTCCAGCACATCTTCGTACGCCGAAAGATTCTGCTGGGCCCGGTATCTTGAGATTGCACAGAGCGATATGATGAATGAGATCTGGGAAAGGGGTGTTGCTGATGGCAATCGAGATGTACGAAGTCGACTAGTTACAATACCATGCAATCCTCAGTTCCGTCGACACATCCCCAAATATCTAGATCACAGCACAGATTCTCGTGACAACAGTTCAGCTGGCCAAGGAGACGACGAATTGCAAGAAATTGATGCATTTACCAAAACTTTGCTCAATTCTGGTCATTTGCAAATTGTTGACATCACGAAGAAGGAAGTCAACGAGGATGAGCAACCAGAATTGATCTTCCAAAGCGGAAACTTGGATGACGATTTCGGCGAGAGGCCGATGGAAGCTCCAACCGCCCCTTCGGATAAAAGCGATGCTAACTCTGACGCCACAAGTACGGCAGATGCCACAGCAACAACAGATTCATCTGCAACAAATGAGGAAGAGCAAGTCCCATTTGACAAGAGCAAGATTGGATCTTCACATTACAACATCACTGCTAGTGCTTTTGCCAGTCCACCAGACAACTCGTCGTCAACGCTCAGCTTAATGCACTCTGCTGCTGCAGGATTGATTGAAAAGCACTTGGAGAACTGTCTGCATGTAAAGGCAGAGGGAAGCCGCAAGTGTTCTCTCCTCCTCACTGCAACTCACTTGATTCTTGAATACGATATTGACAGCGATGGTCTCTTTGAGGGTGAAATGATGGCTGTGAGAGAAGAAGCAGAGCGACAACGAATGAGCGAAGATCCCAAAAAGAACGATCCAAATTCCGAAGAAAGAATTCAGCAGCAGATCGAAAGGAGACAACGAGAAGCCGCATCACTTCGTCCGAAGTCCATTCGATGGAATCTTTCTGAGTTGTCTCATGTCTACCTTCGAAGGTACCGATTAAGGGATTCTTCGATTGAGATGTTTTTCATCCCGTCAGGAGGAACTTCTTTTGGGGGATATGGTTTGTTTTCACCATCCACATCGTTATTCATCGATTTTGGTCCAGGTTACGAGGGCGTGACCCGTCGGGACGACGCTGCCTTCGCGATCATGAGAAGAGCACCTCCTCAGGCCATCAAGCAATGGCCGGACCGAAGTGCTCAATTCCTTCACGAGCAACTGAGTCGATTGACTATGGGTTGGGTCGAGGGTCGAATCACCAACTTTGATTACTTACTGCACTTGAACATGCTGGCAGGACGCAGTTACAATGATATTTGCCAGTACCCTGTCATGCCATGGGTTCTTTCCAATTACTCGTCTGAAGAAATTCCAGATCTCTGCGATCCTGCGAACTTCCGAGACATGAAAAAGCCTATGGGTGCCTTGAATCCTGATCGACTTCAGGATTTCATTGATAGGTTCAATACATTTGCCGATCCATCAATTCCTCCATTCATGTATGGAAGTCACTACTCCACAATGGCTGGAGTTGTTCTGCACTTCTTGGTTCGTATGCATCCATACGCAAGCCTTCACCGTCAATTGCAAGGGGGAAACTTCGATGTAGCCGATCGCCTTTTCTCTTCCGTACCACGAACATGGGAAATGTGCACCGGAACATCAGCTGCTGAAGTCAAGGAATTGACGCCTGAGTGGTATTGCAGTCCTGGTTTTTTGAAGAATGGAAATAAGTTCAAGCTTGGGACCTCGCAAGATGGTGAAGTCCTTGGGGATGTAGTCTTGCCACCATGGGCAAAGGGATCGCCAGAAACGTTCATTGAGGTCATGCGCAATGCGTTGGAGAGTGACATCTGCTCCCAAATGCTTCCAGATTGGATTGATCTGATTTTCGGTCGGAAGCAGCAAGGGCCGGAGGCCATTGCAGCGCACAATGTTTTCTTCTATCTCACATATTATGGGTCTGTTGATGTTGCTGCGATTGAGGATGAAGGCCTACGGCAAGCTACTGAGTTGCAAATTGCTCATTTTGGCCAGTGTCCAATGCAGCTTTTTGTACGTCCACACGTCCGTCGAATTCAAAATTACAACAAGCGAGTTTCCTTTTACCAGATTACAAGCGCTTACACACATGGCGCCAATCGGCAAGCCGGAGAAGAACAAAAGCACAATGACAGCAGTGACAAGGGAATGAACCAAGTCTTTGGTCAACCGCTGTATCTACCATTTTTCTCCGCTCCCATGTCACATTGGGTCCATCTGGATGCACCGCCACCAGGACCACATGCACCGTTGATTAGTGTCAGGCTTGCAGGGACGGATCGATGCCTTGCCGTCGATGCTCAGGGTGTCTTTCACTGCTTCCGATGGGCTTGGAAGGCTGAGGCTACAACTGAAGTCCCGGCGCTGAATGGTTCCGGAGGATTTCCAATGGATAATGGATGTTTCATTGCGCAACGAGAACTCCCTCGATTCCGAACTCTTCCAAGGTTAGTCCACAGGTCTCGTGAAGCAGAGCCACCAGCAGTGGCCATATCAAAGACACTTTTCGCTGGGCGGTCTGTGCTTCTTGTCCTTTCCGATGGCGACGGACGTGGTGGCTTGGCTATGCAACTCGTGGACCCAGCAAAGGGATCTGTTCGAGGTGAAGCAGTTGTGCAAGCCATTCATTCAGCACAAATTACTTGTATCGCAACAGATCCTATCGGAACAGCTGCCGGTCATGGCGGTGTCGGGGGAGAGCTTGCAATTGTTGGCAGCTATGATGGTCGGGCATCGATTTGGCGATTTATGTCGAGTCACTATCTACCACTTCGACCGCGTGTTCAAATGGCTGGCCATGGAGGTGCGGCGATTCATGCAGTTGGCTTGAGCGCAGCGATCAACATTGCTGCAACTTGTTCGAGCAACCGCCTGTGCTTGCACTCGGTTGGAAATGGAAACTTGGTCCGTACCATTCAGCCTCCACAGAATGTGTTGGACTTACCAGCTGAAACCCAAGGCGTCACACGCTTTGCTGATTGCCCTGCTCTAGCAATCAGTGTCCATGGCTTCGTTGTGGCCGTGTGCGAAACAAAAACCAAGAGCCCAGCTTCTCCACTTGCAAACCGAAGCATCATCACCTTGCATCTATTTTCTTTGGAAGGCGTCTCTCTTGGAACCAAGCCATTGGAAAGCTGGCGAGGTCGTCCAAATAAAATGTACTGTACTCCGGATGGAACTGCCGTCTTGGTGTGTTCTGGCCGCGGAGTGACGATACACCGACTCTCTGCTGTAACCCCATTGGAGTTTATCGACGAATGGCACATTACGGAACAAGAAGAACTCTCCAAGAACCTTGCTCAAGCTTATGATATTGATTTGGGACCATCCCTGAATCGTCCCGTTGTGGCAGCAGCCGCAACTTCGAATGGCGTTCTTCGGTTGCATGCCTTGTCTGGAATATCGTCTTACAGCGATCGACACAAGAAATTAGGCGTCGTTCAAGGTGTTGGCAACGTCTTGGCCATGCCTGCCAAACGTTTGAAGAATGTTGTCGGCCGCGGTCTTGGCATTGGTTCCAAGGTGGTTGGAGTTGGCAAGGATGTCGGAAAGGAAGTCCAAAGTGACATTAAAGAAAAGGGTGTTGGAGGCTTCTTGGGCAACATGTTTGGCAAGAAATAAAAAGACGATTGAGGATAGCCATATCATCTTTTGCAGTATGCTAGCTGTACCATCTAAAGACGATTGTAGAGAGCAATTGTAGAAATAGTCAATTTTTTAATTATATATGCAAACTCGCTCTAGCCAAATGGACTATGGACCAAGCAAGGTGTCGTTCAAAGCTGTATTTTTATGCCTTTTGTATCTGTACTTGAGCTCCCTTCAACCCAGCTGCTTCCACAGTGGCTTCAAAGTCTTCCAGTGGCTTGGGTGGAAAGCCCGAGACCAAACGAAAGCTAGTCACATCATCACCCAAGTGTGGTCGAACACTGGCCGCCACTTGCAAGACAGAGGAATCCAAATTGACCTTGACCACCTTGCGCTGTCCATTGGGCAATCGGACCGCAATCGAAGTAGAAGGACGACCCGCATCCACCTCGACAGCCGCCGGCAAGCTGGCTGCTTCCACGGTATTTCCTTGGACCGCACTCGAAGCACCCAAGGTCGCCCCAGCTCCCGAAAACGACCGAAAGGCTTCGACAAACTCTTCGGTTCGCTTATCGACCAACCCAACCGTAATATCACCCGACACTCCTTCCACCAATTCGGGAGGCGTACGTCCCGTGGCAAGTGCCCGGAGGAATTCGGCATTGGCCGGATCATCGAGTCGACGATAGGGACCATCGTCCACCACAAAGCCATCCCGGTACATGGTAATGGTGCGACGGGACTCCTCTCCAGCCTCATCGGCAGCACCTGCTTGTTCGGCGCGTTGGAAAATACCGTCGGGATTGGGAGCATCCCCATGGTTGGGTTCCACAGCGAGACCACTATGTCATTGTAGATGAGTAGTGTAACGTAGTGTAGTGTAGTGTAGTGTAGTGGAATAGATCGTGTTGCCATACAATCATGATGGCATGGACAAATGACACGCAAGAGAACAAGGAAACAAAGGAGAATGTGTGAGTACAAGGCAATGGAGTCAAACGCACACCCGAATGCACACTCAGCGGCTATCGAATGAACGCACCTGCCACCTCCGCGATCAGAAATGCCTCCTACAAAGCGGTTGTTGGAATCATCTTCGTCTGAATCATCATTGTTGCGACCGCTGAAAAGTCCGTGTACATTGGCCATTGTGTCTATTTGTTGGACTGTTATATAGTCGTTGAGTGAAGAAAGGATCTACTGGAGAGTCAAAGAGAAGTCGTGTCTGCTGTACTTCCTTTGTCTATTGCGATTGAGATTTGAGATTTCTTGCTTTGGTTATTGCCTTCAAACATGCCAAAAGCTGAAAGAGGCAAGACGTCGTCCATCGAATCGGAAAGATTCGAAGGGGTCGAATCGGAAAAGATTCGAAGGAGTCTAATTTTCGAACCAGTTTTCAATTTTCAACAACAATATCTGATGCATGATTTCACATTGCAACACAATAAGAACCGCGCAAGGTTTATATTTGTTTCAATCTTGCCAATGTATCAGTTGGGATGGAGTTTGAATTATATTGGTGCAAACCAACCAAGACCAGGTTGACAAGACATTTTGGCCGTCCAAACGTAAACCAACAGTGTCTTTACAAACACATCTTGAACAGATTCATTCCCTCATTCTTCCACTTTCTTCCACAAACACACACACACAAGTGTATCACAAACACACAAGCGTATCACAAACGCAAACGTATTAAAAATTTGTAGCTGCTTCTTTACCATGTCCAACTTTGTGGTCCATCGGACCCAAGTCGAGCGAGTGTTGAATCCACACCGTCCCGAAGGCAATGACGGTAGCCAGTTGCATCTGTTATCCATGCCGCGGCTATCGTCCCACGATCATAATTGGAATAACATCTCCCAACGTTTGCGGAATATCCCTTCTTCGCCAGTGCAGCTGTTGCGGGATTTGCCCAACACTATCATTCATGTGGTCGAAGGCGTCGAAGACACCATTACTGACCTGGCAACCTTGACCGACAATGTCAGTAGGGAAGTCGTTCAATTGCCGCATCGAGCCTCCCATCAATGGAAGGAATTGATTTGGGTTTTGGGATTGCTAGTGCTGGTCCCACTCTTGGTGGTCGGAATGGTCTTTTTTTTACCCCTCAATTCCGTCAATTTGGGAGTTTCCAGCAACAAGTCCTTTCTCTATGGGATTTCTACTTTTTACGAAGGCTTGTATTTGATTGCCTGGGTGGAAACCTTTAATTTTGCCCTGCCCGAAGCATCGACACCGAGTGCGACAAAGGCATCCATTCCCATTTCGACCCGGTTTACAGTCTGGGCCATGGGATTGGCCTTTTGTAAACTGGTGGATGCGACCTTTGCCAAAGATATTGCCTTGCTTCCACACTCGGTCTTTCCCATTCCCTTTTCCATTTTGGTATCGGGCATGACGTCCATTCTACTGGTCATTATTCCACTGCTGTATTGCCTTGCACCTAAAATCCGCAAGGGCCATGGGTTTCAGAGCTTGATCAAATTGATTGCAGTCTATTGGATTGCACTTCTTTTGGTGACCTTGTGGGCCGTGGGGGTCAATCGATTGCGGCATAGACGAGTCTTACAGACGGTCGTGGGTGCCTTGTACGCTCCGCTCCGCTTTGTTTGCAAAGTCTTTATTGCCTCGCCCGTTACCTCGAATCAAAATCCGCAAAAGTGGATTCAACTCAATCTGGTGGTCGACATGCTGTTTACACGAGTCCAAGTGGCAACCTTTCCCTTTATTGATTCCTACGTGACCTTGTTGGTACTGTTTGCTGCGGAAATTCTGACTCTTGGCTGGCGGTACTACAATGGGGTCGACCGGTTGGCCCTCTGGTGGAGTACCATGAGAATTGCCAAAAAGACTCGCGCCTGGAACGAATTGGGATTGACCTGGTGGCAGCTCACCAAGGGATGCTTTCAAGCACCCATTTTGGAAGTGGCAGAACTGCATTTAAAATTGCAGCAAGAGCAACCGGAAATGAAGGAACGAATCTTGCGAACACTAACTGGAGATACGGGAGATTCGCATTCAGTCCATTCCGATGGAATGGAATCCGTGTCGTTGGAACCAGATACGCCCAGAAAACGTTATAAACCAATGTCGCTCTTGGATATTGAGACTGCTTGTGGTTTGGTGGATGAACAAATATTGATGAGTGAAACGTCAACTACAACTGTACTAATGCAGAACCCTCCCAACTCGACTCATGATCACGAATGCTCCTCAGTTGTCGCCCCCGCCTTGAATGACGTGGACAACCCGAACCATGACAATAGAAAGAACCGCTCGATTCTCGCATCTACCATATTTCAACAAGATGAGGGGCCCGATTTGATAGATGCTGCCAACGCTTTTCGAATGGAGCAAATACATCGAAACTTGTCTGTACACACTGCTTCCACAACGCCTTCCTGCAGACTTCTACACGAACAGTACCGAGAGCAACGAATCTTGTTTCACGTCGTTGATTCGACGGGTGCTATTGTCTTGTCCACCATTACCCGAATCAGTCAACAACTTTGCATTACGATGGTCCGTCACCTTCCCAGCTCCAAGCACTTGAACCAGTCCTTTCAAATTGACGATGAACGCTGGACTCGGGCTCAAATTTATGGATGGCTCTATGTCGGGCTGATGATTTTCCTATTGAGCCGATTGGGATTCTTCTTCTTTCGGCGCATTCAGGGATTCGAAGAACGCAAATTGTCTCTAGCTCGAGTCATGTCCTACTTGTTCAAGGATCACTTTTGGTTCTTCTTTTGCTGGCTCCTTAGCAGTGGAGTGCTCGTCTGTGCCTCAATGGTGAATCATTTTGGTGCCGATTTTTCATTCAGCTTTGAATGGATCTCGTGTCCTGATGCAATGGCATGGCCAACTTGTGTTGTTGAAAGCTGAGTATATAGTCCAAAAGACAAAGAGAACTCATTTCCGCTGGCAAGAGTATTGTGCAGTAGCGAAATTATTGCAGAATTCATACATATTATAGGTCTCATGTAGTTTCTAAAATTACTCCTGATGAATATGCAGTTCATTTGGATAGCAAGACTGATTTGGAGCTTCGACTCCTCCACAAAGTGGAATCTTAAGCTGTCTTTCCCATGTTGCTGGAAATCGTAGATGATTTTCCATTCTAGATAGAATACAATGTTCGCAAATCGTCAAAACTGAACTCTTCCGATGATGACGGTGTCGACGACGATGACGACAATGATGCCGATAAGTCCGATAGATCCGAAATCTCCAGCGCGTTGAATTGTGCCGGCGATGCATCGCAAGAATATCCGTCTTCCGAAAAGGACATCCAGCTATCACTTTTCTCGATAGATAAATCATAGATGTAACTTTCGCTCGTGTCGGATCCGTCTTCGTGAAATGACATTCCGTGTTCTTGGTAGCCCATGTGAGTGGGTTTGTGCATCGGAAAATGAAACATGCCAAACACTTTCTTCAAGCGTCTTGTTGAGATGGACTTCTTCAACGCATGTCGTCCCGGTCTTCCGAACGACTTCCTAGAGGGTGATCTGGGATCGTCTTGAGTAAAGAATAGAGGAACATCGTCATCATCTCGAGTTTCGATGGTGCAGTTCAACGGTTCCCAGCACTCTTTTTCGTGACTTCGACTGTTCATGCAATTGTAGATCTTTAGGATGTTGCAAACCATGCTTCACAACTTTCTGTCTTTTTGTCTCGCTGTTTTTTTGGAATGGTTTCATTCTTCTGCTGGAGGCAATCGTCTTTGTTCAGGTTTTGATGAACCATTGTTGATGGGAGTATTATTGCGATGCACCATCCATCGTCGGGTGGAGATGAAATCCATCATATGTGACGTCACTTTGATCGCTGATGGCAACCCACAAAATCTGATTGCCGCGCATGAAATATGTTGAAACGGTTGCACATGAAGATGGATGCCAATCTTGAAACCGTCTGGCACACTTTTCGATGAATTCAAACAATTCAAACGGCAATGAGACTTGTGAAACGCACACGAGTACAAGTACCAAAGATTCGTCTACTACACCACCAATGGGAACAATCTTTCAAGTTTGCCGGAGTCAATGTCAAAACTATAGTTTTGAATGAATGCCAGGTTTTGAGGAATCCATGTCGGCCCATTCCTTCCCTGTTGTGAGTCTCTAATATAATGTTCGGAATGGTACAATTCCGAGGAGCCTATCCTGTAGCATCCATGATGACTAGGTCTCAGAAAATTC